TCACAAATTTATTTGCGAACTTAGAGCAGGGGACTTGTCATGCTGTGGCTGTGCAAGGTTTGGCTTTGGGGGAAGCGAAATAATAATAAAGTTTTTGTTTTGTCGTGCATAAACATATGTCAGCTGTATGATGAAGTAGACCTGTACGGACAAAAATTTTCTTTGGATAAGTAACGTCAATTTCATCGTCCCAAAAGTTGTTGCGCTTTTGAGAGATGGCACCATGACCGCTGAGGAGGTCGGAGCTGCGGCCGACTGATCTTGTACTATCTTGTTTTCGCCATGTTCTTTGGTGCTGGTGCAGCTGCTTTTACTTTTACCATCGTCCTTCTGATGAAGATGCTGAAGATCATTCGCGTCACCATTCGCAGTCGCTTTCACAGAGCCCGCCTTGCGGCTTTCACGCCGCCCTCGCTCTGCCGCGCGGTTGTGGTTGTCCGAGTCCTCCACGGTGGACTTTTTCTTCAAAAGTCCTGACCCATCCACCTCTCGCACTGCCACATCTTTCACAAGATCACCGGCACTGTTGGGCCCTTGGCCCCGTCCTCGTTCGCGATCGCGAGCCCGGTCGCCCTCGTGTCCCCGGGTAGCTTCTCGGTCTCGCTTTCGCTCGCGGTCTCGCTGCTCGGCGGCGGTGCCCGGAACCGTTTGATGCCTTCCTTTGCCGCACTTCGCCTGGTGGTCCTTATCGTGCTGGTCGTGGTCTCTATCCCTGTATAGTTTCGAAGAGTCTCTTTCTTTGTCATGATGAAATGGAAAGGCATGTATAATCATGTATGAAGAGCGACTTAACATCCAAGACAAAGAGGATCATCACTGCATATGGAGTAAGTGTAAGTCCAAGACTACGTGCTACTGCTAGATCGTGCAGAGAATAGAGAAAGTGTCACACTCCTATGTTGACTTCTCCGTACCTGTCTCTCTCCCTGCTTCGGCGCGCTTTCTGATCTTGCAGACCAGATGAACGGCCGCCAGGACCAACACTGGTGCCAGCTCTAGAAGCCTGTCTGCTTCTCTTCGCTCTTTCCTCGTCTTGTTATCAAATGCAAAAATGTCTGGGTCTGGAAGGTGGCAACTCGTGCTGCTGTCTTTGGATGGTAAAAAAAATCTGTATTGCATGACCGGCAAGAGAAGTTCAGTTTGTACTGCGCGGGGTGGGCATCTCTCATGCGGAATACGCATCAGAAGGACCACCTCTGAAAATCTGTGAAGATGCTAGGTCATGCATTACAAGCATCGTCGGTTATGCAAGGTATGCATGACAAACCTGGCAATCTACTTCCAGACCCGGACATTTTTGCAGACTTGATACTTGTTCATGCAACGCAAGAATTGCAAGAACAGCACTGCTTTGACTATTTTCGCAACCTGGTCCCTCCGCTCTTCGGCTGGTAGTGGTCCCGTATGGATGTTTCAGGTTTGAAATCGACAAAGTTGACATGATTTGTCGTGCATAAAATCGATGCCGGTTAGACCTACAGTTTGTAGTCGGCGCATGACAAATTTCCCCCGTCCTGGAAGCGAGTCTGCCATGCGGTTTAGGGCAAAAGAGTTGCCTTCTGTCATGCTAGTCAGCAGTCCAACTCTTGACCCTTACTAGGGCTATGATCTGCCTCCATGTCCACCCTTGCGTCCTCTGCAATAGACTCACTTTTTGTGTCGCATTTTTTTTATGCATGGCAAATCATTTCAACTTTGACGGTTTCAATCCTGACACTCCCATATCCCGCGGCGGTTCTTTATGGGCACCAGCCCATATGCACGTAGTTTCTCATTCGTTTCCTCAAGACCGGATGCGGCGGCGGGTTTCTTGTCATCTTCGTCCTGCTCCAGGAGAGTCAATGACATCTTGTTCGCGGCCTGCGTAGAAGTTCTCCCGGACTTCTCAGAAATGCTTCGCTGCACAGCCGTCTGGGTTAATATCTTCTTAGAATATCAAGTGTAAAAATGTCTGGGTCTGGAAGAATTCATGTTTGTCATGCTTGTCTGGCATGACTCTTAAATCTGTCATGCACGTTACCCAAGAGCTACGCTTTTCTGTGATGCAGAAGCCCAGTTTGTCATGCAGAATAGGCAACACCTAGGAGCTCAGAAACTTGTCATGCTGAGCCAGCATTTGTAGCCTCATCATGAGACGCCGCCCAGCATTACAAGTTTCCAGACCCAGACATTTTTACATTTGATATAGAATTATCCGGATTTATTTTCGCAGGATTTTTCTGCAGCTCTTGTTCACTCCTCGCCAGAACAGCTGCTGGAGCTGCTACAGCAGCAGCCTGTGCGTGACCAAATGATTTTTTTTCACCCTTCTTGTCACGAACGGATTCGACAGGAGAAGGAAGAGGACCGTGGTCAGTCGTACGATTTCTCTTTTTAGATGAATCAGCAGCACCAAGACCGCCCGGATTGATCTTATTTACATCAACCGTTTGTTCAACATCAGCACGTTTCGGTGGCCGCTGTTGTTCATCTCCAACAGGAGGAGCGCCAGGGCCAGGTGGCTGCCTTTCCTTGTCTTTGTCCGCAACATCCAGACCAACAGGGTCGACGCCACGACCACCGCCCGCGGAGGACTTGATGGGGTCTTTCTCATCTTTCGGTCCTTTCTGCGGATTTGTTCCCCGCGGGGGCGCATCCTCGTGCTGCGCCAGGTGGCCGCTGCCAGCACGGGTGGTTATGCATTGCAAAAATAATTGCTCTTCTAGCTCTAGTAGTAGAAAGAAATTAGATGAAAAAGTCGCTCAGCACTACAAACTCAATTCGTCGTGCTGATTTTATTGCTTGGGTGTTGTCATGCACATTTAATTGCAAGTAGTAGTAGTACAACAAGCAACGATGCTTTTGCACAGGATATTAGTAGCGCCACCTCCGCGATCTTCGTTTCGGCGGGTACCGCCCGCAGAAGACTGGCAGGTGTCGTATGGGGTTCTCAAGCGTTACATTCTCAGCTGTTACATGAATTTGCCATGCCAAAGCACCATCATCATCCTGACGATCAAGCTGCTCCGCATGACAAATTTTCGAAGCGCTAAGCCGCACCTAAATCTGCGCCAAACTTGTAATGCAAAAGGCGCAATCTTCCTCCTTTCACTTTTGCCAGTCGTGCATTACAAATTCATGTAACAGTTGAGAATGTAACATTTGAGAACTCCATACGTCGTTGCTTCGGTGGGTGTTGGACCGGCCTTGGTTACCGTTGTTGCCACCCCGCGGTCATTATACATTGCAAAAGTACTATCGTTCACGTAGTACTAGGTAGCAATTGCATTTACAAATTAGCTCAGCATGATTACACATTTGTAAATGCGGATTTATTTTTTCACAACTAGAACTGTATATACATGACTGCGATCATTTCTAGTACGAGTACGATGTTTTTGCTATGCATAGGCCTCGGGGCGTATCGCACGAAAAAACTGTTTCACTGTAAGGATTTTGCAAGTTTTGCATCACAAGTTTGCTCTGCATCACAGAGAAAATTTGCCATGCGAGATTCCGAAGGGAAAACACGCCTAAAAATCCACTGTCTTGCATGTGTAGCAAGACAAACACTTCTCAGATACATTTTCTGCATTACAAGTTTACAGTGAAACAGTTTTTTCTTGCGATAGGGCGATCCATCCCGGCGCGATCCCGCACCCCTGCCGCCGCTTCGTATCCTGGGTAAAAACGGCCCCACACCAGATTTGTCATGCAGATTTGCAATTACAGAAACATTTGCGATGCGCATCCCTGTGGGAGGTATTTAATCGTGATGTTGTGGTATTTGTCAATGCTGATGTAAGCAGGATGCGATGCGGCTGTCTTTCTCTTTGCTAAGCTTCACTAAAATACAGAGAAAAAACTTGTCATGCGTGACTCCCAAACAAATATAAACCTCTTCTGGATCGTTTGTGTTGCTAAGTTCCCAGCAACTTGAGCTTGACTCTGCGGTCACGGTGGGCACATCGTTTTTCCACAGGTGGATACTTCGTGGCCGGTCGTTTCCCCGCCGCCTGCCGTGGTTGTTGCCCCGGCCGCGACTGCCACGCGAGTCGCTCCGTGCTCGGCGTCTGGAATCGTTGCCACGATCGCGGTTGCCGTAGTGTTTCGCGTGACCCCCGCCGCCGCGATGGTGCTTGTCGCGGCCGCGTGAGTCTCGTTTGCGACTCTCTTTTATCCAAGAAAAACTAAACTGCGTTAGTGTAACTTTCTTTGGCTGACAGCATCACAAATTTTGTCTACATGACAGAGAAAGCCTGTCATGCGTGGCTTAGAAGAGAACACACACACACACGAATAGAGGACTTCATGGTCGTTGTCTGGCATGACAGGCGTAACTCCGTTGCACGTTCTGCATTACAGCATTACACTCACACACTTTTTTTCTTGCATAGCTTTTCGCCGCACGCGATTGAGGTCCGCGCCCCGGTGGTCCCTCTCCCTGCTGTATCCTGTGCAAAAGTTAAAGTATCGTACTCGTATAAATGCAAGTCTTGCATTACAAATCTTTTTATTAAGGCAAATCCGCATGACAAATTCCATTTCTCATGCTAGGGGAATTTGTATTGCAATTTATACTAGTACGATACTTTTGCAGTTCATATGCTGTAGTGCTATCAAATGCAAATATGTCTGGGTCTGGAAGAATCCGAGCTTGCGATGCTGCATTTGGATTCCAAAAAAAACTATGTTCCATGAGCAGCAAACGAAATGCAATTGTTGCTACGCGGAGAGGGCATTTGTCATGCGGAGTAAGCATCAAAAAGCCCTCAAGAAATCTGTCATGCTAGGGCATGCATCACAGCCGTCATGGCTCACGCAAAACGTCCATGACAAGTCTCAGAACCTTCCAGACCCAGACACCTTTGCAATCCGTAGGTGCCGTCTGTAGAGACGGTGGTGGTCCCTAGCGGGCATGATCTCGGCCGACTCGGCTTGTGGTTGTACCTGCTGCTGGTCCGACTGAGCACTAGACGCCGCAGACGCTTGTACAGGTAGTTCTTGGGCGGGGTCAGCGTGGGCTTGCTCCGGGTCTTGGTGTAGTTTCGAAGCTTTACGTTTCTTGTTTCGCGAAGGAGCAGGAGCAGCCTTGGCTTCGTTCTTGTCTTTCCCTGCCGCCTCGACCTGCGGGGAGGGGGTCGCACAATATGCACTGCAAACGTATCGCACTCGCAGCTTTGCACTTACAAATTTCTTCAGCAACACAGATTCTGATTTGGCTCATTTATTGTCACGCATGGTTGCAACTAGTACGAATGCGATAGCGATACATTTGCGGTGCATATACAATGCGACGAAGCAGTTGTTGTGTTTTGCTCGTGGTCGGCACCAAATACAACAACAGCTCGAGGCTTTGGCTTGGACTCTGTGGCGCCGGTGTAGTAGTTCTTTGGTGTGTAGTTCTCTACTTCTGGCTGAAGACGTGCTGGTGCTTCTTGATCCTGCTCTGCTTCTGCGCTGGACTTCTTACTTTCTTTCGAAGATTTACTCCTGCTCTTCGCAGTACCCGTATCGTAACGGCTGGAGGTGCTGGTAGTGGGAACTACAACAACTACTTTCTCGTCCTCCCCCGCTTGAATTCCTTCTTTCTCACGTCGTCCAAGTGCCTCGACGGTGCTGGGTCGTGGAGTAAGTCGAGTACTATAATTTTCGTCTTTGTTATCCTTTTCCAAAGCTACTGCTCCAACAGTGTCGGTATCAATATTGTCGCCCTGGTACTGGTTACGCCTTTTCTTATTTTTCCTCTTCTTTTTCGGTTCGCTCTCTTCTCCGGTCTCGTCCTGTTTGTTCTCCGCTGCTTGGAAGGTGGAGTTCTTCTTGTCGCCAACAGGAGAAACCAAGACTTCAGTCCCGACGTTGTGCTCGTCTTGCTTCTCTTCGCTGTCTTGATGTTGCGCTTGCTTTTTTCCGTTCTTTCGTCGCAGATGACTTGTCTCGACGGTAGCGGTAGGGGTGAGGGGATGATGAATGGGAGTACTCTTTTGATGGCCGCTTTCGACAACAGTATCCTTTTCTGAAACAACTCCTTCTACTCCGGTATAATTGGTATTGGTACTGCTGTTGCCCTGCTTTTTCTTCTTCCTTTTCCTTTTCGGGTCCTCTTGATGTTCGACCCCGTTGTGGTCCTCCTGCTTGTTCTTCTCTGGTGCTTTGGTGTTTCTGTTTTCGCCTTCGCGTTCGACAACAGGAGGCAATAAATCGTTAGCCGCGACCACGAGGACACTGCTCTCCTCGTCGTTGACTGCTTTCCTGTAGTTTCGGGGTTGAGAAGCAGATGAAGCTGCTGGTTGTACTTGTTCTTCAGGCTGTAGTTGGTGCAAAGAAGTTGAACTTGAAGAGGAAGATTGTTGTTGCAAGAAAGAAGTTGAACTTGAAGAGGAAGGTTGTAATTGAGATGACGACTTTCCCACAGAAGCAGGATGATCAGCTGCAGGAATCCGAGCCCTCTCTGAGGGTAGAAGTTTTAAATCTTCCTGTTCCTGATCCCGATCTAGCTCCACCGCGTGCTGACTCTTCTTGTTCTTCTTTCTTTTCCTTTTCTTGCCGGTCTGCGTAGTAAAAGATGAACCAATCTCAGCCTCCTGAATAGCTTCTTCGTTCCTCGAGTCTTTTTCCACCACGACCTGCTGACCGCTCGTTGTAGCAGAAGAAACGACAGGGGAGTTGTCTGGTTTGTCCCGTTTGTGGGGTTGTTTGGGACCTTGCTGGGGTACTACTGGTGGGAGTTCTGCTGGTCGTTCTCCTGCTTTGTTATTCGAGGACAAAGTGTTGGCTCGAGCAGATAAGGATGACTTCTGCTTCTTGCATGATGGTATAATGCGCTGGTTGTCTTCTACTTGTACTTGCAAGGTTCTCGTGGTCTTCACATTATGCTGATGATGTTCTTGCGGGGCTACAGCTTCTTGAAGAAGAGGTTGTTCTGGTCGGTGGCGCTGCGACGTCGTACTACTACTGTTTGCTCCGACTGGAGCTCCTCGGGGAACAAGTAGTTCTTCAGCAGCTGGCTCTACTTGTGCTTTCACAGCTGGCAGACCTCCCACTTCCTCGTCTCCCTTTTCGACGTCTTCGCGTTGTTTCTGCTTCTTTCGCTTCTTCTTTACCGGTTGTTCGTGTTGGCTACTATGGTGGTTACTATGGTGGTCTTGGTCTTGCTCAACTTCTGATACAGTAGTTTGCGGTGGCAGTAGTGCGTCTACTTCCTCGTGTGCCGTTTGGTCCTCGCGGTCTTTCGGTATGGCCCGCTCAGGTGTTACAATCGCAACTACTGTAATTACGACCAACGATACGTATGTGAAGATGCAAAAAGTGCACTAGAGTCGTCTCTTTCCGGAGACATTAAAATTGGTACTATTGCGAAAAGCGCAAGCAAGGCTCCGGACGTAGTTCCTGAACCTGATGCTCTTCATACAAGAAAGCCCAGACACAGACTCTAATATGCGTAAACAGTTCCAGTTGAGATCGTGACACCTGAGCAGGGCATAGTTATATTCTGCTTCTTTCGCTTCTTGTTCTTCACAACTACTCGTTCGTCACTACGGTCCAATTGTTCTGGTGCAGCTACTTTTTCTTCAGCTACTTTTTCTTCAGGTTCCGCTTTACTGAAGATGTTGTCCTTGCGAGTTGTAGCTATTTCTCCTTTACCTTTTTGTGCAGCTATGGGACGATGTTGAAAATCCTGTCCAATTTTTTCCTCCGACCACGGTGGCAAAATTTTACTGGAAGTAGATGCACTGGCGGAAGACGAAGATGCTCCTGGTTTATTTCCTGCTTTTTTGCCCTTTTTTCTCGATGATTTAATGCCTTGACTCGTCGTTTGAAAAAATTCCTCTGCTCGTCCTGGCCGCGACATCTCTAACACGAAGAAAGACCATTGCTGGTGGTCAGAAATAAGGTGGGCGCCATCTCACGCAGGAACTAGGTAGGAATGTATCAAAAGGAAAACAAGAACAAAACTGTCTCGTCGGTTTAGTGTTGAGTATACCTCCCTTGATGATTGTTGCAAGATCAGCAGGACAAACATGCTCAGTGGATGAATCTGGGAGAGCACTTGTACCTCTGATGCTTCATAACAAGGCGTCATTGAGAAATCGATCAGCAACACAGACTGAGAGGAGGACCACTTCTGAGACAGTTTATTTTTCTTTGCAATCATAAATATCTCGACGGCACTACTCCTTCTACAACTCGTTGCACGTCGTGTACTGGAGCTTGGTTGGAGGTCCTTCGTTGTGCTTGCTGTCGTGGATAATATTGTCGCTCGTTCTTTGATTTTTACTATACTCGTACTATACAGATTCCGTGCGTACGAGATGTAGAAGTTGTATTCCTGGCTGCTCGTGGTCTTCCTCGTAGCTGTAATGAATTCAATGTGCTTCGTGGGTCCTCCTCGTTCGTGGTCATTATGGTAGCGGTTCCGTAGTCCCGCGGTTTTGGTGCGATGACGTCGTGCCGAATGGGAGTAAATTCACACACGTTGTTCCTGGTTTCTTAGCGGCATAAACAATCTTCGAAGATGATGCCCTATTGAGGAGCCACGGCACGGACGGGTCGCCAAATAACTCAAACACTGCTTGAATGTAATTTTTTTACGCTTCTGGTTGTGAAGACTCGAGGTGGACGTCGCCGTCGCCGTCGGCGAAGTTCTGGAACTGGTATTGAAGATGAGACCGACCAAGAGCTGCAGCCGGAGCTCCGTCCTGCTATATAATTTCCTCGTTCTTGTAGTACGCGATCACAAAAATGTAGATGGATGGCGCCGCTGCAAGAACCGTGTGGCGGTGCTGTGGTCTCTTCCGGAAAGATCGAAGAAGACGAGAAAACATAAAAAACATTACCTTTAACGAGTACTATCAGACTATGATGAAAGAGATACAAGATGACCTCGAATACAATGCTGACAATCGATCAGGCTATTGCAGCTCGTACTAGGGCCTCTACGAAGTAGATCGTTTATTCTTGCGGAAAATATTTTTGTAAAGGTACACTCGATCTATTTTGGCCCTTGTTCACCACTACTTTTTGATGACGTCAATTCCACTGCTCCGAAGAGAGGACCGCACAATTATGTAGCACTTTCTATTACTTTTAATATCTAAAAATCTTTGCGAGAGCGCAACAACCTGAAGAAAGAAACAACGTTGACGTCTTCTATGGGTCGTGCCTTTATATTTTTACGTAGAACTGCCGACAACTTCTGAATCTATCACAAATCGTGCTTCTCTTGACAGAGATTGACTGGGATACGTGCATTTTGATATTGATATCAACTGGGTGGATGATAGACAGAAAGTAAAAATGGGGCTGGGGCTAAGGTAGAAGTGGTTTGGTGCTTCTGCTTTTTGTACCGACCCGCCACCTGCTCTGCGGTCGATGTTACATGTCGGCGTCCTCTAGAACTAGCTCTAATAGGTGTAGCTGTAGGTGGCTGCATATATCAATCATAATCGACGACCGCCAACATCATGTAATGCAAATATAAAAAAGCAAAAGTGAGATCTTTAGGACGGCAAACGTCGTGGTGAGCACCAACAACAATGTTGGAATAAACAGATCTTTGGCTCACGGAAAAATCTTCGCGCAGGCAGCTTCGCAGGGATAATGAGTCAAGAGAAAAGACTTTTGTTCAACCCTAACTTTATTAAATGTGGTTCGCTGCTGATAATGTCTTGCTCTTGCCTCTTGTACTGGACCTAGATAAGTTAATTTCTAGGAGAGGCTTGAATACTTCGACTCGCGCATCGAAAACAGTCGGTAATTCTTCGTGGTGCTAAAAGTGGACTACTTTAGCTTGCCACTACGACTACTTGTACTTACCACTAATAGCAAGGTCGGATATAATCACAGTTCATGTAGGTGCAAACCTCAAATAAATAGTTCGTTCTCTTCCGCCAGTTTTCAGTACTTATGTGTTTGATCTTCCTCTTCATTCGATAGCCGCCATTCCTGTCGTTCAACGACGAGAAAGGTCTTTATTACATGTGGAAAATTATGGGGATCGTGGCCTCGCTTTTTGTACTTCTAGCTTTGGCCATGGCAGAAAAAAGAAAAAGTAGCCTCGGAAGGAGGTGTCTTCACTGATGTTGCCCGTAGTCAGGGGTACTCCGCTGGTCTACTACTGTTCGAGCTACAAGGTGGATCCTTCGTCGGACGACGACGAGTACAGTTTACACAACATGACCTGCATTGCACATACACCAAGCAATGACGGAGGAACACAGCAAAACGACAACTACTTGTCTTCAGCGCAGCTGCGTCGGGGAAAGTCTCATCGGACGTGATCCCCGGCGAGCCAAACAAGTCTACGTCAGACTTGCACGAGATATTTTTCGACGAAATAAATCATCTTGCTCTACTGTACAAAGTCATCATCAAAAAAGGTAGTTGCATTTGCTGGTTATAAAAATTATCTCGCTTTCATCTTCTCTGATTTTGCTATCAGCTACTAACCTCGCCATTCGTCCGCGAAGGATATTGCTCCTTGTTCGCTTCACCTCCTGCGACGCGAGCGCCGTTGCATCAAGAGCTGCTACAATTCTATGTATTGTATTGTTGCTAAAAAGCGTACCCTTCTTTGCTTCGACAACAAGAAGGCTTTCGCTTTCTTTCCCGGTGGAGGTCTACAGCTCTATCACGACAATGATAAATCTATCATGGCAGTGCCTATTTTCCCCTGTATGAAAGTTCCGAAGCAATTTTCATCTACCAACTCCGAAAAATAGAGCCCTACAATAATAGTGCAGTCATTCTTGTGCTGCGTCGATCCAAAATTTTTCCCGTGACCTAACAAACAACGAAACGGAAATCGAAATGACGTGGATGTGGTGCGGAGGAATATTTATTAATATCCGCGCACTATTTCCTATTTGTAATTGTTCAGCTGCTGCCCCTTTAACATTCTCGCCTTCGCGAGATGAAAGAAAATAAAATAAATAAATAATCAAATGATAAATATCTAGCGAAACGAAAGCCTTTCTATATTTCAATTTCTCGACAATTATCTTATATCTGCAGAGTAACAGGAGGTGCTATCTCTTCATAAATTGAACGAGAAAAAAGATCTATTAATTTTGTAATAAAATGAAGTACGTAATACTCATCGCTGACTGTTGTGTCTTTTCTGACAGATCGACTCTTCGAAGTTCAAAGTTTGTTTCACTTGCGTACCGCTGTCCATACAACCACGCAGGAGCGACGACGAGAGCTAGACCCACATAACAATTCGGCATGATGTGCCCATGCGCGAAATTGTGTCGCTTGAGCAGCAAGAGGACATCACAGAATTATTCGTAGTTGAAACTATTAATATTCTATGAAGGAAGTGGGAAGCTGTCGACACTTAAACTTATTGTTTGATGGACTTGCAATTTATTAGTATTACTCTGAGCATGCTTCCTCTCGGATTCGATGCAACTGCGAGCCCAAACGAAGCCTCTCCATGCAACGACGCTTATGCGTTGCATAACAGGGCTTGTTCTGATTTCGCATACGCAGGACCGCCATGCTTTTACTCAAGAAAAAAATTGCAGTAGCATCAGGGTCTGCTGCAGAGGGTGCGCATGCGCCTTCCTCTTCGCATACCACCTAGCTATGTTGCGAGGCAGTTCTTTCTTCTCATCTGGACCAAGCCTGCAATTAATTTTGTGTACTAGTAAAATAGTGTTTTTCTTGCGTAACTAAGAGAGTTTTTTCATAAAATTGCAAGCGCTCCTGCTGTTGAGGACACTGGGCACGAAAATAAACTTACCTGAAGTGGATGAAGCTTCAGGCTCATTATAAATTTCAATTATCAAAAAAAAAAATTATACTCGACCTGAAATAATAAAATTTTAAGCTTCGACGCAGTAGCTGTGCTGATCACAGCTTTCTGTGCAGTGGAAAGACGTGGCTTCTTGTTTGTTCTAAGCTGAGTGCAATTATAAAAGACTGCTACATTGAAACACTATTCAAGTTCCGCAACGAAGACAAGAGGAAGGCAGGCATCAGCGTCTTCTTCTTCAGAGGTGCGAAAATGTGAATGATACTGCGTGCTATGTTTTGATGTAAAAGTGTTTGAGACAAAATGGCAACATCTATCAACCTTTACATAGATATTGCCTGATTTATTGTTCCTTATCCTTGCTTGTTGAGCACTCTTCTTTTCGTCCTACCGGTAGATAAAACGTTGCCTAGTACAGAGGACCACTTCTCTTGTTTTCGGATTATCTTGCAGCTGTCTGGAATAAAAATGCAACTTCGACGTGAAAACGCAGCTACGCGTCGCCAAATTCCTAGGAGCGTCAGAGGAGGCTACTGGTTGCGTTCTCGTAAAAATCACACGCTGGATCATTCGTACGTACAGTTCATCTTCTTGCTTTCTACTACGTCTCCCATACTAGTTCTGTGGAAGCTTTTGTTCGAAGCGATTCAAAACCAAAAGAAAAAAAAAATTGCAATGGCTTTTCTCTCAATTTTCAACGTGAAAGCTCGGCTTTCTGATCCAAGTGATTGCTGTATGACAGTGCACAACTCCCCCTCCCCCTGACTTGTATAGCACGAACGGCAATACAAGCCCCAGCCAGTGCGCAGGTTTTGCATGACAAATTTGCACAGGATTGTAGTGCTATTTCTTTGGGCTGCCAGAACTTGTCACGCAAACAGTGCTCGGAGGCAAAGCCTGGACTGGGTATTTTGCATGACAAATGAGGGGGAGGGGGAGTTGTGCACATTGATATGTTTACTGCATCCCTTTCTCCTCATCTTCCTCCCGCCCGGTACGGCTCGGACGAGTCGTGGCCATGTCAGGGACGTTCTCGTAGGACACCTGACGAGCCAAAGAAAAAGAATGGGTCGTCTTCGTCAGACTCAGATGATTACGATACGAAAATAAAATAAAAAAGCCGTGCGATGGAACAAGTGCAAATAACAAAGTATGGCGTTCTCAAATGTTACATTCTCAGCTGTTACATGAATTTGCAATGCAAGAACGGCAAAAGTGAAAGGGGGAAGATTGCGCCTTTTGCATTACAGATTTGGCGTAGATCTGGCTGCTGTTTGGCCCTTCGGAGATTTGTCATGCGAAGCAGCTTAATCGTGGCGATCTTGCTTGTAAATTTACATTACAAACCACGTAACAGTTGAGAATGTAACGCTTGAGAACGCCATACAAAGCAAAACTATAACTTCTACAGGCGTAGGAAATAAAACGTAACCGCAAATAATCCCCTACCTGGCCATCCACGGAGGACGTAGCACGTAAATGCGGCAAAGCTTGGCTCTGTAGTTGGGACGTGAACCATGCCTGTGTTGTAGTGTAGAGTACTTTGCTATGATTTCGTCTCCTGTCTTTCTTGTTGTTCTGACGATGTGGCAATCTTTGATGGAAGCGAGAACCTGGAACGTGAAGAACGCAAATTTTCCAGGAGCAAGAACGCTATACACATCGAAAGTCATTTACTCGCCATAGCGCTCTACTGCACCTTCTGCATGACAACGAGGACGATTGTGCCGAAGAGGGCCAGCAAATCCACTACATACCTGAGCTTCAGCTTCTTCGAAATGCGCTCCACCGCCCGCCGTCAGTCCGGCCGCCTGCCTGCTGGAAAAATTAATCGTCGTGACCGTGCCGGTCGTGTCCCGTCCACCCAGATTGCTCTTGCTTTTCTCGCCGTGCGAGAAAGTTCCGCTGCGGTACACCTGGTCGATGTCACAAAGAATTTTTCAATTTACTCATTCATGATCATCACAGTTATATATAGTGTTGGCATGCGCGATTTTGATCTATCAGCATCATTCGTCGAAAAGCAAATGAGTGGGTCCGCTTCGTCCATCCTCCACGAATTCGATCGACTGCTCTTGCGCACCTGTCCAGACGAGTGCTGCTGGTTCATGCTCTCTCCACCGGCGTCACCGTTCATCTTCATATTGATCATCTTTGCCCTATGAAACGCAAAGACTTTTTCTGTCTGGGAACTTAATCCTGAATAAGAATTGCCCTTCAGAGTGCAGGCGCACCAGCAACCAGGCTTCATCAAAAGGATTTTGCTGCTTTTTTCATGCGTCCGGGTCTGGCGTTGGCGCGTTACAGATGCAAGATATCACACAAGAGAAGTCCAGCTTTTCGAGATGTTCCCGACATGTCAGATACTTGCTATGGATACCCCTTTTGTCCGGTTTTCGCTCCGAAGACGAGCACTGCTCCACGCGGAGAGGATGATGAGCAGACCTGATTGAAATGATTTTTTTTCATTTTGGTGTGGTCAAGAAAGAACTTCGACCATTGCGCGATCCCACTCTGTCATGTCCACGCGTTTGGCTCGTGCATACACATGGCAATGGCGATTCAAAAAAATGCTTTCGTTTAAAATTCAGTTCATTGTGGTGCTGCTAGTACAAGAGCGACCCAAGTTGTGCAAGGAAATAAGTGGCGCTGGCACCTACTACGCCACGCAGATCAAAACTCCAACACTGCTCTATGCCCCATGCCCATGGCCCATCGTGGCGCAAGCAAAATATTTAGTCCTTCCGTGCGAGTGCGTATAATCTACTATACCTTCTTTTCTTTCTGGGTATGGAAATCACTTTCGCCGTCACTGGAGTCGCTTGTTTCTTTCGGGTCTTTATCCAAACGTTGCAGCGCGTCGCCGTTTGGCAACTGAGATTCTTCGTACATGGGAAAAAGCGCTGCAGTTACATACTGGCACTGGGTTGCAAGACCATCACAGGCGACCTTTATTATGTAGCTTACTTCCCCGCGTGTTCTTCTTCACTAGGAGCGATCCCCGGACTAGTACAGCTCTTCTTTGTCATGCGTAGCAAGCAACTTCGTTTCTCTGAAGTTCCACCAGGTGTGTAACTGTAGCACTTTTTCCGTGTTCCGTATTCTTGTGAATCTTCCGAAATGGTTGGGGATACCTGGGTGTAATTGTAAGTAAATGGGGCTTCATCGGTGATGTCTTTCTACCATCGTGGAAAGCAAAAATAACCACGACAGCCCCGTCTTTGACTCAAATGGAAAAAAAGACCACACTTATACCTCCAACATGCCCATGCAAATGGCGCCGTACTCAACACCCGTTCGGTCTTTTTCGTTTAAAATCGCCTCCCGCATTTGCTCCTTCTCTTCTTCCTCGCGACCGGCGAGACCCTGGCCAAGTGGCTCTTTCCCTCGCTGTCTATCTTTTTTACTATCGTCATTCTTCATCCGCGTCGCCACTATGCACTCGTTAGCCATTAGTCTCTGCCGTCTGGCCTTCCGATTAGCCCGGGTCTCCGCATTGTGGCAGCACCAGGCGTTGTTTTGACAACAGCAAATCGCAGCTACTCGCCAACTATGCAGCTTTGCAAATATGTTTGGCTATGGGCCTGGAAAGGTGGACACGCAGACTTGTTTAGACTAATACTTGTCTGGCACGCCCATTTTTCAACAGAAAGCAAAGCACATCTCATCCCCAGCACCAAAAAAACAAAAACTTGCGCTGCGGGTTTTATTAGTGTCACAAAAACTGAAGCTCACTCTTGGTGCTCAGCGTGAAAAACCTTTACTGTATGCATATGTCCGAGCGCGCCTCCAGTCGCGAACTAGAATGACACGCTGCACTCTACACGTCGACACGAAGTTCCTTCTTTAGCTAAAGTACTTTGACTTTTCGTCTTCGCATTACAGAGGTTCTAGTGACAGGACTGCAGCAACGCAAATTTGTTCTTTTTTCTGGTATGAGTGTGCGTTTCTGTTGAAAAGTGGTTGTTGATTCTCTGATGCTTGTTGAGCAGGAAGTGGAGTGCGCATTCTTTGCAAAAATGCAAGACAGCAGTTTCTGTTTCTGACGAGAAGAACGGAACGCATAGTCTCTGAAAATCTTGTCATGCTTGCCTGTGGAGTGTCGTCATCCCATCCTTCACCAATTTTTTGCATGACAACTTTCCTCCCGACCCAGAAGACCCAGACACATTTGCACTTCGTAGCGAACGACACCAAAGTAATACGCCGCCAAAACGAAAACGCAGCATGAAGCAGGCGTCAGGATACCGAAGGGCGTATCCACAGCAAATTTACCGCACGCGTACACCTGTACGTCACAGCATGAAAACACTGCAACTCTTCCACCTGCACGACTTTGAGTTTGATTTTTCAAATAAAGCAAACTTTTTGCGAAGAAAATTTGTATTATGGCATGTTGTAGCTGTACACGTGCAGTAGATTTTCATTTGTATTGCGTAATGCAGAGTCCATTCGTGCTTCTGCGCAAACCGCATGAGTTCCTCCAACTCCGTGTCGAGGTCTCAAGTGTAGTTACACTCTCAGTTCTTACATGATTCGTCATGCAAAATCCTCATGAGCATCCATCGACAGGACCAAGCTACCCTGCATGACAAATTTTTGAGGGGCCAAACTGCATGCGAAAATAAATCTGTTCCAATTTGTAATTCGAGAGGTGCGACGAGAACAAGTTCCCCCCGTTCGCTTGTGCTATCTTTGCATCACGAACTCACGCAGCAATAGATGAGAGTGTAATATGGAGAGAAAAAAGTTTGTCACAGTCACTAACTTGCAGGTTTTGCATTACAAATTTTCTTAGCATCACAAATTTTCCTTGTATTGCAGAAACACTAGGGAAATCCCTAATGAAGTTCGGCTGTGATGCATTTTTACGCATGACAAACGCATTTGTATTGCAAAAATGCGCATCAGTGACCGTGACGAACTTTTTTTCTTTGATATGTAACTACGCTTGAGACCCCCATACTCCGCACGCAGGTCGTACGCGTCCACTTTCGCGTTCGTCTTGGAGGTATCAAATGTAAAAATGTCTGGGTCTGGAAGATTCGAAACTTGTAATGCTGCCTCTGGATTCTAAAAAAATTTGTATTGCATGACCAGCAAAAGGACTCCAGTTTGTGCTACGTGGAGAGGGCATTTCTAGTGCGGTAGAGGCATCACGAAGTCCTCTAAAAATCTGTGATGCTAGGGCATGCATCACAGACATCATGGGTCATTAAAAATATGCATGACAAACCTGGCAATCTTCCAGACCCAGACATTTTTACATTTGATAGGAGGTCGATGTACTACTACCACTCCCCGCCATTGTAGTTGTACCCTTTCCCACCTTCTCGTTCTCCGTGTCCTTGTTCACGTTGTTCGCTGATTCTACTGCTGATTGGTCTTTTTCCTTGCGTGCCTCATCGCTAAGATGATCATGATCTTCCTGCTCCGTTTGTTGGCTGCTGTAGGTAGTAGAAGTACTTCCAGTGGAGGAAGCAAGCGCGGAAGTTTCCGTGAAAGAAGAAGCAATGTTCGCAGCATCCCGGGCGTTCATTTTCTGCAGTTCCACCTGAAATTCTTGTTGTTGTTGCCCTTGTCCAGAATTCGGACCAGCAGCTTCAGCGTCGGTATCGGCTAGCAACTCTTCATTTGTTGTAGCAGTGATCGAAAACGAAATCTCGGCAATAGCCCGGCGCGGAGAAGAAGGTGGAGACTGCGGCAGTTGCTGGTCGTGGTTTTGCGCCGGCTGCTCTGATGCGATTTGGTGTTTCAGCCCAATATGCGCAGCCCCGCCGACGCGATTCTGGTTGGTGTTGATTTCCGCGAAAGATTTTGTCTGAATGGTGTGGGTAGTTTCCGGCGTCGGTTCATCTTGTGTTTCCGTTTTCGTGTTAGCCGTCTGAAGCTGCGTTTGCTGATACTCATCTACCGTCTTTCCGATTTCCGCTGTTTTCGATAATGCTCCTGCGAAAACCCGACGAACAAACTCGACAAAAATATTTCTCTCGCCGACCTCCCGCCGCCCGTCCTCCAAATTCATTGAATATTCGCCGAATTCAAATAGCGGCGAAATGCTTCGGAAGCCGGTAGCTATGGCGTCCGCTGCTGTAGTCCCCGTTGTTGCTCCCGGGCCTTGTAATTGTTGTTCTCCCGCCGCCGCCCTCGTCCTCGCCACAATAACACGGTCTTCTACGTATTTTACAAATTCAGCTAGTCCTAGAACCGCGGTACTTTCTTCATTACCGGTCAACCGCGTCTGCAATTGTTCCGGGGGAGCGGCGTGTCGGGTCACTTGGTCAACCACGTCTGCAATGGCTTTTTCAGTGACTAAGTCCAATGGCCGCTGCATTGATCGACGGCGTCCCAAAATATTCTGGTAATTATTCTGGTAATTGAGATGTCTGTCTAACTCTTTGAACAGCTTGGGCTGCGCGTCGAAAAACGCCTTCGTGTTTCGAGCCGTTATCGCTTGAGTCTGAACCTCATCAAGACAAACCCTGATCAAGTCCTGGAGTCTTTTTTTCGCTTGCTCACGTTCGGTCCCGAAGTCAAGTTTTGTCCATTGAACAAGGCCGATCTTGATCTTCCCGACGATCTCTTTCGCCAGCCCTTCAACTTGAAAGGCGAAAAATAGGACTGGTCGCGGGTTGCCTGCTGTTGTGTCTTTTTGCTCCGTAAGCCAAGCTCCTATTGTGGTTTCGAATAGCGCGGCCGCGCCTGACTCGTCATGAATCAATTCTGATATCACTTGATGCGGTTTTACCAAGAATTGTTGTGTCGCCTTCCTTGCTTGCTGTCCAGCGCCCGCCAGAGCGGCCCAAAACTTCATCTCTTCATCCTCTTGGTCTTCTGGTCGTGTGCTTAGAGAAGAGCTGTCGTTTGGCACATGATCAGGATCACCCTGAACGGCAGGCAGGACAGTCGGAATCATATCTTCTAATCTTTTTCCGATTCCACCAGACGACTGTATAGCAAATGCTAAAGAAGAACCCAGTACTCTCCCAACGAACGCGAAGTATTGACTCTGTTTCTCATTACCGCCGCTGCCGAGTAGTTGTGAAATGGACTGGAAGCCGGTTCCAAAAAAGTCGCTGCCTCCACTTGATTGTTCCACCGGGCCCGGGTACTGACGGATATATGTCTGAAAGTGGTGCGCGTAGTCGACGTCTTCTTCTGCTTTTTTCTGCAGAGCGGGCTGATGTGCAATCTTCCACTGCCTGTACCAGTTGAAGAGGCGACCCCCACTTCCGGCCTTGTCTGTGACCAAGTCTGTGACTATCTTGGCCATGATGTCGTCGCTCGGCTTTGTTCCGAATAATGCCTTGAATCTGTTGTCCATGACCACGTCGCCGATCTCTCTAAAGCGCTTTTCGATGCTGTACGCTGCGTTGTTGCCGTTGGCCTGCCCTCCCGGGCCATTCAAAAGGAAGACCCTTCGCGCCACCAAGACCAAAAACGAATTGTCCTTCAGCTGGATACTGCCGCCAGTTGATGGCGTCTGCAGTTCCTTGTACTTCACCTGCTCGCTGTCGGTGGAGGAGCGGCTTTTCTGAAAGAGGCTGCTTATCTGCTCATTGTTTTCGAAGCAATACACTTTACCGGCGTTGCCGTCCTTCCGTACTTCTAGCACCAGAACCAAGTCCGCTATGGGTTCGTCGAAGGGGGAAGAGAACGTTTTTCGCCTTCCCTGCGTGGCATCGCAACTTCCGTCTGCCGTCCAACTTCCGGGACCCTCCTGTCTAGCGTCGTGTTTGTTGTTTTCCCCGGGGAGCGCGAGGAGCTTGTTGGCTTCTTGTAACGCAGCCGCAGAACCAGGAAGTGCACAACAGAACAAGCAGGAAGGCCAGAAAGTATTACTTTCTGGCGCTACTTCCGAAGTAGCGCCAGAAAGTAATACTTTTTGGAGGTCATGCAACACGTTCAAGCTGACCGTGTCCGTGACGCTGCGGTCGGCGCTCGAGTGCGAGTCCGATTGCTGTTGTTCATCTAGTTCTCCTGCCACAGCCGGCCGGTAAAGCTCAAGAAAGACATCCCGGGCGTCTTCAACAGCCGCTGCCGCTACTGCATTCAGTGCCTTAGAGACAGCAGCATCCTTGTCCTGCTGTAACTGTCTCGTGAGCTCTTGCGGCAAGTCTCTCTGGGCGGGTTGCATAGGCAACTCCGTGTGGTCCGACATACCTTGTTCCCCGTGAACGTTCTTGGATGAGGGCGTTAGAGTTTTTGCTGCCGATTTAGAAAAGGCCAGCAAGTTCTTCTTGACAGCGTCATTGGCCCACGCGTCGAGGGCCCACGCCCATGCGTTATCACTGTTACTGGAGGAAAGCGAATTCCAAAACGCCGACTGTATACCCAGGAACATCCGAACGTCATCGCTTTGGACCAATTGGAGGAGTGCGGCTCGGGCTGCAGTGGGTATGTTGTCAAACCCTAACACATTTTCCTTTAGAAAGTCAGTTATGACCTGCTCTCCATTCCCCTGTGTGAAGTAGTGGTCAAAAGCCTTCTGGTGTTTGTCAATGCTGATTGTTAGTGCCTGCGCCTTGGGCCCTTCACCGGCCAGTGCGGCACGCAGTAGCGAAGTCTGCTCGGGAGTCGGACTCTCCACCGAACACAGGATACCACCCATCTTGAGGATCCAATCTACCCACCCACCAATCTTGAGGACACTGGGCACCACCCATCCAGCAGCTGGCGGCGTAGGATCGGTCTACTTTCGCCTACGATGTGGGAGGCTTGTCGGAGGACGAAGGCGCACCTAGTAATCAAGCGACGGCGTCCACCTCCTGTTGCTCCTGTTCAGCAACTTCAAAGACGTTGTCGCTGCATGGAGCAGCTGAAGACCCATTCTACAGCTTCTGACACTCATTCTGACACATGATCATGAGCTCTAGCGAGCACACTGGACCGCATCTTTGTTGCAGTTTGTATTATTTGGCGTTGACCTTACGTGGAACTACAACTATGAGAGAATGGGCACAGCGTGGCGGTCTTCTTCAATTCAGTTCAGCTACAAAAAAAGACACCAGCTGCGTCAGGATCATCGTGCTTTTTCTTTTTGTTCGTCATACAATACACATCAACATGTTGCTCCACAGAGAAAAATAGTTCGCGGATAACGTTGATTTTCCTGTCTACACATACTGAGGAACTCGCGTCAACACAGCTCCGACGAGTAAACCAAAGAACACCACATCGTGGTCGCCACGCACGATATTAATTGCATTTGCAGCTGCACTGCGCAATAAAAAGCTCATGAGACAAGTACTATAGACCAGAAGCATGGCGCGTATGTTAACAGGGCCCAATACTCGTAACACAGCGAGGACTCTTCAGCTTGCCACCTTGCATCAGCAAGGCCTTTCTTTCAAAGTCGTAAGCTGCGTAGTATCTTCTTTCTTCCGCATTTCGTGCCGACTCTTCGCGCAAGAATGGACATCATTGACGGGCTCTCGTGTTGATGGTGTGCAACGAAGAACAAAATTCCGGGTGAAGCTGGAGGAGAGGTCATCAAGTTTATTTAAATCAATTCGTGCGTCGGGCTTTCTCGCCTTTTTCAAACTGTGCCAAGAGTCAAATTTTGCGTGTGCGCTCAACCTATTCACTTCACGGAAGCACCTTCTTCTGACACAGCGGGCACTTCGTCGAGTACTGCAAAGCCTTGAGAATGCATGCCGTGTGGAAAGTGTGCCCGCAGGGTAGAACTTTCAACTCATCCCCGTATTCGAAGTCGCATTGACAAACCGCGCAGAAGGTGTTGAAGTTGGGATCTGCTTCGTCGTTGTTTTCGGTTTCTTGTTCCCCGTGTACTACCTGCGCGTTCCGTCGCGCATCCTCGCGTGGTAGTACCCCAGTTGCACTCTGATGTGGAGCGGATTCCTCGTGTAGTCTTGATGGCGATCTCATCTCCAAATCGGGGCTGGGCCTCGTCGATCCAACATGACTTCTATCTTCCACTTTGCCACAAAACACAGGTGGAGACAAGACGGTTAATGAACCGGGCGACGCTGACGCAGAGAGTGGTAGTCTTGGCTCCCCTGCTGCACGAGTGCTGGCCAGGGTTTCCATCTCAAAACCGGCACGACTGTTCACGCTAACAGCGAGCGAAGTAGCTGTTGTGCCATTTGCTGGGCCTGAGCCTGAGCAGGTGCAGTTCCTAGAAAAACTAGAAGATGAAGAGGACCCACCTGTTCGCAACGGGGGTCGAAGAACTGGTGCCGAGTTCTTACAACCAGCTGTTCGTCCAACGACCGGTGCCCGAAAGTCTTCAGGAGTCGCGGAGGTCACCGACAGAGCTTCAATTTTCCGCCTTTTCACCGGGTACGCGTAGCCGTCGGGCGGACCGGGAACAGACGTGGTGCTAGAAGTTAAAATTGAAATTCTATGCGGAACAAGAACAGGACCGGCAATTAAACCAGTTTTTCCATCCCCAGTCCGGTCGTCCTCATTTTGGTTCCTGCTCACATCGCGCGCCTCCGACTCCAAAGAGTCAGCTCTTCCAGCTTCACCTTTTCTTGCTGCTCGATCCACACTTACGTTTCCGTCGAGCAAGACATTTTGATTTTTGGGAACCAACAGGAAAGACGGCCTTGGCGTCGCTCTTTCAATACTCGCTTGCTCCGCTGCATTTGTTGTAGCGACTCGATGTTCTGGTAGTTCTTGGTGGTTTTCCTTTCCGGCTTCTGTTGCCAAGAACTCTGCTTCTTCCCCCCTATCCGCCATTACCTTTCGTCTCCCTTCAAATCTCACCGTTTTCAATGTTTCCATATCCAGGAAAAAACAACCATCACCATCCATTTTATGCATGACAAACACAAAACTTCAATCATGTTTTGCATGACAAATTGGATGGGGATGGTTGTGTTTTTTTGGATATTCCACCATCTTCTTGTACACCTCCGAGGTTTCGGGAAACGGAACGAAGTACGCAGTGCAAAAGTATCGTACTCGTAACGTATAAAATGCATTACAAATTTCCTCAGCATGAGAAAGAAAATTTGTAATGCTGATCTACCTCAAGAACAAGATCTGTAATGCATGATTGCAATACGAGTGCGATACTTTTGCACAGAATACGAAGCTGTCATCCGCACTTCCGTTTTGCAGCCGGTTCAAGTGCCATTGCGTTTGGTCCAGCTCCCGCAACACTGCGCGCGCTTCTATGCTCTGCAAAAGTATCGTACTCGTAGTAATTGCAATCATGCATTACAAATCTCCCTCTGAAGCCAAATCCGCATTACAAATTCTATCTTTCATGCTGAGGGAATTTGTCATGCGATTTATACTAGTACGATGCTTTTGCATTTCATAGCTTCCTCCTCCCGCTGCTGAATAAAGCCTTATGCTGTCCAAAAGTATAATTCGTAGTTATTGTGAATCTGGATCTGATTCTCAAACTCAATCCCATTGCATGCATGCATTTACAAATCTTTGTATATTCATCGTTCTTGCCATAGAGCCGCATATACAATTTTCGTTTGCCATGCCGAGCCAATTTCATTTCTTGCTCCAAAAGTTTACAAAGTGCGATCATACTTTTGCGAATACGTAACCCTTTCGCCTTCGCGATTTCCACCCGCATTTGCAGCAGGTCCTCCCGACGCTTCGCAACGCGCGTTCCCAGCGTTTTGATTTTCTCTTCCAGCTCCACTGAGTTCATGACTCGGATAATTTGCTCTGCCGGGGCGGAGGACTCAGTTGAAGCGTCGAGCTCGTCCGATTGGTCAGATGAGATGCTGCCTCTCCTTGTGAATGTCGCAGTTACAACTTCATCAGGTGCTCGCACAACTAAAGAGGTTAAGGCCTGCTCCTGTTCGTCTTGCGGATTCGCAAGAACTTCTTCTGCATCCGAAACTAGTAGTTGTGAATTTGTACTGCTAGAAGAGGAGGATGCAGTTGCTGGTACTTCTGGTGCTTCTGGCACCTCTGATGCACCATGCAAAAGTAGAAGAGGTCCACTCGGACCCGCTTCAGTTGCGCCTCCAATCCTATCCTGTGCAAAAGTATCGTACTCGTCGACGTCGTTTAGATGCATTACAACTTTTCTGAGCATGAGAGATGAAATAGAAATTTGTAATGCGGATTTACCTTAAGAAAAAAATGAAAATTTGTGACGCATGATTGCAATACGAGTACGATACTTTTGCACAGGATAGATCCCTTTTTCCTCCTCGTGATCCGCAAGAGCCAGGACGTGATCAGCCGCCTGCGCGTCGACCCGCGGTTTTTTCTCCAATCCCGTCAAAGTTCCACACGCCTCCTCCACTTGTTGCAGCATGGTTTCGATTTTGGACTCCGTACGTTCTACCGCAGCGAGTTCTGAGGACAGGTCGTCGATTAGTGCGGAAAATGCGTGTTGACAAACGACGTCCTGTCGGCGTGCAGGAAGGAAGCGGAAGCGAAGTGGGAAGACAGGGAGCTGCACATAATAGATCATGTAGTCAGTGCTGGTCTGTGCTTGTAGAAATTTCATCGGCAAGAACAACCTTCTCATGCGAAGTGGACCACGTATGAGCATCTTTTTTAGTCTATTGCGAATTACTGAATTTTTCAAACACGACTCTGCTTGTGATGATGTGCAATTTCTTCAACCTAATGGAGCAGGAGCTTCCACCACCTTTTTACACGGCGACGACACGATCTTTCAGCGGGGTAGAAGTGTGCGGCTGCGAATCCGCATGATTTCGGTGCTCAGCTGGGTTGCGCGGTCGGCATATGCGATTGGAAACTAGTAGCACCATCGAGAGTAATTGAGATCCAAGAGCTCGAATTCAATCGATCTGATTCATTCCTTCCGAGACATGAAGTCAAAAGTTGGAAAAATATTGCATGGTGACTTCAGGCATGAAAAGACGTCTATCAAATAAACACGACTCTTGTAATATATAGTGTGACTAAGATGCTGGAGTTTCTCCTACATAACGATACGGCATGATCTACTTGCTGCTCCAGCCGATCCTGACCTCCCAGCAGCGCGTTTTCCTCATCTTCCAGAACCACGTCATCGATCTGGGGCTCTTCTTCCCCGAGAAGACTGTCAGAATGATCGTTCTCGTCGTGCTGGCCGCGCTCCTCGTCGTGCTCAAACTCTTCGCCTTCAATTCTCGCTTCTTGTAGATCATTTTCGTGGGGCGGGTCAGGTACGTCTTCGTCCGTAATGGTATTCACCCTTCTTTCCGGTTCGTATCCAGAACCACGACCACCACTGTTGTTCGGTCCAGAGACGACCCCGGAGACTCCGAGGAACTCTTGCGTTTCAACATGAGCAGCTCGTACCGCCGTCGTGGTCGTGTCCTGATCGACGTCTTGTGCCGCATGATGACCTGCGGAGGACATGGGAGCAGGGCTATGGGGAGTTGCGTGCTGTGGACTAAAGACGCTGTCGTCAGCCACCATGATGCCGTATGTCGTTTTTTTCTGTCCTCGACGCTTTTAGTGATAGTGTACATGTAGTTCGCCCCTCTTGTTGCTGGGCGAACAAAGAGTCTGAGTCATACTCATTTTTCACAAAACTTACACTAGCCAATGCCAACATCTGATTTATTCGAATTCCGTTTTTAGTTTGATTCAAATCAGCAACTGTAGCTCTGTCCTTGACGCGAGCAACAGCTGCCAAACCAATGAAAAAGCTTTGATTAGGTTTAGGATTACCAGCAGCGCATCTCTTTTGCTTTCGTTTTTTTGTCGGACCAGGCTTCGATGGGTGCAGCAACCGAGCGTATAAACGACCATCCGCCAAGCTATACCTCACACGATGCTTTATCAAGAGAAACGAATGACCGACCTTGAAACGAGGTACTGACCGGCGTGAACTCCCGAACCCGATCTTCCATGTGGGATTATGTCCTGCAACTTGCGTTCCTTAATATTCATAGAGCGAATGAGTTTCGTTTTTGACGTATAAGAATGGGTACAACGTGTTTCTTGGTACAACTTGCGCCAGCTTCCTTTCGCAGTTCTGAATGGTGGGTCCACGAACTGGCGGTGGATACTGGCACAGGTCCATGTCCAGCACGAGGACCTGTCGCCGCCTGCATAGTTCGTTCCGGGTTTCTTGAAAGAAGAATACTCGTCTAACTGTTCGCTGTACAGAATGTGGCTCTTCTTGTAGGAGTTTTGTAAAAGGCTAGAGCTAGTACAGAAGATGTTGACAGATGTAGTTGAGGACTACTACAGCAGCGAACACGATCTAACGGCTGTAGTTAGTATACTGTATCAATCCTCGAGTACGAGTACCACCACCCATCATTATCCTGTGCAAAAGCATCGCACTAGTAGAAACCAGCCATGCTCCGGCTGCCGCCGGAGCGCAAGGCTGTTGGGTCGGGGCAAGACTGTTTGCCGATAGGACCACAACCCCGCGGGCCTATGCACAACGAAACACATTGCGCCGCGCCAACCCGCAGGACCACTTGCGCGCTTCCCGCGCCTGTGGGCGCTCTGCGCAGGGAGCAGCTGCAAAGACCACCGGGGGCGAACAGAAACCGCCCGGCGGGGGAGGGTAGCGCGAGAGGGTGGCGCGAGAGGGTGCGCGAGAGGGTGGCGCGAGAGGGTGGCGCGGAAAGGCGCCGAACAAAACAGCTCCGCGAATGGCCTGCAGTGCCAAATATGGGTAGTGCCATGCGGATTCGCGCCCGCTTCTTTGTGTTTTACCCTCTCGCAGACCTCTCGCAGACCCTCTTTTTGGCCTCTTTTGGGGGTCCCCGCTAATAATCCGGCTATACTCGCGGGTAGAGGTCGACAGAGGTGGCCGAGAGGTGGCCAAGAGGGTCCGCGAGAGGTCGCCCCTTATTCGCGCCACCTCTCGCCACCTCTGTCGAACTCTCGCGCCCCCTCTTTTTGACCTCTCTGCACCCTCTGAGGCACTTAGGCGCCGCCTTAGGGTGGGTCCTTCGGCGGGCTATACTCGCGCACCCTCTCGCCGGCCCTCTCGAAAGGGGTCCCGCGCCACCTCTCCACCTCTGTCGACCTCTTTTTTACCTCTTTTGACCTCTTTTTGACCTCTCGGCCACCTCTTGTTTACCCTCTGTCTACCTCTTTTTTCGCATGAATATAATATATAGTAATCGCATGACAAATCCCCTCAGCACGAAAAGTGGAATTTGTAATGCGGATTTAGGTTAACACGGAGATTTGTAATGCATGACTGCGATTACTACGAGTACGATACTTTTGCACAGCATAATCATCTCACTCCCGCAACCGGTACTTGCACACCGGACACTGACTGGAGTACCGCAGTCCTATGCACTGCAAAAATGTCTGGCTCTGGGTGGAGATTGCTAGATTTGTCATGCTTGTTTCACATGACGGCTGTATCTGTGATGCGTGAGCAGGTGGAAAAAAGCCTCTTCGCCTGTAAGGCATATTAAGTGCAGTTTGCCATGCAGAAAGCGAAGCACAGAGGAGCCCCGAATCTTGTCATGCGTGGCTGCGTATTGCAGTACGTGTTCGTGTACGTCCGTCATTCACAAATTAGCATCACAAGTTTCCAGACCCAGACATATTTGAATTTGCAGCGGATAAGCCCAGTCTCGATGCAATTTTTGTGAAAACGGTGAAAGCACTCCAGCCGCCCGAGGTCATCCCCCTCTTGAAACGGGCACTGACAGATTGCACAAACTTCCTCTTTATCAAATGCAAAAATGTCTGGGCCTGGAAGAATGCGCGATTTGTCATGCGGCTTTTCCATGACCCATGAGGTCTGGAATGCAGGACCTAGCGCGACAGATTCTGTGCGATCTCTCTCATGCCTATCCTGCATGAGGAACTCCCTCGCGACTTGGTCAAAACTGGACGACTTTTGGTAATCATGCAACACAGATTTTTGCATGCTTCAGATTTAGCATGACAAGTTGCATTCTTCCAGACCCAGACATTTTGACATTTGATACTCTTCATTCCCTGTCGTCCTACTCGACGACCCCGCTGCTGCTGCTGGTGCTGACCCTACCGACTCTTTTCCCGCGGGCGGGGCGGAAAGTGCGGATCCAGACGAAGATGCTGGGCCTACGAGCGCCGGGGCCGCGCTCATCGAGGAGGCCGCGGCCGAAGAACTGCTGCCGCTGTTCTTGCTTTTGAACGTTTCCGCGCCGATTTGGCGGACCAGGCGCTGGTAACTTGGATCGTCGATTTCGTAGGGATCGTCATCGTATCAAATGCAAAAGTGTCTGGGTCTGGAATGTTGCCGGGTTTGTCATGCATATTTTGCATGACCCAGGATTGTGTGTGATGCATGCCCTACCATCACAGACTTTTAGAATCCTTCTCGATGCCTACTCCGCATGACAAATGCCCTCGTCCCCGCGTAGCACAAACTAGACTCCTCGTCTTGCTGGTCATGCAATACAGATTTTTTTAGAGTCCAAAGTTAGCATCACAAGTTCCAACCTTCCAGGCCCAGATGACATTTTTGCATTTGATACGGCAGCTCCGTGAGCGGCGGCCATCTCTTCCGGGCTGAAAGGGTCAATGAGGTTGCTGTTTATCCTGTGCAAAAGTATCGCACTCGTAGCAATTGCAGTCATGCATTACAATTTTTTTTCCGAAGGTAAATCCGCAAGACAAATTTCATTTCTCATGCTGAGGAAATAATTTGTATATGCAATTTATACTAGTACGATGCTTTTGCAATTCATACTGTTGCTCCCGGAACGAAAGCTACTACCGTAGCCGTAGTCACCGTACGAATCTTCGTTGTTCCCATGATGATCTTCGCCGTCCATGTCAAAGTCTCCGTCGCTGTCGAGGTCATCATCATCGTCCGACCAATCTCCGTCAGACATAGAAGTACCTTCTCGACGTTCCCGCCTGCGGGCCAACTGCTCTATCCTGTGCGAAAGTATCGTACTCGTACTAATTTCAATTATGCATGGCAAATCTTGTTTTTAAGGTAAAACAGCATGACAAGTTCCAGTTGTCATGTTGAGCAAATTTGTAATGCCATTTACACTAGTACGATAATTTTCCAATGCATATGCTGTGCGTACCGCCGGTCTTCGGCTTCTTGGTGACGGCGCAGGCGTTGCTGCCGGTCCTCAGACGAGCGGCGGCGGTAGTTGTTGCGGCTGCGGTTATTGGACGGCGAGGACGCGACCGGGGAGCGTGAAATACCGGGAAGGGCGCCGTAACCTACGGAGATATAGAAGTTTTTCTCAAATTCTCAAATCAAAGAGCCTGAACTTGAACTATCAGTAGACGTGAAGAGTCTACAACTCGTCGCCCAACTTCCACTGGGCGAGCACGAGCTCACGAAGAGTCAAGCCAAATAAAACTACTCGGAAGATTTATCGTCAAGCCGTATTTCATCAAGTACAACGACTCGCAGTGGTCTTCGCATGACATCAACTACACAGTACCTTGCGTCATGTTGTCCGCGTGTGCCGTATCGGAATTCACGATCAAAATGGTTCCGCCGAGCGGACTATCCACTGCAAATATGTTTGGGTACTCAAGATTGCGAGGTTTGTCATGCATATTTTGCATGACCCATCGTGCCTGTAATGCATAACCTAGCATCACATATTTTTAGAGCGCTTCGTGATGTCCATCCCGCATGAGAAATGCTCTCCTCGCGTAGCACAAACTGGGCTCCTCTTGTTGGTCATTCAATACAGATTCTTTTAGAATCCAAAGACAGCAACGCAAGTTGCAACCTTCCAGACCCCGACATATTTGCTATGAATACGGAAACAGGCCGGGAAACTTTTCCAGCTCCTTGTACAGGTTGTATCCTGTGCAAAAGTATCGTACTCGTAGTGATCGCAATTATGCATATACAAGTTTCTTTTTCAAGTTGAATCCGCATTACAAATTCTATTTCTCATGCTGAGGAAATTTGTCATGCATTTATACGAGTACGATACTTTTGCAGTTCATATGTCGGCCTTCGGGACGATTTCCCGTCGAGCTAACGCACCACTTGTGATCACGACCTGATAAGTGGTTTATACATCTCGTTCATGCGAATGCGAAATTCGAAAAAATCCATTTTGCTGCAAAACTTTGCTTGAAATTCATCTTCTCGTGCATTGTGCAAAAGCGTTCTACTGGTCCTGGCTGCATCCGGATTTTATTAAAATCTTATCAAACTACTAGAAACTGTCACCCCCATTCGATCCGACGCAAACACAGAAATAAACGACTTAGCATTACAAATTCAATTTGTCATGCGAATTTGCCTTAACAAAAAGATTTGTAATGCATAAATGCAAATCAAGTTTGCGCCGGCGGAGAGGAGGCAAGTTGATACTTTGCTTTCGGTACGCGAAAAAAGCTTGCGGAGACAAAGTCAAACACTGCAAGCGGAACGGAGCGACCATAGTACTCGTAACTACGGGAAGATTCGTGATCGTCGATTGCGGGTTTCTATCTTTGAGGATGATCTCGTCGCTAGTGCAGCTAGTGGCTAAGTACAAGTAGACAAAAGAAAAAGATAGAACTTACAGTTTTTGATCTTCATGAAGATTCCCTTTATTTTAAGCGCTTTTTTTTGAAAAAAATGCTGACCAACAGGTCAAGGATCTTCACTCCACCTCCTATTACCGGTCACCACACGAGAAGATTAGAATGATGTCACAGCAAATACCAAAAAAATTCATACCGCCCACGCGTTCTGGCCCTCCTCGCTTGCGATGGGTGGGAAAGCCGTCTCGATGAAAGTCAACAGTGGCACGCTGCCCGCGTGGTTGGGGTCAAACTCGTGCGAGTTTTCCATTCTGCCGTCCGGAAGCCGGATTCGGATTTTGCGCATTGTGTGCGGGTATCGGTTCGGTGCGCTCGCTCGCGCGGCAGAGGAGGACGAGGAGGAGGCCGCACCTCCACCAGTAACGGCAGCAACAGGGCCACCCGCACCTCTCACAGCGGACGACGAAGAAGAACTCGCCCCCGGAGGTCGTTGTTGATTGTCATTGTGCTGCTGGCACGTCGGCGGCGGGACTGCAGCGACTCTGGCTGCTGTCGAGGAGGAATTGTTGTTTTTGTTTACGCCAGGAACTACAGCTACGTGAGGAGCAGGAGCATCCTCGCTGTCAGAGATCAATTCCACGACCTCGTTAGTACTCGTCGCTGCTCCAGGTGGCTGTTGGTGTAGAGGTCCTTCACCAGGTTGGAGCACAGCCGCAGCGGCCGCTACTCCTGGTAGCTGGTCCGCGGCACCTGCAGCAGCAGCAGCTCCTGTGGCGTTCTTGCCACCACGAGCAGGAAGAGGAACTCCCTGGCCATCGCCTTGTTTCCCCTTGCCTTTCGTAGTTCCCTTGTTGTTGTTCCCGCCTGGCCCTGGCGGTTGCACTAGAGTACCGGGAATAAATGCAGCGGAGGAACTAGATGAAGCAGCTCCCATATTACCGCCTCCACTTGTACTATTCGGATTTACGACGAACGCGGGCCCCTGCTTTAAAATGTCGTTTTTGAACCCGACCTGCCGCCGCGCTTCGCGGAATTCGCGGTCGCGTTTGGCTTCGTCCAGAATTCTTTGCTGCTCTAGAATCTTCTCCTGTCTTTTCCTCTGCATCTCCTCCTGCCGCTGCTGCCGTTCTTGCTGGGACAATCCGCCGGACGCGGGTATGCACCGCAAACATGTACTCTTGATGTGGCTGATGCACATTTTACAGAACACAGAAATTTGTAATGCATGGTCAGCATACAAGGTTGTGCAAAAGATTCAACTCCGCATTCGTAGGCAAAAACAAAAAAAACTGCATGACAAACATGGGCACGACTTGATGCCCAGACCCTGCACAGGACATGTTTGCAACTGATAGCGGTTGTACAACCGCTAGAGGACCCAGCTCCAGGCGGAAAGACGCTGCGACTGTTCTGCGCGATGACCGCATTGGTATTTTTATCATGAGGAAAACTCCCCCCTCCCCATATCGAACACGAAACTTGTGATGCCGTATTTGAGTACACAAATCGACTTGTGTTGCCAGAAGGCCAAGAGACGCAGTTGTGGCCTCGCTTGCAGGCAATTTGTCTTCATGCTGTTCCCCACTTCCAGCTGTCTCCTGTCATGCTGAAGATGCAAGGCTTTCCCACGCAGCCCAGCAGTACAGTCCGCATCTTTTCCCTTCTGGCATGACAAAGCTGATTTGTGACCACAAATCTGCATCACAGACTTCCAATGTGATATGGGGAGGGGGGATTTTTCATTTTGATAATTTTTCTTGACCCGCTTCGGCAAGCTGTCCGTTTCCTTGCTGTTTGGCGAAGCAGCGTTTTGTTCCTGAAGATGAGATGGGTTCGATTCGGATTCCCCAGTCAAATCCACGATCTCCATCGGTATATTTATTGGAGCCACTGCCTGACTCTCCGGGACGTCAGACTCCCGCAACACTAGCGAGCATCCGCTGGACCGGCAGAGTTCGCTATCGTCTTGCAGCAACAAGCTCCAGTCTAGGAACACCGTGCGGGGCGGGAAGGCCAGAGAAAGCTTGTAGTTTTGCAGCTGCTGCCTTGTCACAGGACACCGGATAGCAGTAGTTCTCGCTGTACTAGTACTGGCACCTCCTGCTGCTGCAGGCGCGGGAGTCGGTGTGCTTGGGGGCGCCCACGCCGGCGCGGAAGTACCAACATTTCCATTCGAAGTAGCCCCACCTCCATCACCGCCGGTTACTACATGATCTTCGGTATCCGTCCCTACAAATGCTTCCAGCATCTGCTGCAGCGTTGTTTTCTTCGGGTCAAACGTTTTCGTCTCCCGCCAGCGCTGGCACTGCAGCGTGATCCTCACTTTTGGTTGGTTCAACTCGTCCTCGGCAATCAGTATGCACTGCAAATATGTCTGGATCGGGAAACCTGTGATCATGCTGAATTGAGCATGATAGAAGCGCTTGCAGTGGCAGCCAAGCATGACAAGTTTTTGAGTCGCCTGCTGATGCCTAGGTCTAGCACGCATTACAAATTGCCTTTTTGCATGACAAAGCAAGTTTCTCTTTTGCTGCTCTTCATGCAACACAGATTTTCCAGGAATGCAAGACACGCATCACAAGTTCCACTTTTCCAGACGAAGAGTACACTTTTGCATTTGATAATCAGGTCGAGAACCGTTTGACTCAGCCGACGTTCATTTGATTGGTCTGAATTCGCATCTATCCTGTGCAAAAGTATCGTACTCGTATTCATGCATTAGCATTACAAATCTTTTCCTTAACGTTAACCTTAATCAGCATTACAAATTTTATTTGTCATGCTGAGGAAATTTGTAATGCATTTATACGAGTACGATACTTTTGCAGTTCATAGCATCACCTGCAAGAGGACGTGACTCGATCCCTTCCTCATTCAGCGCGCCACTCATCTCATCATCTTGCTCTTCCGCCTCCTGCATTGCAAGTTGCCGTGCCAAAATCGCATCCAGTCGCGCCTGCCGCTCCTGTTCCGAAAGGTGGTGTGTTGGCTGATCTCCACTGGGCGAACTTGCGCTGGCGGCAGCGGCGTTTTGCGTTTGCTGTTGCTGCAATCTGTCGACGTAGGATCTGCGTTCCTCTTCCACGCGCTTCAAAATCTCCCTCCGTTCTTCTTCCCGGCGCTTCCGGGTGGCGGAATGGATGGTAAGGCCTGGGGTGGGAGCCGCGTGGGCGGGGGCGGCTTTCGCAGCTGCATTACCGGTCACTGCCCCGCCCGCTGTTGAAGGTGTCTCTTGTAGTGCAGTGGCAGCTCCGGCGGAATCAGCACGAGTGGCTTGATGCTGTGGTCCTTGTGCTCCTGGGTTAGAAGTTGTAACTACGGCCGTACCAGGAGGGGCAGCGACAACTACAACTCCCGCAGTCGAACTCGCAGCTGGTGTGTTAGAACTGGCGCTAATATTTCGTCCTGCTCCATCTCCCGCACTAGTTGTGCCAGTAGCGGCACCACCACCGCCGCCCATCCTCTTCAGCGCCGCCTCCCGTTGCCGCTGCCGCGCCGCTTCCTGTTCCTCCGCGGTTCTCGTAACAGTTGGCTGGCTCGCCGCTTTTGCTTTCGCGGCTGCGGAGCGACCGGGGGGTTGGAAATAACCAGCAGAACCGGAGGTTTGAGACGCCCCTGCTCCGATGCCCCGAATGCGGCTGGTATCCATCAGGCCGCCAAACATTGCTCCACCAGCTGCGCGTGCGCCCCCGCGGCCGCCCAAAGTGTTCCCGACAAAGCCGCCGGCATTCGCATTTGATGGCCGGAACATGCTGGTGCCTCCGAAAATTTCCCCAAATTGTCGCTGGAAAACACTATCGTCGTCGACACTTTCATCATGATCGTCTTCATCATGTGTACCTCCGCCAGCTGGCGAGTTCTCGTTGGGGTCGTCGTCTCTATCTTCCACTACGTCGGGCATTTGCTCATCCTCCTCCTCATCGTCTCGGTGCGCCGACACAGCACGACCTCCGCCGAAGTAGATTATTCCCTCATCTGCAGTACCCGCATCGGCATCGGCATTCGCTCCTGCCCGCGTACTAGCCACAACACTTCTACTGCTGTTGTTGGCACTCGCTCTGGCCGCGCCAGAAGTTCCGGCAGTATTTGATGGTACCACCACTTCCCGATCACAGAGTATCCTCGTGCAAAAGTATCGCACTCGTACCAGCCGCAGTATGTACTGCATGGCAGATTATGCTCCCTATACCCTCTTAATACCTGAATCAGCATTACAAACTCCACGTTTGTGTTGCGATTTCTACATACTAGGTAGCACAACACTTTTGCAATGCATACAGAGAATCAAACACCCACTCGGCACCACTCCTGCCTCGCGCAACGTCGCCGTCTCTAATTCCCCCACACTCCACTTTTTAAACGGGGGAAAACCCTGCCGCAGAGCCGGACGCGATTTTTCATCTGCAGAGGTGGTAGCTCCATTTCCAGCCGTAGAAGAAGCTGCTGAGTTCGCTTTCGCTAACTCTCTGTTCTGCAATTCCCGCGCCTCCTCGATCATTCGCATCGTCTGCTCGCGAAACTGCGGGTTCGCATTTTCGTGGAAGGGTAAGGATGCGTTGCGTAATTTCAGCAACTCCTCCTTCGCGAATTCGTAGACATCGGCTAGCGACGCTGACCCGTTAAACGCCGTCGTGTTGATCGCGAACTGTGTGTGCTTCTCCGACTTGATTTGCAACCGACAGGACGCGTTTGCGGGAGGCAGAGAAGGGCTAGCGCAAGTGTTTATCCCAGATTTCAGCCCCGATGAGCTGGCTGCGCCTCCTGCTTGCGGGTGTTGCAGTGCTCCTGTATTGCTATTGGCACCAGTGACTGCTGTTCCTGTTCCTGCCCCGGAAGTAGTGGTCGCAGTATTTTTCGCGGTCGGTATGCAGTGCAAAAGAAAAAGTATCGCACTCGTATAAATGCATATACAAATTTCCTCAGCATGAGAAATAAAATTTGTCATGCAGATTTAACTATAAGAAAAAGATCTGCGATGCATGATTACAATTACTACGTACGAGTACGATACTTTTGCAGTTCATAGTCGGATTGTGCAGCTCGTTGTACAGTGCCCGGTCCTATCCTGTGCAAAAGTATCGCATTCGTATAAATGCAAGACTTGCATTACAAATCTTCTTCTTAAGCTAAATCCGCATTACAAATTATATTTCTCATGCTGGGGAAATTTGTAATGCATTTATACGAGTACGATACTTTTGCAATGCATAGGTCCTGTTCAAACCGGAGTCGCTCCAACCGCAGTTTTTCCTCTTTTTCCAATTATGCATTGCAAAAGTATCGTACTCGTAGTACTAATCGCAATTATGCATGACAAAAATCTTTCGCAAGGTAAATCAGCATGACAGATTTCAGTTGCCATGTTGAGCAAATTTGTAACGCTAACGATACTTTTGCGATCCATACCAATTTTTTCGCCGCAATCGCCTGCTCTCTCCTCCGCCGCTCCTCCTGGCTGATCCCTACGGGACCGGAAGGTGGTTGCGAGGAGGCAGCAGCTGATGGAGGTTTTGCTTTCGCTTTATTCCCGGATGGAGCAGCTTTCTCCGACACTGTGCAGGCACCAGGTGCCGCATTTTTTTGCCCGTTCGTTGACGAAGACACCCCTGCTCCGGAGGCCAAGTTTAGCACTGGTTGATCATGTGAGATTGCCTGTTGGTGTGAAGCCGGGCCGTTCTGATGTTCTTGCGGCACTACAGCAGCTCCACCTCCTGCAGATGAAACTCCTCCTGCTGGGCTGACACTCTCCACGCCGGCCCGATTTGCTATGGCGTTCTCAAACGTTACATTCTCAACTGTTACATGGATTTGTCATGCAAAAATACCATGACCATCCACAAGATCAAGCTGCTTCGCATGACAAATTTGCGACGGGCTAAACAGCACCAAAATCTGCGCAAAATTTCTCTTGCAAAAGGCGCAATCTTCCTTCTTTCACTTTTTCCATTCTTGCATCACAAATTCATGTTACGCTTGAGAATGTAACAGTTGAGAACGCCATATTTGCGGAGAGGCGCAGGACCGGTTTTTTTACCCGCACGGTGCCGCACATCTCACAGGAATGCGCACTCTCCTCGTTGAGGAACGTGCAGGCGTCGCAGGCCCAGGTCATGTTTAGTGATTTATTTTCCTTCGATAAATTTCAAGTTTTGTTTCGTGTCTGTACCGAGGGGAAGGGGCAACTAATTTATTTTCGAGAAAGGATTACACACAACCACTTTCTTACCCACTCCTACATCGGAAGGTAGATTTTTAACATCACGCGGATACAATTTCTACAATACCAACCTTGGTCATCTTGCAACCACTGATAATCTTCTAAAACTACAGGATTTTCAAACAAAATTTCGTCACAGAGAACGACTCGGCCGCACGGACCAACTAGATCAATAAACTGATTTACCGCGATTCATCGAATCAGGCCTGTGTCTGTGAGTGTGACGCGAGCAAAGAAATAACAATCGACTTCGAATCGAGTTTCAACGTAGTTCATCCGAATGCTGGCAATGGATTCAACTTCAAGTTCAAATTCAAGTTCAACCTCTTACGTGAGATAATTAGGATCAACGAAAGCAAAAAAACGCCCATAGAAGTTCCGTGCAGCAGCTTTTTTCTTTTGCACTTTTGAAAGGATAAGGACTCAAATAGATGGCATGGTCCTCTCCGGAAACTTTTGACACACAGGCAATTCTAATTAATTTAGGCAAAAAAATCAGTTTTGATATCACTTGTGCTATCTTCATCGACCTTGTGGCTTTTAGCTTGTTTTTGTTTGACGCTGAAGTAGCGTTTTATCTTGGTCTTGTCCGCTCCATGGGCATGCATGTTCTTGAGGAGATCCGGCAAGTTTTTGGGGTTTAGACAACAAGAACTGATGAATCCACCAAATATTTGCAGCAATAGCAATACGGCCACAACTCCCTACATTTTCATCCAACCTGGAAAACCTCAAGTACAACGACCACCCTTCAAAAAACAAACTTATCATGGCAGAAACGCAGAAAGAGAAAACCCGGTAATGTTGGAAATGCAATTGAGGAAACAAGCTTACCAGGTATCACTGACGGCTTTTGCTGCCTGGCTTCTTTTATTCTTGGACGAACACGACTGCGACACGGATAGCAGGAAAAAGCTAGAGCAGCAGTTCGCTGTTCGTAGCTGAAGTTTCATATTGTTCATTGGCCCAATTCATCAATTTCATTTTCATGCTCATGGCTGTTTCGTCTGCCAATGCACGATCAGCCCTGGCTTGGTACATTTTGTTTTTCTTTTTCCGAGTACAAGAAAATTGAGTTGACTCAAAGAAAGCGCTAGTACCGCACGCACAATCAAAAGCCGTCGCCGTCCTGTGTTGTCATTACTTACAAAACAAGACCCTCCTGTGACAGAATGTACAGGTGGAAGTACAACATTTCGTTAGATTTAGAAGCTTCGATAGCTCAATCTTGGATTCAAGTTTACTTTTCGTTTTCCTCTGAAGAAGATCATTTTTATCTCCGATATTCATTTCACCGCAGCCTCGATTTTCTTCAGCAACACCGAGCGAAAATCTAGCACCGGTCTTGGATCGTGACGCGCATGGTGGACATTTCCACCGCCCGCTGCGCCTAGTGCTGACGAAGAACCTGAGTTACAACTTGTCTCGCCCCGACTACTAGATGAAAAACCGACCGAAAAGTCTTCCTCCCGCAAGACGAGTAATTTCCAGCCCAGTTTCCGTATCAGCCGGTGCTTGAACAGACTCATTCCGTCCTGCTTCCCGTCAGATAGAAAATGTTTGCCGCCCCGCCCGTCGATCTCGATGGCCAGGTTTAGATCTGGTAAGAGCAAGTCGATCAGCAGGAGGTCGTCGGAATTCTCGAGCGTTTATCCTGTGCAAAGTCTCGTACTAGTAGTAATCGCAGCCATGCATTACAAGTCTCCATCCCATGGTAGATCAGCATGAAAAATTCCATTTCTCATGCTAAGCGAATTTGTCATGCGGTTTTGATTTATACTAGTACGTTACTTTTGCAATGCATAGTGTGGCCTCCGCGACTACTGTGTTCACGTTCGGCATTTGTTTCTCGGATTTCAAAATTTGGTACAACTGTTTGTGGAGCCGGTTGCAGGCTGGCAGGTGCCGCTTCGAGGTGAGAAGGGCCGTGTCAGTTGTAGATGTGGTCTTTTTCGAAGAGAAGTTTGGATCACTGCTTGCAGCAGGACTTGGGGGAAGAGAACGACGGGAAACTCCGCCCTGTTCAAGCTGCTGTGCGCTTCCTTTCGTAGAGATCACCGAGCCGTCCCCGTCTCCTCCGTCGTGGCATGACAGGTTCTCTTGTTCATTCCGAGCCTGCTCCCTAAACAAGCGCAGACACAATCTGACGTACCCTAACTGCGTTTTCTCCATGTCTGGGAGCTGCTGCAGAAGAGTGTCGTGTGTGTTGGTATTTCTCGTAAAATTTCCGTAATGCCGGTCCTCTGCCGTGCTCCTGCATGACAAACTGTCAACATTCACTTCTGACGCGAGTCCACTATTCCGCAAAACCTTCTCGGCTAATTTGTAGTGTTCCAATGCGCACAGAGACCACGCAACACACACAAAGTTGCGGAGTTGGAGTTTTGTCAGCTTCTTGCTGTGGTGTCTCCTTTGCCCACTGCCACCAACACCATGACCATTTGCAGCGTTTTCACTTACCAACTGGTCGTCTTTCTCGTCCAAAAGGAAAGGCCTCAACCCTTTATCTAAGTGTTTCTCCGGCCTATACCCATCGAAGTTTAACACCGCGAAACCGAAGATCATGGAGACAAAGTCTCGGCTGGTCGTGCACGCGGTCAAGGACAGTTGCTCCAATAGCTCTTTATCCGTAATCCGGTTTTGCGCCAGCGTGTAGCACGCGATAGAAGCGATGGAAGAGGCGAGCGATTTGTTGTGTTTTCTCTGCGTCAGGGATAACAGACACAGAGACGGCTGCTGGTAGCTACCACTAGAAGAGCCACCAGCTCCCAGAAGTTGCTCGAGAACTGACTTCAGAAAACCGGAGTTTACCAGAAACGCCAAGAAATTCTTCGCATCCCGATTCGTCGTCGTGTCCCACTTTGGGGTTTTAAGACTACTATTCCCGTGGGTAAAATTGGAATGCGCAACCCCCGGGGTGATTTCTTGTCGCGACAGTGCGGCGAGAATCGTTCTCACGTCTTGGATATGAATTGCAAAAGTATCGCACTCGTATAAATGCAAGCCTTGCATTACAAATCTTGTTCCCAAGACAAAGCTGCATTACAAATTTTATTATTATTTCTAATGCTGAGAACATTTGTAATGCATTTATACGAGTACGATACTTTTGCAGTTCATACTGGAACCGGAGCTGGGTGATGGCGGCGGGATGGAGATCATGATTTTTTTCTCGTGCGGAAGATAAAGTTGTAATGATCCTGTGTAAAAACGTCCCCACTCCATAGTTGTCATGCTAAACAAAATGCGACACACTTTGCCCCCCCATTGTGCCATGGCCGCAGATGGCTTGAGACGCAGGGAGGGTGGGTCAGGCGGACACCAAAGTGCCATCGCCATCATCTCCCGGCCACTATATTCCAACTCTGTTTATCGCCACCTGCCAACTTGCCAACTCCATAGTTGTCATGCAACTCTGCATGCTTAGCATGTTTCTCATGCGGGGCCCCATGAGAAGCGTTTTCTGATGCGGTTTTGAAGTTTGTCAATGTCATGCTCCAATCAGCATGAGAAACTAGATCTGTAATGCTGCTGAACTAGCTCAAACAGCACTACACTACGCGTCCAAATTTGTCATGCCGAACAACCAAAGCTGTGTGATTTGTCTAGCAGATTTCCCAAGTTGACTCTGGTGTGGGGACGTTTTTACACAGGATAGTAGTTCTTACATCCTGGAACCGGAGCTGGTTGATGGCGGCGGGATGGAGATCATTATGTCCACCTTGTGGGGAAGAAGAAGAAGTAGTAGTGTCTGACACTAAGCACGTTGTACTCGTGTATTTGCAATTTTTCTCCACCAGCTCCACAACTCTTTGGAAGGCCAAGTTTTGCATCTGCCTCAATATCGTCAGAACCGTCGCTTTGGACATCTCGTTGGCCGCTTGCGGCTGCGAAATATGCATTGCAAAAGTTTATCGTACTCGTACTAATTGCACCCATGCATGACAAAGTCCTTCACGTTGAGCCAAATCAGCATTACAAATTGCATTTGTAATGATCATCATGATGCTGAGAATAACCTTTGTAATGCAATAAATCTACGAATCCGAAGATAAACTTTCACACTGGATACGAAAACGCAAGGGCAAATTTGGATAGAGCGTTGATCACACCCGCTAATGCAGTGAAGGCCGAGCTTATGAGAGTGCACAACTCCTCCTCCCCCTCTTTTGTAGTGCATGAACAGCAATACAAACACCAGTACACGTGGAGCCAGTGCATGACAAACCCTCCATGCGCCGAGTGTAGTGCCGTTTGGGCTTCCGGAGTCTGTCATGCAAACAATGCCACAGGGAAGCACTTGGAACTGGAAGTGGGGTTTTGCATGACAAATGAAGGGGAGGGGGGGTGTGCAATCTCATAGAGCTGAAGTTGGTCACGGTTTTGGTGTTCCTCGTTTGATGGCCGCGTAGTTCTGCATGTTCGACAAATGAATCAGAATCCTGCTCGGCACCAGATGTTCTTCTTCCCACTTCATCTTGCTCCTGTTCTTGTTTCACTCCAGTACCAGTGTCTGCATGATCTCTATCTGTATCTGGCAGCACGTCAAATAGAATCCCCTGCTTTATCAAATCGTCTTTCCGGGCGACCAACAGCTTCTGAATTTCAAACAGAAACAACTTGGACGCTTCCTCGAAGTGGGTTAAATTCGCTGCATGGTTGATGTTAAAATTGTTTCTGTTGATGTTCTTCGACAGCGTCGCGCTTGATCTGGAGTCGCCTCCATGATCTCCTTCCCATGCCACGACCTGCGAAAACTGCGCGGCGCTCGTGGAGGCCGCGAGGACTGAACTCGGTAGGTAGTAATCTGCTAAAATGCCAATAAAGGTCGCGATCGTCCGGTAAGAGCTGTTGAACCCGTTATCTCTGCTGTTCCGCGGTTCCCACTTTCTCTGTCGCAGCTCCGTGAGTAAAGCGACGAAAACTTTCTCCAGTTTCGCGTTTTTTTGCTGGGAGTTGTAGTTTGTCATGCGAGAATGAGAAGAAGAAGCTGTCTGCGCTGTCGAACTGCCGGCAGCAAGCTTGATAAACCGGATTCCGAAAGCGTACAGCAGCTGTGCTAAACTCTCGAGGGAATAATCCTTCAACGCGGTCGTGGTGGCCGTTGTGCGAGAAGTACTTGCAGATGAAGTTCTTTGCGCCGTTGTAGCAGCGAAGGAGCTATGATCTTCTTCTGCCTCCTCAGGGGCACCATCCTCTACTTTTCTGTTCGTCTTAACAATCGTGGCATCCGCCAATACGCGAGCCTCCGCCTGGGAGAAAACGAAGTCGAGGATTTTCCCGGCAAGCTCATGCTTATTCGGTAAATTCGTTGTAACTCCTCCTCGAGCGGAGCAGTTACTGGCAGAATTCGTCATGCCATACTGCAAGACATCTTCATCTCGACAACTGCCCCCACCATTATCATTCGGCGGGTTCCGTGCGTGTTGATTCTGCTCAAAGTAGCAGCTTTTCGCCACCGACCAGAGAGTCAGTGTGAAGTCAAAGCTGCTGCAAGTCTGCAGAATCCCCACGTCTTGTTGGAACAAGTTCCGGAGCAAGCCGATGGCTTTCGCCTCGTTCCCCGTTCTCGCGCAGGTGACTAGCTCCTTGATGTTGAACGACATAGAGTCGGCGCCTTCATGTTGTTCCTGTTCCATTTGCATGCTATTCGTATTTGAACTTGTCCGCGGCGATGTGAACGCATGATTGCACTGTCCGACAGGATCGTGGTACAACTGGCGGCCGTCAGATGTTCTCGCGGGAGGTGCGGGGGGCGCAGCCACTGTCATCTGCGGAGATGGTGGACAAAGGGCACTTCCAAAGGCTCTCCGTTGACCAACATGAGGAGCATGAATGGATGGGTTCCTACACTGCTCGTGTGCTACCGGATGAAGAACAGGAATGGCGGGAAAGCTCCCTGCCGCCCCGGCAACGATATCAGAAGCCGTTGCTCTTGTCACGGTGGTGCCATCTTCAATTCTTGGCACTGACAAGCCAGCCGCGTGGCGGCGGTACGCGCAACAACGTTGCGGCGCATGTGCCGGGGGACGAACAAAACGCGATCGCAAAGCAGGCATATTGATATTGCTTCTGGCTACTTCACTTTGGAAAAACTCTGCGCCAACAGCCGCCAGTTCCAGTTTTATGCAGCTCTTATCATCATCGATCTGGGTCTAACTAATAGAACGAAATAGAAGCAGAAAGATAGACTACAACTTCAACGGCCACGAGGGCGGTGCGGCTTGGCTTTAGGGTTAGCAGTAACAGCACGATTGCGAATACAAACGAAAGTAATAAGTCCAAAGGCAACGAACAGTACGGGCGTACACCCAACGCCAGCTCAATCGCTATTCCAGGGCATTTGCGCACAGGGTCGCGTCAGACAGTGACATACTCAACGGCCAACGAGGGTCATCCTAAAAGGTAAAGGTCAGCAACAAGCCCACACGCATAATGGCACGCAGGCAACTAACACACACGGCCCTGGCCCGGGCGCGCGACCTGCAATGGGCGGGCGCGCGCGGCGGCCAACCTATGGCAGCGCCAAAACAAAAGAGCCGCGCAAGCGGCCCGCCGGGAGGGTCGGCGACCGGCGGCCGCCCGAGTCGCCGATATGGCAGGAAACGCCCACGCCTAACAAACCCTACCCGCGCAGCAGGTTGAGTAACCGAAAACGAGAGCAACGAACGCCACCGCTCGGCGTTGAAAAGCGACGCCCACCATATTGCACGGGCGCGCGCGGCGCACGCTATCGAGAAACCCGCAGGGGGCTGGTGCCAGAAGGCCAGACCCGCCACACGATCAGAGGGCGCGGACCTGCTCAAACGGATCACCTTGCCAGGCAGGGGTCCCCAAGAAGGCAATCGGCCTCGTGCTGGGCGCGACAAGGTCCCCAGCCTGCAGACCCTGGGGGCCCGCGTGGACATCGCGCCAGGCGTTGCGGCACCCCGCGACCTGGCTGCCTGCCCGTCGTCCGTTTGGCCGGCGCCGAACCAACGCCGCGCGCCGCGCCCCATGCCGGCGGGTCACGGACGGGGGAACGACCGGCGGCATGCTCAAGATGGACGAAATCAGCCGCATAGGTGGCCACGTTCGCCATTGTCGCGAACTGGTCGTCGAACTGCGCGACGTCAAGCTCTTCGGGATCGGGAAAGCTCAGCATTAGGCTCGCGAGCGGGGAGTGGGGGAAATCACAGAGCCTGGCCCTCAATCTCTGGAACTGCGCCGCCTCCGCACCGCCGTCGTTTGTATAGGCTTCCGCCCCCTGCAGTTGTTCCAAGGAGGCGCGCCTGCGCTGCGTGAGGTATTCGCCAGGACCGGGCGCAAGGTGGGCCATTTGCGTCTGTGGGGGCCGGAGAGATTCATTGAAACGATCGCGGCCGCCCCGACGCCGGGGGGCACTACGGCAGGCAGGCCACAAACAACCGCCCGCGGGGGCAACAGGCCGGAGGCTGGGGCCCATGGGTTGTCGCCCTCCTCGGCCGCAAAGGTAAGCCCGCGGCCCCTCCAACTAAGTAACACTTTCCGCAATCGGCTTCGGCCTGATCCACGTCGCCGCCTGCTCCGCTTCGCATCTGCTTCCAAAAGTGCGCCATTTTGCGCGCGCTGCCTCGCTTGTGGGCAAACCATTCGGCCTGCCTCGCTTGTGGGCAAACCATTCTGCCGCGCTTGGGCCGCGAGTGAGCAAGCGCGGCGCGCTTGCTCACTCTCGGCGGGCTATCACAGTCGCCGGCGCCACCGTGCGGGAAAAGCAGAAACACTCGGGCCATGCCACCGCCCGGCCGCACGGCAATGGGCGCGCGGCCTAGCCTGGCGCGCTTTTGCCGATTCCCTGCCGCCCCGGCCGTATTTGGTAGAAAGCCCAAAGCCAAAAGCCTTCACGCCCTGCGCCCGCAGGGCCTTCGTCGATTTGCGGCGCTACGTCTACACGAAACAGCCCGCGCCCATCCGTAGCGGCGGACCTGCCATCCAAGTCCCACAAGTAGGCACGCGCGTGAAACACACGGGGCGCGCATCGGTTGCGCAGAGCTGGCGGGCCTTGCGCCTGTTTTCGGCCTCCTTGCCGGTCCAAAATTAAAGGCCGCGCGGAACTGGCACCAGCGGAGCGCAGGCGACCCCACCAGAGGGCCGGCAAAAATTGGCCAAAGCGCAGAAGCGGGAAGAGTTGCCTGCGCCTGCCAACATCTTGCGCCTGTCCTCGATGTTTTTCCAACCGGCGGGCCCAATAACTCGGCGCGCATTTGTTCCCCCCGAAGAATAAAACGAGGCAGCAGCTCGGCGAGGTAGCAGCTCGACGACGGTGCCTTTGCCACTTCCATCATACTCTTCTTGCCACATTCGTCAGCGAGAAGCAGCTTCAGAGCCGCCCCCGAAAGAACACGCGGAGGACATTAGCATTACTCCATGTTCATACGCGTCCAATTTTATTTTCCATCACGAATTAGGACGGAATCTTTAAAGTTGTATCTTCGATGCGTTCTTCCTCTTCACTAATTCGCGTTTTTTGTCGTTCTTTTGCTTCATCAAACAATCACTTCGATGAAGCCTTCTGATAGAATTTTTGTCAACATCATCTGAAACAAACTTTACCCTATGCTCAACTTCTTCTACTTCGAGTTTACAACTTACACTTCAACTTTTAATCTTATTCATCAGGCTGACAGTCTCATAGCTACAGCACACCCCCTACTACTTTTCCTTCGTCATCGTCAACTTCCACCCATCCCATACACGACGGCCCCTCCTCCGCCCGCCTTCACTTTGATCACGCCATTTTCCTCATCCACCACCGCTTTACTCACGGCGACCCCTGGAGGAAATAACGTCATCGAGGACCCGTTGTTCCTGCCTTGCTTCCCCCGGCCTTTACTTTTCCCCAGCTTGTTGTTCCCCGCCGCGCCTCCAAAAGCTCCTCCTGTCCTCTCGTGCAACGGCGAGTAGCCAAAAACACCCTTCCTTTCCAGCGCGTAGAACTCACTCATGCCCTGCAGGATGTCCTGGCCCACGATGGTGAGGCTCGACTCTAAAAACCGGCTGTGAAACTTCATCGCGTTGGTGATGATCGTGATCGGGGTGGTAAGTGCGAAGATCGGCAGTTCCGTGTAGGGCTTCTCCTGGGAAAGTTTTCGCAAGCAGAAGGTCGCGGGCAGGTGACGAATCATCGTCGTCGAGATTTGCGCGACGGGCGAGAGTTGTGCTTGCGTTTCTTGGGAAGAAGGTGCCAATCCTGTGTAGTGGTTTGGTGTTCTTCTACCACTTCTACTTTCACCGGTTTTATTCGACGTTGCGGCAGAAGTGACGGTAGTAGAAGTGGCTCCTGCTGGTCTACTCTTCATCTTCTCCTGCTCGTCCACCATTTGTTGCACTTCCTCCGCCTGTACTAGTCTCGACGCCTGCTTGGTCTCCATCTCGAGCGCAGAATCGAAAAACGAAAACCAAAGTCGGGACAAGTCCTCGTTTGTCAGCACTCCTGCGTTTCGATCGCAGTACTGGTCCGCATTGGTGATCAGTTTCGTTGTGACAAAATAGTCACTTTTGCTTTTGTTCCCCATCACCGAAGATCCAGGAATTTTAAAATCCTCTACCGCCCGCGCTCCGGCCGTATTGTTGTCCCCCTCGTGTTCTTCTTCTCCGGTGATGTTCCTGGTGCCAACATGATCAAGCAGCAAAAGATGGCCAATTTCGGTTCTAAACTGGCGCACAAACAACTGGATCGCCCGAGCGTGGTCCCCGACTTTTTCCAACAGCCAAATTGCTCCGTCGATGATCGTGCTAGAGGAAGCGGAGGGGGGCGATGGTGTTGATCTCTTATTCAGACTATTTATTCCGGAACCTGTTGTCATGTTGCCGATCGTGATTCCAGTTGTACGACCCGCCTTGCCTGACAGTGCACCAGAAGCTGACCCTGCACCTGCTTGTTGTTCCTGTTCCTCTTGCAACTTGAGCAAACACTCCCGCAGCGCCTCCTCCACCGGTAGAATGGATTCGAATTCCAGGATATCAAATGCAAATGTGTCTGGGACTGGAATATTAAACTTGTAATGCTAGGTGGACAATCTTGGGGACGTCCCGATTGGTGGCCAGGCATGACAAGGTTTTGAGCTGCTAGGTACTATGCCTGTTCTGCATGGCAAACTGCGTTCTTTCCAGCGCAGCACAGAAATTATAAACTCGAATGCTTGATGACTAACGCGCATGACAGACTTGAGAGTCATACTGGCTGAGCATGACAAACTCTGCATTCTTCCAGAGACATATTTGCAACGCATACAGGAAAAAATCAAACACGTTCTCCGGCTCCTGGTCGATCATCAGCTTTGTGAACGAAAGGATTATGCAATGCAAAAGCATCTTAATACTACGTGTACCGAAAAATCGCATGACAAACTTTCTCGAGAACAAGAGACTATAGAATTCGTCATGCGGATTCAGTTAGTAACTAACCAGATTTGTCATGCGTGATTATACGATTAGTACGAGTGGGATCATGCTTTTGCAGTGGATATGGATGTACGACTGGCAAAACTGGAGCTCCGTGGACGTTTTCGTTGCTCTCAAGGTACTAATATGCATTGCAAAAGTTTCGTACTCGTAGTATTGCAATACAAATTAGCTCAGCATGACAAATGGAATTTGCCATGCTGATTTAGCTTGAAAAATAAATTTGTAATGCTAATGCATAACTGCAATTTTTAGCACGAGTACGATACTTTTGCAGTTCATAACTAGTTGTGTTTTGATTGGCACCTTGATGCTCTGCGTCCTGCTGTTCTTGTTTATTCCCGCCCGCTGCGGTCCTAGTAGTTCCTGTCGTAGCTATTCCATGATGCGACGTTTTCAACACTTATCCACAGTAAACTTCCCGCACACGTACAAATGCGGTCTCTGCATGACAAAACTTGGCTTCGATCCTAGTATAGCATAACAAGTTTTACTACGCTCCAAATTGGTGAAATTTGTGATGCATTTTGTACATGTACGGGAAATTTGTATTGAATAACACTCCATCATGGTCCATACCACTCCCCCCGCTAGTTGTACTTCTGGTCGAAAACAAGTGTTTGAAAAATTTGATCTGCAAGTGCGGCAAATTCTTCGTCAGTGCGTCAGCGATCTGCTTGTAATCAGACTGAAAAAGTTCCTTTCCCGCGATCAAGATGATTTCGCAGGTTTTTTCCAAGTCGATCTGTTCTAATTTTTTCAGTAATTCGTTGTTATCCTCGGTAAAAACGCGCCAGAGGTGGCTGTTCTGTCGCTTCGCGGGGGACGAGTTCGATTTGTCGTTGTTGTTTTTGATCAGTTGCGTCAAATATTCAAACAGCCCCGCGGTCGCCTTCGCTCGGGAGCCCTGGTCGGAAGGCATTGAAGATGCGAGGGTTGTGGTTGCAGCAACTGCTCCGGACCCTCCTGATGATGAAGCGAGATCGTTTATTTGCGTAGGATTTCTGCTCGCATTTTTTCCCTCTACGACCTTCGCTGGGCTCGCGGTCCGGAGCTGCAGCTCGTACAATTTGAGCCTGGAATTGATATCCCAGGAAAAAACAATGTAGGCGTAAGTTTTATTGGAGGCACAGCATTACAAATCTGTCTGGCATGAAAACAAAAATCTGTCATGCGCAGAGCGTACGGGAAAACGCGTTTGAATGGATCTTACATCAATGCATGCCCAGCATGACAGCTGCAATCGCTTTGCATGTTGCGCATCACAAAGTTACACCAACAATGTTTTTTTGTTCGGATAATTGACCGCCTTGCTGTATTCTTCAATCGATTCGTAGAGAAAGGCCTGCAGGCGGAGGAATATCAAACAAAAGAAAAGTGCTCACGTTATAACGGTTCTCACAGATTGCAGTAACGCATGACAAATTTTGGCTAGCATGCGTGCTATGCAATACAAATTCAAAATTGAGCACCTTTTCCAACAAGTGATTGTGATGCATTACTGCATCACAAATTCCGTTAACGTTAAACACTTTTTCCTTTGATAAGGAAAGACCGTCTCTCACACTGCGCGATGATCTGCTGGATGGCACGCTGCGGGTTCTGAATCGTTTCAACGGCTGCTCCTGCAGGATTAGCTGGTGGATGAACTCTATGCTCTGCAAAAGTATCGCACTCGTAGTAATTGCAGTCATGCAATTAAATTTTTTTCTCAAGGTAAATCAGCGTTACAAATTTGATTTGTAATGCTGGGCTAAATTGTAATGCAATTTATACTAGTACGATCATGCTTTTGCAGTGCATAAACTCCGTCACTCAGAAGTTCCTCGTGCGGGTTGAAATACGGGAGAGTTGTTGAGCCCGACCCTCCTGGCAGCGCCACACCAGTCGCTGTATTGGAGTAGTTCACGACGGTACCCTTATTCATCATCTGTAGTTGCGGTTGCCCAGGAAGACGAGGACCTGGACCACCTCCAGGAGTCGATACAACAGCTGCCAAATTCAAGAACTTCTCGCACCGTTTGAAAATCAGCACGCACAAATCTTCCAACTCCGTGACGGTGGCTTTGTAGGAATGCAGCCGCTGTTTCGTATCTTCCACCAGGCACTTTATCACCGTCATTCCGGCCTTCTGAATCCAGATCGAAGTCTCTTCCCCGTTTATCCCATGAAAAAACTGTTTCACTGTCATGTCTTTGCAAGATCTGCTTCACAAGTTTGTTGAAAATTTCTAATGCGCGCTTTCCCGGGGAAAACACGCTTGAAAATCCAATGTATTGCAGGCGTAGCAAGACAAGTAGTTCTGTGTTCCATTTTCTGCATCACAAGTTCACAATGAAAAAGTTTTTTCTTGCGATACCGTTGGCCAGCGCCCGCCCAATGAACCAGGTGTAGCAGTCGGCGGCGTGGGCGAGTTGCTTCTGCGAAATTTGCGTCGTCGCGGTTTTTTTCGTGATTGTAAACCACTGCTTAAAACTGACCATAACCTCCTCAATAAACGTGTCCTGCGACTGGAGTAGTTTCAGAGCCTCGTTCTTCTGCGCCCCCTGCTCCACCGACAGCTTGCTGCTGTCTGTATGGAAGTGCACAACTCCCCGCACTCCCCCACATTGTATGGCATGAACAGTATCACAACCACCAGCACAGGCGGACCCTGTGCATGACAAGTTCTGCGCCGAAGGAGTGCAGTACTGTTTGGGATTCCGGAATTATTTGTTATGCACACTGTGCCACAGAGCGGCAACTGGATTTGGGTTTTTCCATGACAAATGAGGTGGACGGGGAGTTGTACACTCTCATAGTCTGTCCGCTCATACCAAAAAACGTTCCCGCCCCCCACCGCGCCGCCGGAAGAGAGAGAGAATAATTGCGCGAAGGAGCGGAACAGTGATACGGGGGACAGGTTCATGATCTTCGCGAACATGTCCGGCGGGGCGTCGGCCACATCCGTTTTCCGGCGCAAGAAAATTCGCTTCAGAACGTCACGGATCTCCACACTCGTAGGCGGCTCGGTCCCCGCGAGAAAGCTGGATCCGGACAGACTGGAGAGGAGGAAGTGGTAAAGCTTGCGCACCAGCAGGAATTCGCAAAGTGCCGGCTCGATGATCCTGACATCTTCGCTTGACGGTTGATTTCTCGGAGAACAAGAAGTCCCACGACCTGCTGCTGCAGATGTAGTTTCCATGATGTTGACACCAGGCGGCGTATTTGCAGGCGAATTGACGTTCGATTTCCGTTTCGACTTGTTAAAAATCCGCGTGCACTCCCCGATATCCACTGCAAAAGTATCGCACTCGTACTGATCGCATTGATGCATTACAAGCTTTTTTGTTAAGTTGAATCCGAATTACAAATTCCATTTCTCATACTGGGGAAATTTGTCATGCAAATTATACGTAGTACGATGCTTTTGCAGTCCATACCCGACGAGCAGCTCCAGTGGACTGGTAAAATCTTTCGTCGCCAGGTACACGTAGATCAGGGCGGTGTAGTATCCTGTGTAAAAACGTCCCCACCCCATAGTCAAGTTGGGAACTTAGCAACACAAACCCAGAAGTGGTGGGAGCCACGCATGACAAGTTGCAGGCCGTAGTGTAGTGCATGCGAGCAAGGACAACCGCATCACAAATCCATCTGCTTATCCTGTTACCAGAATTACAAATTCCAAAACACGACTGGAAATCCCTTCTTTGGGGATGCGCATTACAAACGTTCCTGTAATCGCAAATCTGCATGACAGCTCTGGTGTGGGTATGTTTTTACACAGGATATGTAGCACCGAAACTGCGTGAGAATCCGGATAGCCAGGTTGAGATCCAGACGAAACAGGTCGTTCCTACTGGAAATAACTAAGCGGGTCAAGTGCAGCGCGGATTCGAACGCGTGCGGGAAGAAGTCGACCTGTCAGTATTGGCGTTGTTGAATTCAGCGTTTGAAAAAGTTATGCAAGTAAAACAAATTTTTCTCGTTATAGTATGAAGGCTCCTCTGGGTGCGAGCGACATTCCGACGTAGCTACTTTAGTACTCAGCGAAAAACGCGATGGTGCATGCTGCTTACACAGAAGCTTCTTTGCGTGTAAATACCAAAGTCGTAAAATCGCCTGAGTACAAATGATTGAAAAGACAAATACAATCGATTCAGGATGAAAAACCGTTTACCTGATCTTCGCCGAGCTTCACATTCAGATACTCGTCATGCTGAATGTGATACGGCAGGGTCGCTAGCGGTTTCATTTCACCATCCTTCAACGAATCCACCGCTAACGTGAAATCCTTCACCGAAAAAAAACCGACAGAAGATGTTGAGGCATCAGAGCCACCTCTGGAAGTACTTCCCACCTGCACGGCCGAGGACGCGAAAGCGCGCGATCCAGGTGGTCCATTACTCGCTGTTGACGCTGTTTTCTTGATATGAACTGCAAAAGTATCGTACTCGTAGAAATGCATATACAAATTTCCTCAGCATGAGAAATAAAATTTGAAATGCGGATTTTCCTTAAGAACAAGATTTGTAATGCATGATTGCAATACGAGTACGATACTTTTGCACAGGATACTTGAACAACCGCGCCACGGTTTCCTCTTCCTCCTGCAACCTGGCGGAGTAGCTGTCGAGGATACTGGAATTATCAAAAGGAAAAATCCCCCATCCCCATATCGATGAAAAGGAGACTTGTGATGCTGTATCTGATTACACAAATCGACTTGTGATGCTAGAAGGCCAAGAGCCGCAGCTGTGGCCTCGTTTGCAGGCAATTTGTCACGCTGTTTCCCCCTTCCAATTGCTCTCTGTCATGATGAAGGCGCAAGGCTTTCGCACGCCAGCCAGCACTGCGCTCCGCATGTCATTCCTTCTAGCATGACGCAGCTGATTTGTGGCCACAAATCTGCATCACAGATTTCCGTTTTGATATGGGGAGGGGGGATTTTCTTCTCGATAGGAATACACCTCCGCGTCGATTTCCTTTACCAACCCGTTTTTATCCAAGGAAAAGACTGTTACAGTTACACACTTGTAGTGAAACTAGCATCACAAATTTGCGTTTGCCTCGCATGACGCCGTAAACTTGTAATGCAGAGATCATAAAGGCAAAACACACACGAAACGAGACTCGCAAGCATTTTGCGCATAAGAGAGGTCGTCTGTCTTGCATGTTTTGCATAGATGACTATGTGTGTAACTGTAACACTTTTTTCTTTGCATAGTTTTCCAACAGTAAGTACTGCTCCAACGCGTTGATGAAGTAGGACTTCTGCTTCTTCGTCGACAGCCGGGCGAAAAACCGTTTGTACATGGGGTCATAAAGATCGCACTTGAGACACACCGTAATCACGGTTTCGACGGTTTTTTTCATCAGTTGCTGTATTTCTTCTGCTGTCCTGTGCAAAAGTATCGCACTCGTTGCATTGCAATCATGCATTACAAATCTTTTTCTTGCAAGCAGATCAGCATTACAAATTCCATCTCTCATGCTGAGGAAATTTGTAATGCATTTATACGAGTTATACGCTGCTTTTGCAATTCATATCTGCGGGTTTGATCGCCGACTGCTTTTCCGTCACACTCGCATCCTATTCTGGGCAAAAACGTCCTCACCCCAGAGTTGTCATGCAAATCTGCATACCAAGAAAGTTTCTCATGCGGATGCACATGGAAAGCATTTTTTAGTCAAGTCGTGGAATTTGTGATGCTAGAATCACCAAGATATGCTAGATCTGTGACGCTGCTGAACTATCCAAAGAGGATTACACTACAAGGACAAACTTGTCATGCGAAGCAACCAAAGCTGGTTGATTTGTCTAGCAGATTTCCCATCTTGACTCTGGTATGGGGACGCTTTTACACAGGATACATCCATCCCGAGCCTCTTTTGCGTTTGCAAAATCTTTTTCGCCATCTTTTCCGCGACCACCAGTTGGTAGTCCAAAAAGCCGATCAAGAACTGCGTGATCTTCTGCTTCAAAATCGGCTTCCGCTGCTTGTCCTCGATCGGGAAGTCGAGGAGCGGCGTTAACTTTCCGTCGAAAACGTCGACAAAGAGACGCAGAATTTCCTCCATGGCGTTCTCAAACGTTACACTCTCAACTTTTGCATGAATTTGTAATGGAAGAATGGCAAAAGTGAAAGGAGGAAGATTGCACCTTTTGCATTACAAGTTTCATGGCGCAAATTGTAACGCTATATGGCGCGTCGAGAACTTGTCATGCGAAGCAGCTTGCTCATGTAGATATTTATGGCGCTTCTGGATGACAAATTCATGTAGTAGTGGAGAATGTCTCGTTTGAGATCGCCATATCCTCCCACCGCTTGTTGGACGAGGAGGAATTGAGGCTATCCGTGTCCAAAAGCATATTCGTCAGCTTCAGCCAGCTGGTCAATTCGATTTGCGTGAAACCTTGGTCTGTCAGGAGATACAATGGATGGTTCAAAGCGCCGCCGCCCTGGACCTGGAGTTGTGCTGACTGCGTTTGATATTTAGATTTTTGTACCACAGTGTAGTTCTTCTCGTAACTGATGCCGTTTTGTGCAGTGTTTTTCCTTTGGAGTTCTTGTTCTACCCCAGGTGGTAAATTCTTCGCCAGCGCCGCCGGCAGATTTGCTTGATAGGACGACCCTGTCGCAGAGGAGTTCCGATTTTTCGGCAGGTTTTCGATCAGTTGGTTCGCACCCTGCAAGGACTTTTCCACCAAATTCGAGTGGATTTCTACCATGGTGCTCGCCGCATCTCGCGTATCAACTGCCAATATGTCTGGCTCTGGAAACTTGTGATGCAAGTCCGTGAACAATACGTGCTCTGTAATGCGCCGCCAAGCATGACAAGTTTTTTCGTGCTTCTGTAATGCGTATTTCGCATGAGAAACTGCGCTTTCGCATGACAGGCCAGAGGACCTCTTGATGGCAACGCAATACAGAGCGCAGAGTCACCGTCACGCCAGACTAGCATGACAAATCTCGCAATCTTCCAGGCCCAGATGACATATTTGCATTTGATATCGCGTCATTTTCGCGGATTGCTGGGCCACGTTCCTCGTCGTCTTCGCTGCATCTTATCCTGTGCAAAAGTATCGTACTCGTAGTAATTGCATTTATGCATTACAAATTTCTTTCTAAATTCAAATCAGAATTACAAATTTCATTTGTAATGCTGGGCTAATTTGTAATGCATTTATACGAGTACGATACTTATTTTGCAAATCATACATCCTGCACCACGTTGACGGTCTTCTCCTTTAAAGTCGAAAGAAACCCAAACGCACGTTGCCCACCGTGGTCTTTATTCCTTTTCGAGGGGCTAATGCCGCCGTCCTGGAAGCCGTCTTCCGCGGAGCTGCTGGTGGCGGAGGAGGTCTCAGAAGAGGTTTTCTGCAAACGTATCCACAAAAAAACAACGATCCCCGTCCAATTTGTCATGCAAAAGTTGTATGAAATCCTGTGTTTGTCATGCAGAAAATGGATGGGGATGGTTGTTTTTTCCGGGATAAAACGTTGTGTATTGCTAGTCGAATTGTCCACACTCCCCGTCTGGCCTAGGTGGATCACATTGTTCATCTGCGCAGAAGTGGTTGTTCCAGCAGTCCCCGCACTGCTCCCCGAGGTCGGCACTTCGGACGTGGCGGGCGTGTTCGGCGTCATTGCGGTTATGATTTCCTGGGAAATATCCGGAACGTGGTTCAGCGCCACCATGGCACACAAGGACTGGTGGAAACTGCGGATGGGCTTCTTGCGTATTGTATTTCCCACCGCGCCCTTGTTCATCTGCGGATGATGATGTTGATTATCGGGGTCTAAATCATATTTTTTGAGACGACCCTTCAGATTCTGTTCGCGGTCAGGATTATCATCCTCATCGTCATCGCTCGCGCCGCCGTCATCATCATCATCATCGTCGCCGTCGGCGGAAGAAGTGGCGGAGGTAGTGCCTTTCTTAGGTAAGGACGCAGCCGCAGGAGGAGCGCCTCTATTACTACCGCCACCACCAACTCCCCCCGTTGTGGAAAGCAAATTTTCCACGATGTGTTGCGGTATGGTCGTGTTCTCGTGGTAGATCAGCCGGGAGGAGGACGAGCTGGAGACGCCATTCGACATTGGCATAATGTTGCTAGTGCCACCAGCACGAGGACCTCCGGAATTATAGTTGTTCCTCGCTCCTACAGCTTGTTCCTCATGACCGTAGTCGTAGCTTTCCGTGTGCAACAGCACGAAGTATTGTTCAAAAGACTCCTCTGGCAGAAACATGTCGTCATCCGGATCCTCGATGTGTTGCAACTCCAAATGCTGCTGTCCAAAATAACCCCCACCACCACCTGTGGACGATATCATGGACGGGGCAGCGGAGACGACAGAATCTCTCCGCAGTTGTTGATGTGTAGTTGTAGAAGAGGCCCGTGGATGTTGCGGATGCTGGTGGTCTAGTACTCGCTCGGGCAAAACTGATGCCCGAGGGGTTGCCATTGTGGAGGCTCTTGTTGTCAGCATCGTGCTAGACCGCGGGTACGTAGTGCCGGAGTCTAGTACCAAAGTAGTTCCTGCAGCGTTGATCGTATTCCCTCCTGAGGTACTGTTTCTGTTTTGCAATCCGACGCTTTGTTTGTTTTTGAGCTGAAAGTGGTACCCCCGGAGGTTTTCGTCGAGCGCGAAAAAGGTGGAAGAGTTGTAGAGAGAAATGGAGTATCCTGTGCAAAAGTATCGCACTCGTAGTATATTGCAATCATGCATTACAAATTTTCTTCTAAAAGTAAAGGTAAATCCGCATTACAGATTTTATTTCTCATGCTGAGGAGATTTGTCATGCGATTTATACTAGTACGATGCTTTTGCATTTCATATGGAGACCCAGTTTGGGGGGAGCAGCTGCTGCGAGGATGACATAACTTCTCCAGCATGAAGCACATCCTGCGAATCGTCGTCATGTCGTCCCACTGCCGCCCGATTTTTGTCAAGGTCAACATGATCCGCACCATCATCTTCATCTCCCCTATTGAAAACCGGAATCGGCGGCCGGGACGAGGGATTTATCGGTATGCCGATTTGGGGAAACAAAATCTTCCGCACCGGGATCAGCTGCCATCTGGGCAAACTCGCTTTGGTGGTGGTCGTGTTCGCACCGTTCTCTACTTTATTATGCATTGCAAAAGTATCGTACTCGTAGCATTGCAATACAAATTAGCTCAGCATGACAAATGGAATTTCTCATGCTGATTTAGCTTGAAAAAGAAATTTGTCTTGCATGACAACGATCATTAGTGCGAGTACGATACTTTTGCAATTCATATTTATTCGGCTTCCGCAATTCCAAAGTGTAAAATAGCAAGAGCTGCTGGAAGCAAACTGCGAGCATATGCAAGCCTCAGGTTGGAAATCCTCTAAGTGAAAACAATTTGTAATGCAAAAACACGACTCCAGTGGAAACACCGTTTCTAGTCGGCGCATGACAAATTTCCCGGGCACTCAAAGCGTGTTTGTCATGCTAGTGAGGCAAAGGGGTGCCCTTCTCTCGTGCTAATCAGCAGCCCAATTGTGAACCCGCAGAAACACAATAGTCGGCCTCTATTGCTTTCTCTGCAATGCAGTATTTTTGGTGTCGCATTTCATGCATCACAAATTTTTTCCACTTTGAGAATTTCCAATCTGAGGCTTTCATAAAGCATCGCGCCCTGATACACCTTGTTCGGGTTTTTGTTCGCGTAATTCTGCGCGGCGAAATTTGTCATGCCGGTTCTGGCTAAAGGACCTGCTGTTCCCCCGACGTGCTGAGTCGACGACGTTCCGCTTCCGACGAGCTTCGTGCGCAAAAACCCGCCCTCGGCTTCGAACCTCTCGTCTAATGATCCGGTAGATGCTGACGCAGCAAAGGGGGCACTTACAGTAGTTGTACTCGTCCCTGCAGACCGGACCCAACACGCGTCGATCAAAGCGTGCTGGTTGGTGGACGATTGGTTTTGGTTGTAGAGTCCTCCACCATAGTTATTTTCGTTCACACCATGATCCTCGCCGTCCATTTCATCTCGTCCGATCGCTGATGAATATTCCCGGAAAATTTCCCGCTGCAACCTCTGCAGTGTTGGGTGCATCGCGAGCAACACCAGAGCGTGGGTCGTGATGAGGAGCATCAAACCTGAGTTGTCCGCATTTCGCATCTGCTGTGGGGAAAGCTGCGGGATAGTCTTCTGTTGCACAACGGCTACTTGTTTATTTGCTGAAGTCTGGTCAGGGCCGCCTGAACCTGATTCTTGTGACGCAGCTGCGCCCTTGACGTTGTTCTTACCCGGCGCCCCTTTATTTCCTCCTGTGCCGATCGACGCAGCTGCAGATCCCGCGGCCCCCACAGAAGAAGTACCGCCCGCACTAGAAGGTCCCGCCGCTACAGTCGTCGTGGTTGTCACCGTGGGCAAGTCGGGGACGATAGGGCTCGAAACAGACTCGTGCAGAATCGAATTGATTGGCTCCAACGGACAGCACTTCAGGCAGACCCCGAGCTCCAACTTCGTGCCGAGGGGGTGGGAGTCCGCGGCCATTTCACCGAACATGTTTCCGAAAATCGATCGAAACACCAGGTAGTAGATCCCGCCGAAGTTGTATCGCAAGAAAAAATTGCATCGTTGTAAACTTGTAATGCAGGAACTGTATCTGAGAAGTGTTTGTCATGCTACACATGCAAGACACTAGGTTCTAGCTGCGTTTTCCCTTGGGAATCTCGCATGGCAGATTTTCTCTGTGATGTAGAACAAACTTGTGATGCAAAACTTGCAAAATCCTTACAGTGAAACACTTTTTTCGTACGATAAACTGTCGCCGATGATCGCCTCGGTTTTGGAAGAAGGTTTGAACCCCACCGCCGTGATGGTTTTCTGGGGGAGTTGTTGCGGTGCTTGCGGTTGTGATCCAGTACTACCCGCGGGCGCTGTAGTGGTCCTTGCGCCGTTTTGATGCGCTGTGGTTCGTGCCGTAGTACCGATGTCAGCAGAAGCTTGTTGCGTTGCGGTGGTACTAGCCCCAGGTGTTGATGAATTTTGCATCAAATCTTCCACCAAGCACAACAACTTTCCCGAGTCCACTTGCCACAGGCTGACAAAGCCGTCGTGGTGTCCCGCGAGGAGAAGCATGCCGTCCGCGGAGAAGGCCAAGGAGGAGATCGCGGGAAGGTGGGGTTTGACTTTCTGATGCTGCGCTAACATGCCAGCTCTCTCATTCGATGACGCCCCGGCAGTCAAACCGCCACGACTACCCGGCGCTGGGAAGTTGTTTTCCTCATTCAGATGAAACCAGCCCTGGATCCCCCGTTTACAGTCGTACAGCATCAGACTCCCAGTGCTTGTGCCAAAGCAGAGGAGTTGCCGTTTGTGGTTCTGAGTGACGCAGGTCATTTTGGAGGTAGAGGAAGAGGAGGAAGCGGATGTTGACCCAGCAACCGCAGCCGCGCTACTCGCACTGGTGCCCCCTCCTTTTGCCCTTCCTTTGGAAGTTGTTCCTCCTGGTGCCAACAGCCCGCACCTCCAATGCCGCAGGAAATCTTCGCTCGATTTCACAACGTTTTCGCTTTTATCCAGTAACTCATCGAGTTTCTCCTCCAACACCTCGCCCTTCTTTCTCCTATTGCTTGTGTTCTGAATCCTGCTCGTGTAAGAATTTTCGTGAAAAAAGCACCACTCCTCTGGACTTTGCCAAAAGGGCTTTTCGTACCGGAAGTACTGCTCTTCCGTTATCGAGGGCCTGGGCGGTTTGTTTGGATTTATCGGCTGCTGTTCTTGAGTATCCTGTGCGAAAGTATCGTACTCGTAGTAATTGCATTCACGCATTACAAGTCTGTTTCTCAAGGTAAATCAGCATCACAAATTCGATTTGTAATGCTGGGGGAATTTGTAATGCAATTTATACTAGCACGATGCTTTTGCATTGCATATTGAGAAGGCTTTGCACCTTGTTCCTCCTCATCGACTTTCAGTTTCTGCAAGTTCTGCAAGCTTTATAACAGTGCACAACTCCCCCTCACCCTCATTTGTCATGTAAAATCCCAAATCCAGTCGTTTCACTGTAGGACCGTTTGCATGACAAATTTCGGAAGCCCAAGCCCTGAAACAGTACTACATTAAGCGCATAAATTTGTAATGCACAAGCTCCAGGGCCGCTGGCGTTTGTATTGCTGTCCATGCAATACAAATGAGGGGGAGGGGGAGTTATGCACTGTCATAAGCTTTCGCGGACTAACAAGCTTTGCCTTGGTGACGTGGACGCGAGGTGCGAGGGTCGAGGAATTACACCGGTCGTGGACTGCTCTTGGGCCGCAGCTCTCCTCTGCAATATCATGTCAGAAGTAGATGCAAGAGAGGAGCTCGGAATTTCATCTTCTACTTCCGACGCCCGCGGTCGTGGAATGTTGCCACTGTGCCGCGGTCGTGGATCCTCGTTGAAAAAGAAATCGTCTTCTTCAACTTCATCCACAAGCCCTTCCTCCTGCTCGCGCCGCATGACGTTCGCCAGAGCGCGATCCGGCGGGTCGGGAAGCTGCGATGTGGTACTACTAGGGGTTAGTTTGATTTCAGGAGCTCGTGAAGATGCTGGCTTTGCAATCGAAGCCGAAGCCGGCAAGAAGTTGTCCTGGCTCTTGATCGCATCAAATCTCGACTTGAAGGCGTTCGTATCTGACGTCAGAACCGTAGGAGTTTCGTCGCGAACCACAGCTCTGCTCGTCGAGCTGGAAGAAGGGCCTGTGCCCGTTGGGACTTGTGTTCCATTTCGAGATCCTCCAGACGCTGGTTGCGGTGGTGGTGGTGGCGGCGGCGGTGGTGCGGCGAACGGTTGTTCAACAGCCGCTGCTCTACTACTCTGACCAACAGTTGTTAAAGTTCTGTTATCCTGCAGCTGACTTCTCGCCTTCGGAGCGAAGATCGAATCATCGAAGCCAGCTGCGGTCGTTTTGCTCTTGCCTGATGTTGCCCCCGCATTACTGCTTTTCCCTGTAGCCCCACCCCCAGTCGAGCGGCCCGAGATTGAAGAACTGGGCGTGAGCAATTCCGCGAAAGGATCGAGTTCATCCCTGGGTTTGGTGGGCGCGGTGAACAGGTCTAGAGGACTATCACCAACTGGTTTAGAAGCTGATGATGAAGTAGCGGCCGTAGGCGTTTGCTTCGACGAGGTTTGTTCGCTGCTGACCCCTACTTCACTAGTACCACCAAAAACCTCGAGAAACGGGTCTGGGTCGGGCGGTTTCTTGTGCAGTGGTAGTATCGTCGGAGGTTGGGCACTCGCTGTTGTACCTGATACCACTTCTCGCGGCGGGGGCGGAGGCGGGGCAGGTCTCGATGATGTGGATGAAACGGCCCCACCAGTTCCACCTGACGCGGCTACGGCAGATGGCGCGAGCACGGGCACTGCTGCAGCGCTCGGTTTCATCTTCGCAGTAGAGGAACTAGACCCGCCTCCAACTACGCCTATCCCCAGCAAGTCATCGATGCTCGACCTGGGTTTGAGCTGGGGCTGGCTGCTCGGATGAAAACCAGGTGTTCCTGTCACGTTTTTGCTTGAAGTGGAAGTTGCAGTTGCACCACCACTGCCCGAGGACCCGCCAAAGAGGTCATCGAAAGGGTCACTGCCTTGTGGTGGTGGTGGTGGTGGCCTCGTTGAAGAGGCACCTCCTGCGCTAATTCCAGCAAAAGGATCTGTTTGTGAAGTAGATGCGACTTCTCCTGCAACTATCCCGAACGAGGAACCATCCGTCGCTCCTGCTGTTGGTGTCGCATTATTAAACGACCCCCACGACGAGGTTCCACCAGAACTGGGCGGATTTATCTTACCATCCGCACTAGATGGTAATTGCAGCAGGTCGGGCTGCTGGGTGTCTTCTTGCCGGACGTTTTGGCTTTGCTGCTTTGCACCGCTAGTTGTTCCTGTAGTTGTGTTCTCCGCTTTGTCAAGCATGCCAGTGAGGAATTTGGAAAAATCCTCCTCTTCCTCATCCTCGTTCAGGATGTCGTCCAGGGATAACGCGTTGTTTGACGCCATGGTGTGAAGAAATGGAAATTACGGGTTGGATTTTTTTCAATTCTATCGTGATGAACAAGCGTATTTCTTGCGCGTGAGCGAGCTATTTGAACATGATCTGTGCTTGGAAGCAAAGTAGACAAACAGAAAGGCGGTTTTTGTTTTCGCTTGTGCGTTCGCCTGACGCTTTTACACGACTAGTAGTAGAGCGCAATTCTACTTACTGACCTCGTCCTGTAGAATAAGAGTTTTTTTCTATGGACTGCGGCCGTCGCACAGAAAATCTAATGCAGAGGAGCAGAGTGGAGGTGTCAAGATCGTGATCTTTCAGCAGCGCGTCATGATAATGCACGCTCTAGATGGTGGCGATCCCTCACCTGAACACAGCGCAAATGATCTTTCTCGTTGTAAGTCGAGCTTTCCGCATTGAACACTGACCGAAAAATATTAGTAGCACATGCGCTACTTCTTTCCCAACTTTATCTCTTCAAGAGCAAGAACTGTATGTGCCTGTGTGGATGTTTTCGTGCGGAGTATCAAACTCCTTTCGATTTTTCAAAAAACTCACTTAGACTTGTTAATCTGAAACCTTTTACTGCCTCGCATTCCGTTTTACACAACATCGCCGTCAACACAATTTGTGTTACACAAGAAGAAGAACTGATAGATCCATAAGTCAAAAACAAGTAAGTATCACCTCGCCCCCCGCTTGTCTTCTCATTTTTCACAAAAAGAGACAAAAGCGGGAGACGAAATCCCTATCCTGACAGCATCCTTTCCAGTGGGTTTTGTTCCTCCAGCCTCCCGATCCGCGCAATGATCTCTTCAAACGCCGGCTTTGCCCGGGGCCGGACCATAAATTCCGCGTGTCCCAAATTCGGTAGCCACAGCACCGAGATTTTCGCGTTCTTCTTCTTCACCTGTTTCGGTATCTTGTCCCACCGGTTCTTCTTCTTTTGCAAAATCTCCGCCATTTTCTGCCGGCGCATTTCGCTGTGCGCGACCAAATGGGTGCGGATCGAGTGCGCGGGGATGATGGAATCCAACCCGGAGAGAATCACGTTGGTCGGAAACTTCAATTTCTCCGGCCACAAAATCCAACTTTGCCAAACCATCCGGCGCGCCATCGACTGCGCTACGTGGATCTCTTTCGCGACAAAGTACTGGATCGCCGTTTGGATCCACGTTTTCGGCTCCCGGTAGACCATATTGTAGGCTATGTCGGGGGAAAACAGTCGGAAGCAGACCGGGTCGATCAAAGTGGCGTACGCGACTAGATGCGGTCGGCGTCGGATCATCCAAGCCATAACGAAGGTGCCGAAGGAGTGGCCAATGAAATGGGCCCCCGGGCAGCTGTCCGTGTTAAAAGTCGGATCTAGTTCGGCGGGGTTAGTTGAGATGTCGTTTCTACCCCCACTGGAAGACGACTTCCGTCGTTGTCCGCGACTGCCTTTGCTACTGCCCCCCGGTCGCTGGTAGTTGTAGCTGTCGTCAAAATCCAGGTCTGGGTTGCCCGTTCTTACGTCACGCGGTCTGTTGGTGTTCACGGTTCGCTTCCGTTTCTTGTTGCCCCTCTTGTTCGTCCGCGGAGTAGAGGCTGTCGCTTGTGCTGGTGAAGAAGCTCCTGTTGCCTCCGCTGCTGAATCGCGGGCAGCTGCCTGTGATGCTGGTGAGTGCTCGGGTTTGTAATGATGTTTGTGATGTTGGTTTTGCTGCTGCAGCTCATTCTGCTTGTGCCTATTGTCTGCCGGGTGGTTTCCGAACTTCTCCTTTAAAGAGAGCATGCGTTTCGTAAACTCAGCCTGGTTCTCCTTCAAACTTGCAGTTCCACCTCCTGTGGTCATAGTTGCACTATCCCTCGCCTCCCCTTCTGGATGGATTTGACCTTCCGGGGCTGATCGAAGGTTCTTCGCGTAGTTGTAGTTGTTCGCCGCGCCATCATAGTTGCTCCCGTTACTCGCATTAGAGAACCGCTCGCCCATCTCCAAAGGCTGCAGCTGCAATTTGTCTTCCCCCGAGGAGAATCCATTTTGGTTTTCATCATCGTCATCCGACCCTGATAGCTCCGATTCATCTTCCGACGTACTCGACACCTCGTCGTCCACCAAATCCCCCGGCATGTATCGTCGCCTCTCAAACGTGTCCCACAAGTTGAACGATTCGTAGTGGTGAGCCAGCATGTCCGCGATGCAACTCACCATTTCCCGGGCCGACGCAATGTTCGCGTCAGAAATTCGACACGCGATTTGGTATCCACAGTAAATTTCCCGTACGCGTACAAAAACAAATGCGGTCTCTGCATGACAAAAATTGGCTTCGATCCTAGTTTAGCACGACGAGTTTTACTTTCCAAATTGGTGAAGTTTGTGATGCATCCTGTACACGTTGTACGGGAAATTTGTATTGCATATCTGGGGGATGTTAATCACGAAAATGTCCCGGTCCGGGTAATTTTTCACCAGTTCGAACAGAAATAAAACGTAGATGTGGGGCCCCAGGCCCAGACCGTGGCAGAAGACGAACGGGACGTCGTGATCCTTTCTCTTTGACGTGTTGTTTTCCTTTTTCTTCTTCCCCACAACCGGCTTCCTGACGTAGTAGCTCATGGTTCCGCTTATGTTCTCTTCAAATCCCAAGACCTTCTTCAGGAAGAAATCCCCCGCGAAGGGGATGACCAGTTGACTAATGCGGTTATGCATTGCAAATGCATACGTAGTCGTAGTAGTAATTGCATTTGCAAATTTTTCCGTTGGGACGAAAAGTGGAATTTGTAATGCTGGTTCGGGTATACAGACTCGGTTTGTCATGCATGGTTGCAAGTAGTACGAGCATGATGCTTTTGCACTGGATAACCGTAGAACAGGAACGACCGGGTGTCCGCCTGTAAAGGGTCGAGAGTCAACCGCATGGAGACGATGTTATCGTTGTACCCCGGGCGGAATTTGTGCTGCAGCCACTGTTCAATCCGGTGGATCATCGTACTCGTCATGCGCCATTGCTGTTCGGGTAAGGGGAACTGCCGCTTCAGTTGCGAGGCACCATGACTACGGGTGGTCGCTGTTGATTTATTGCTCACCGCGCCAGCTTATCAAATGCAAAAACGTAGTCTGGGTCTGGAAGGTTCTGAGACTTGTCACGCATGTTTTGCATGACCCAGGATTGTTTGTGATGCATGCCCTACCATCACAGACTTTTAGAACCCTTCCTGATGCCTACTCCGCATGACAAACGCCCACCTCCCCGCGTAGCACAAACTAGACTCCTCTTGCTGGTCATGCAGTACAGATTTTTTTAGAGTCCAAAGTTAGCATCACAAGTTCCAACCGTCCAGACCCAGACATTTTTGCATTTGATACAGCTAGTGCGTTATTCATTTCTACTCCGCTGCTTCCAAAAAGTGTCAAATCGTTTATCGCCTGCGCTTCCTCCCCGTGTTCCAAATGCAAATGATGGACCGACACTTTCGTCACATCGTAATCTGCATTCAAAAACGCCCAGGCGAGCCACTCCCGCACGTTCTCGCGGCCGATGTCGTACAGCTCCACGATCTCTTCATCCCCGTCCGAGGGGACTAACCCAATCGACCAGTTCCAAATCGCTCTTCGGAAGCTCGGACAGATTGTGGTTTTCATCGTGAACAGTGCGTTGTATGAGAGTGCACAACCCCGCCTCCCCCTCATTTGAAGGTCATAGATAAGCAGCAACACAAGTGCTGGCATGAATGCAGCTTTTGCATGAAAAATTCGCGACCGATTCTAGTGCTGTTTCGGCTTCCAGAACCTGTCATGCAAGAAGTGCCAAAGAGAAGAGGGTGTAGTTTTTGGGTTTTTGCATGACAAATGAGGGGGAGGGGGAGTTGTGCACTGTCATACGTTGGACAGCTGTTTTAAAATCGCAATCGGGTGGATCTTACTCAGTAGAGCCGAGGAACTTCTGGACGACAGTTCATGTCCATCATCTTCCCCATACAGATCAACGCCAGCCCTTCTATCGTAGAACAAATGGTCCCGAAAGGATTTCAAATCCGTATTTCTCGCCACGTTCTTCTTGTACCGGAACCAGCCACAGATCTCCAGAGGCTTCAGCGCCTCCATAGCCTGCTCGTTCATCAGCTGTGGGTCTAGCCCCGTCGCGTCAGAAGCGGCCATCGCGAGCGAATTCCTTGCCCTCGGCAAGCGGTTGACGGAATTTTGGTTGGTCACCGTCAATTTCCCGCTATTCAGCTCCCCGTCCTCGTAGTCAGAATTATCGAGGACCTGGATGTGGCTTACCATTCCGTTATTCGAAGTCGACCCCTCGAGGTCTTCGGTTTGCATCGCTTCTCTCAGCGCCTTTTCTATCCCCGCGTGGCCGGCAGTAGAGGTTCGCCGGAGCAAAGCCCCGACGCCCGAATTCGATCGGGTCAACAATCTCGGCCGGGACGCCGATTTTCCTTTTTGCTGCAACGCGAGAATTCCGATTTGGTGCTCCGACGCTGCGTTTTTGATGTTGTTTTTCAGCTGTTGCAGGTTTTGATTACTATTCACCGTGTTTAAGCTGCTTTGCGCCCGGCGTAGTTTCAGTTTCCGACTCATGCCCCCCGTTGCTGCGGCGGTTAGCGCGAGTTGCGTGAAGGATTTTATGGCGTTCTCAACTGTTACATTCCCGACTGTTACATGAATTTGTGAAGCAAGAATTGCAAAAGAAAAGTGAAAGGGGGGAGGTTGCACTTCTAGCATTACAAGTCCTGCACAGATTTAGGTGCTGTTTAGCCCTTTGCAAATTTGTCATGCGAAGCAGCTTTCTCGTGTGGATCTCGATGGTTGTTCTGCATGACAAGTTCATGTAAGAACAGTTGAGAATGTAACAGTTGAGAACGCCATAGATTGGACTTTTTGGTCGTAGAGGACTTGCACGGCGGATTGGGTAGACTCCGTGGACATGCGAGGGGTTAGTAGCGCAGGACCGCCGTTTATCGCACGAAAAAACTGTCTCACCGTGAACTTGTGATGCAGAAAACGAAGCGCCACAGTGTTTGTCTTGCTACACCTGCACGACATTGGATTTTCAAGCGTGTTTTCCCTTGGGAAACGCGCATGCCAAATTTTCGGTGTCATGTGTAACAAACTTGTGATGCGGTTTTTGCAAAGTCATCACAGTGAAACAGTTTTTCCATGGGATACCGTTTTGTTCTATGTGCAGATTGGAAGAACCATTCGGCGATACCGATGCTGAACCTCCCTGTAGTCCCGCGTCTATCGAGTTCGCGAAAGACGAGCCTTGGTCGATAGTTGCCTGCTGAATCACGACGGTCTGAGTATTGGTCATCGTGAAAGAAGCAGCAGACAAACGTCCAGGGGGTCCTCCTAGGTGGGCATCAAAACCTGCAGTCGTGTATCCGCCGATTGTTGCTTCGTTTTTTTCCAACACGTCCTCCTTCGTTTCTAGCTCGACCTCATGCCCTTGTAAAAGCAAGTACCCCATTTGCACGTCGTTGACCGCTTCTAATTCTTGCTCTAGCTGGATCAAAGACTCTTCCACCGGAACCCGAGGCATTTCCACCTTCTGGTTATTAATCTTCCACAGTTGGTATTTCTGGTAGAAGAGAAACGCAAGCTCCAAAATCGTGTAGAAGTTAAACAGCTGGGCAAGAAGCTCGATTCTGCTCTCCGTAAACACGTGTTTTTTCAACTTTGGATGGTTCCGGAGGAAATCGGGGATGCGGAAAATTCGCTCCTCCAGAATTTGCCCAAAGAGGTTGAGAACCTTGATGTAGGACTTTGCGCCGGCGGTCAAGGCGCGCCGGAGCTCGAGGGCCAGGAGCTGTACGGTAATTAATGTGTGATGACTTGACTTTGGTAGCGGCGACAGCATGACAAACTGATGTAGTCTGCAAATGCAGTATGTACGCAAGACAAGTTGATCTTCATTCAAAAGAAAATAAACGCAGAAAATAAACGTTGAAAATAAATCATACCATTCCCAACCCGTTGCTCCCTCCAGCACTCTTCCCGTTCTGCACGGCCAAGATGGTCGGCTTATGGTCTATCCAACCGTCTCCGACGGCGCCGTCGTCGTCTTCGATATCGGGCAATTCCAATATCGCCTCCATATCCACCCTGCTCGTCCCCGCCGCCGGGTTGCTACCGTCTCCGCCTCCATTCGCCAGACTCGAGGAAAAGAAAATCTTCCCCAGCCCCCGGAGCACGATCGCGAACCCGGATTTTTTGGAAAAGAAAACTTGCTTCAAATTTCCGCGGTTCTTCAGCCACTTATGGGCGTGTCAGGATTGAAATCGTCAAAGTTGAAATAGTTTGTCATGCGTAAACTGCAGCCCACAAAGTGCCTGTCTTGTAGAGTAGGCAAGTGAGGCAGATTGTGAGCCTGTTGAGGACTAGAACTAGAAGCGGAGCTGCTAAAGTAGCATGACAAAAGGCGTCTTCCTTACCCAAACAGCATGACAAACGGGATTTCGGCTCTACCCAAATTTGTCATGCGCCAGTTGGAAACTGGGTTACAACTTTCATCCAATTTATGCATTACAAGTCATTTCAACTTTGTCGATTTCAATCCTGACACATCCATACCACTTCGAGAGCCAGTACAGAAGCGAAACGAACGGGCCGAGTTTGAAGGGCGCAATGAGAATATGCCAGAAAAAAACTGTGTAAGTGTAACTCTGTAATGCAAAACATGCAACAGAGTTACACCTGTCATGCCACACAGCCATGAAGTCCTTTTTTCGTGTGTATTTTCCCTTACAAGCCACGCATGACAGGTTTTCTCTGTCATGTAGAGCAAATTTGTGATGCTGTTCCTCAAAGAAAGTTACACTAACACAGTTTTTTTCTTGGATAGAGAAAGAGCTTGATTAACAGCGTGAGGATTTTGTTCACGATGCCCTGCGATGGGACAGAACTGCCGCAGTTCTCGGCGAGCCGGAGAGGGCGGGTTTTCATCTTCTTTATGAGGTTTTATTTTAGTCGCAAGTTAAAGTTCTTTCATCCCGGCAATATACCAGACAGCGAGCCAGAGGGTCCTCGTCGTCCCTTTCTGCTCCGGAAAAGCAGAGTGAGTCGTAATTGTAAATGGTGTCCGTGAAGATCATATCATAAGTTGTGGAATGGTGGTCCTGCGATAATTCGTAACCAGGTCACAGTAGGTTTCTCCCGAAGGCGAAGACGACATTAACAAACTCCGAAAGTTTTTCAGCCACACGAGTCTACTTCGGAGAGAACCAACTGCTCTCGCCAGGCGTGCTAGTCGACGTGTCAGGAAACAAAAAACCGAAGAGTGAGAGTGCCGAATCCGGATTTTTGATAATCGTCCGTCAGAACCAATCCACGCGGCGTGCGCCGCGTGGGAAAAAATACGCAAACCCTTCAGAATAGGTCTTAGATTGGGCGCGAAGCTTTACGATGCTTGGCCTTAAAGAGTCTCCAAACTCCAGTAAAGTGGCTGCCTTTGGCCTCTCTCGGAGGAACTACATGTGGAAAAAGCCGGCAATGTGGAAAAAGCCGGCAGCGACCACCTTCTGGCTTCTCTAAAGAGCCAGAGTCGGAAAAAGCTAAAAAGGCCGAGACGCCTCCTGCTGTACAAAACCACAGAGCTTTGGCAACTTTTCGGAGGACCAGGTCCGGAAGAAGCCAAGCGACTCGCTTTTTGCGTACTGAATCGGACAGCTTTGGCTTCTCCCCGGGGCGGAAACAGCAACGAGAAGCGAGCTTCGGGCTCTTCCCCGAGCGCCAGATCCAGAAAAAGCCAATGCGCCCTCTTTCTTTTTGCTTGGAGTGAGGTAACAAACTAAATCTGGAACTTCGCGGTTGAGTTCTTATCCGGCCGCCGGCCGGATGAGAACTCAACCACATCACCGGCGGAATCCGGCTGGCCGGCCCTGTCCTCTTCCCCCGTCCCCAACCGGTCGATCCACTGGCCGCGTTGTTAGTTTCACTAGGCCAAAGGCCCCAGCTTTGTAATGCAAAGGCAGCGCCCTGCAAAGGCAGCGGAAAGCGCCGAAACCCCAAAAGCAGGCGCGTGCGCGTTCTATTCTTTGTCTGTGCGGCTATTTTCTTTTTCGCTTCCACTACTATTTCGCGCGGTTTGTGCTTTCTATTTTTCCTACTTATTTCTAACAACAAAAAGCCGAAGAGTGAGCAGAGTGCCGAATCCGGAGTCTTGAATAAATTAGTGGTTCTGGTTTTCGAGTTTTACAACTTTAGTAAACGAGCAACGAACTGAAAACAGAGAAGATGAATAAAGAGAGAACGAACTGAGTGGGAAAGTAAGTTTCTTTTTCTTGGAGGGGTTCGAACTGACGAGAAAAGGACAGTTTTTGTTTATGCGGGTGATCGAACTGGACAACGGAGAGAGAAGAAGGTTGTGCAGGAGGGGGATCGAACTGGGCAACATACAGAGAAGAAGGAGGAGGGGGGGGAACGACCTGCACACCCGCGAGAAGGAAAAGGGAGACTCGCGGTGCACGAACTGAAAGGGAAGGAGGTCGAGCAAAAGAGCGCGGGGCGCCCAGGCTATGTGTTACCCCGCTTTTCCCCCCTCCCCCCCCCCCATTTTCTTGCGCTTTAGTGTTTATTCAATGCGAACACACAAAATACAATGAAAACCGGACAACCTAGGCCATGAAGCGCAAAGGGGCAACCTAGAAAAAAATTTTGTTACTTTAGTTCATTTCCCTGCCTGGTTTTGCACATAAAAACTTCGCCGATAGCCAACTCTTTGCCGCAGTTTTGGCACATTCCGGCAAAAGAAATTGCCGAAATTTGGCAAGATTGAATTTGGAAAGCATTGCCATGGCTTAGGTTGTCCGGCTTTGCATTTTGCGCGTTCATGCTATCCACAGGGCCGGCGCCCTACCGCCCCCCGCCTCCTTTTTTCCCCTGGCTATTCCAATCGGCACGGGCTGCCTAAGCAAATGCGCAGGCAGTTCGCGCAGTCCACCAGCGCCCCACCGCGGGCCCCCACTTCGGCGATGGCTCCCGAACACGAAAAAAGCGCAGGGCCACGCGTTGGCTTTATTTACTCAAAAAACCGAAAAGCGCAGGGCCACGCGTGTCAGGAAACAAAAAACCGAAGAGTGAGCAGAGTGCCGAATCCGGAGTCTTGAAATCTTCCGTCAGTACTGACACAAGGACCACGAGGACGCACCTTTGGTGACGTATACCTTCTTGCAGCCGACAACTCAAACCTCAGAAAAAGCCGTGTGGAGTTCAAAGTCGTGACTCATCAAGCACAAAAACCGAGGATCCTCGTCTTCAAAGGTGAAGGTCGTCAAACAGATTACTTACTTTTCGTTTTCAGCTAAGTCTTCAGTGACATCACCGAGTCAACAAGATGAAAAAACCTGCGGTAATAATGAGAGGGCAACTACACCGATGTACTTAAGTTTGTTTTCCTCGGTCGAAATAAGCTCTGATGTGGTGCACCGACAAAGGCTAAGAGCGGCAAGCTCTTTATATTAAAATGTAAACGAGTGACAACCGCGGAGGAAAACCAGTATGCAATGTTGAATATCGACGAACCGGAAAGATGGAACCTCGTGCATTGATCGGAAGATGGGAAAAACATGACAACGATAAAGACACTGCACAGAAAAAAGTCGATTTTGTTCACACAAGCTGACATGAACGAAAGCACAAAGGAGGAAGGGCGCAAGAACGAGAAGGTGAAACAAATGCATACAGATGTCGCAAATTAAAGTCATGCTTGTTATATTACTGAACTCTTCTTGATGAACGTGAGGCAACAAATATGATCTCCAGCCTTGTGGCATCGACATTCCGATGCAATAGTTGCGGTTGAGAATCGTTGCCTCAACGGGTCGCGTGTGCCTTTGAAGATTTTGATGAGTGCTACATTGCTTTTGGAGGAATGGAGAAATACCGTGCGTCTGTTCCTGAAAGATTCTTATCCTTACGACGAGTACTAGTTTGTACACGAATAGAGTTGTTAGCGCAGCTAATTCTGTTGTAGGAATCTCCTTTAGCTATCCTAGTTTTATTGTCGTGGTGGTCGTCTTCTGTAGCTAGGTAACTATTTTACAAGACTTCTAGAGCTGTCACGATGTTGTATCCTATCTGTACGTCATGAAACAAAATCTACGCCTAAAATGATGAAACAAAGATGCAACTCCTCGAGAAGAAGTTTTTCAAATCTTACAAAAACAAAAGAAAAATACGGCCTCCGGTCGCGGGGTACAATTCGTTCTGAATCAACGCGTCCTTCCAAGAAATCACGTAGCCGGTCTTCTCTTTGGGTTTCATGCACCCCTTGCGGCAGCAATTCAAGTCGGTTTTGCAGACAGCGTCGCTGTCCCCATGGTTGTCGCACCACGTGACTACCGTGCCCATAGAACCAGCCCCATGTTCGGGAAAATACGCGTCCGGATTCCGCCGATTCTTTTGGTAAAAAGGCCGGCTCTCTTGGTCCGCGTTGTGCGAACCGCACGCGACGTTCTCGCACTTCGGCCAACACCACGTGTTATCGTAGTACCGCCCGGTTCCGTAGCTCGGTGCGCTTGCCGGCCAAAGGTGTTTCAGCACAAGCGGGACGCTCCCGTCGTTGGCACTAATGTGCCGCAGTTCATCCAACCCCGGCCTGCTTGTGCACGCCGTGCACTTCTGCGCGTGCGGGGCCGGGCAGTTCGTGAGTACTGGATCTAATGTACCCCGGGTACAAATGCACTTCGGGTGACAACCATTCGTCGGGTCCTCTTGCAAGTTTTGGTTCACCCCGCTGCATTTAAACCGCAAGCCTGTGTTTGTTTTTGCTTGGAAATCCACGGTGTTGCAGGAGAAAGAATCGGAGAAGTACACCGTGGCGCTCGCGGACTTATTATGCATTGCAAATATGTCTGGGTCAGGAAACATGTAAACTTCTGATGCGCATTTGAGACAAGACAAAAATCTGTCATGCATGAAACGCAAAAGTTGCTCATTTCTTGTCACCAAAAGAGGGGTCTTGTCATGCGGATTAGGCATCCTCGCCTAACCTGCTCAAAACCTGCGTTGCTAGGACTTGCATGCTAGACCTTCTGTGTCATGCACAAACAGCATCACACTCTTCCAGACCCAGACATATTTGCATTCGATACTTATCCTCACCGTGTAAATTCCCACTTGCCCGAAACCCGCCCCCAGGGTAAAACGCCGTATTTATGGCGTTCTCAAACGTTACAATCTCAACTGTTACACGATTTGTCATGCAAAATCAACATCAACATCCACAGGGTGAAGCGACTTCGCATGACAAATTCCCGGAGGGCTAAACAGCATTTAAATAAGTGCGGAATATGTAATGCTAGAGGCGCAATTGTCCCCCTTTGACTTTTGCTATTCTTGCATTACAAATTCATGTAACAGTTGAGAATGTAACAATTGACAGTCCCATAGTATTCTTCACCAGCTTGTCCCAATCTTGACTCGGGTATTTTTGCCCGTTGATAACGTACCGGACCAAAACCGATTGCGAACTCGATGGCTTCTTACACCCCTGAATGCAACAGGTATTTGTGTCTGCCGCATTCCCTTGGCAGTCATTGGTTGCGCAGAGAATTCCGCCAGCATTCGGTCGTTGCAAATACCGATCGGCCTTGCTCGTATCCGTTTGGCAGGCTCGTCCGTAAAAGCACTGCTCCCGACACCCAGTTAACGCCAACCCGTTCTTCGGAGCGTTGCAGGCGTAATGGGCTGTTCCGGTGTGCGTGGAAGCGCAGACCAGGTTGCTGCTCGAGGTACGCGCCTTATCGCAAGAAAAAACTGTTTCGCTGTGAACTTGTGATGCAGAAAATAATGGAACACAGAACTATTTGTCTTGCTACACCTGCATAGAGCATTGGAGTTCCAACCGTGTTTTTCCCTATGGGAAAAACGCGCATGGCAAATTTTCTGTGCCATGCGTAGCAAACTTGTGATGCAGATCTTGCAAAAACATTACAGTGAAACAGTTTTTTCTCGTGATACGCTTGCGCGTCAGGCGGGGCCGAGTCCAACAGGTTCCGCCACTTCGCGTTGCTCGAGATTACATAGCCTTTCGGCACAGTCGTCACGGATTTTCGGCACCCGCGCCAGCAACAGACATTGTCCCGGTCCCCCGCGCCCGAGCACAACGGGTTCCCGCACTGACTGTTGACCCTCGCTGGGTTGGCGGAATAGAAGTGGTCCAGATTGGACGAAGAGGTTATGAACTGTAAAAGTATCGCACTCGTATAAATGCATTACAAATTTCCTCAGCATGAGACATAAAATTTGTAATGCGGATTTGGCTTCAGAACAAAATTTGCGAACGCATGTTTGCAATTACTACGAGTACGATACTTTTGCACAGGATAGAGGTGAAGCCAGCACAAAACCCCCGATCCGATTCCGCTCGCGAGCAGGTTTCCGTGCAACAGGTGGCACGATCTACTGCGTTGTGGTCGCCACCATTGATGAATGAACTGCAAAAGTATAGTATCGCACTCGTATAAAAAATGCATGACAAATTATTCCCTCAGCATGAAAATCATATGCGGATTTAGCTTAAGAAAAAAGTCTGTAATGCGTAATTGCAATTACTACGAGTACGATGCTTTTGCAGTTCGTATGATGTCCCGGAAACACGGCCAGGACACGCACTGGTAGTTTTGCGGCGAGCTCCGAACTTTGAACCCGGTGTGCACCTGGTTGGGAACCCCGCTGAACCCGGTCAATTGGCACGCCGCACCCTGAGTTCCCAAAGACCTGCACTTCATCGCGCAGCATGTCGCGGTGTCGTGATTTATCCTGAGTAAAAATCTTCCCACACCAGAGTCAAGATGGAAAATCCACTAGACAAATCAGCCACCTCTGGTTGTTTCGCATGACAAGGTTATCCTCGTAGAAGTGGAATCCTGTTTAGCTAGTTCCGAAGCATCACAGACGTAGCATATCATGCTCATGCTGATTCTAGCATCACAAATTCCACAACATGATTAGATTTGAAAATGGCTCTCGTGGGGCTCTGCATGAGAAACTTTTTTAGCATGCAGATTTGCATGACAACTCTGGGGTGGAGACATTTTTCCTCAGGATATGATTGCGCGAATGTTCGCACACGTTGTCCACGCAGGTATGGTATGCATTGCGAAAGCATCGTACAACTAGTAGTGATTGCAATACAAATTCCCTCCGCATTAGAAGAAATGGAATTTGTAATGCGGATTTACCGTAACATCTGGATTTGTAATGCATAACTGCAAACAGTACGAGTCCGATGCTTTTGCATTGCATATATCGGCCAAATTCGCGGCGTCCCGAATTCCCGCCCAGCCGCCCCAGCTTATCAAATGCAAATATGTCTGGGTCTTGTCATGCAGCTTTTGCATGACCCATGAGGTCTGTGATGCATGCCCTAGCAACAGAGATTCTGCGAGGGCTTTCTGATGCTCCTACCGCATGAGAAATGCCCTCCCCGCGTAGCACAAATTGCACCTCTTTTGCTGTTCATGCAATATAGATTTTCTGTAGAGTCCCAAAGCAGCATGACAAGTTGCATCCTTCCAGATCCAGACATATTTGCATTAGATACAGCTCTTGCCCTCACAATGGCCCTTGGGAGCCGAGTGGCCGCATATGACCTGCAAAAGTATCGTACTCGTAGTCATGCATTTCTTAAGGTAAATCCGCATTACAAATTTCATTTCTCATGCTGTAATGCTAAATCATATATACGAGTGCGGTACTTTTGCAATTCATACTGCACTTCATCAAACAGCATTTCTGCTCGTCGGCCGAGTTGTAGCCGCCCACGCAGCGATTTTTGCCGCAGTGCCCCGCGTTCGTATCAAAAGTAAAAATGTCTGGGTCTGGTGGAAACTTGTGATGCTGGGTTGCGTCTCATGATGAGGCTACAATTGCTGGCTCAGCATGACAAGTTTCTGAGCTCCTAGGTGTTCTTGCCTATTCTGCATGACAAACTGCGCTTCTGCATCTTCACAGAAAAACGGAGCTCTTGGGTATTAACGTGCATGACAGATTTAAGAGTCATGCCAGACAAGCATGACAAACATTCTTCCAGACAAGAATTCTTCCAGACAAGAATTCTTCCTGACCCAGACATTTTTGCACTTGATAGTTCGGCTTCAATTGCAAGTTGCCGGAGCCATTGCAGGCGTGGGCGTGGTATGAATTGCAAAAGTCTCGTACTCGTATTGCAGTCATGCATTACAAGTCTTTTTCTTAAGGTAAATCCGCATTACAAATTTGGTTAACAGACCAGAATCTCAACGTTCTTGTCTCAACGTTCATGAGGCCGACGGGCAATCGTCTCAACGATTGCCCGGCGGCCCCAAACAACGCTCGTCGGCAGCGGCGGAGAGGTACGCCAGCCGGCCGGCCGGGGAGGTCGGCCGGCCGGCCAGCGGCGGAGAGGTCGTCGTCGTCGGCCAGGGCAGCCGCCGCCGGCCGGCCGGCCGGCGGCGGCTGCCCTGGCCAGCGACCAGAACCCCAAACCCTAGACCCTAATCCCTAACCTAAACGGTGCCGAAGTTGAGGCGTCGGTGTCAACGTTGGGGCGTTTTGTCTCAACGTTGAGACAAATTGGCGTGGTTGAGATTTTGGTTTGTCAACCAATTTTATTATTTCTCATGCTGAGGAAATTTGTAATGCATTGATACGAGTACGATACTTTTGCAATGCATACGTGGTTGCAGGTCTCCCGGCACCCGTCTATTTTCACTTCGTCGTTGGGGCCCAGACACCGGTACACCGCGCCCGCGGAGTTCCCGCCGATTGAAACGCTGGTCTGCCCCGTGCCTCATATGGAGCTCCCAAACGCTACATTCTCAACTGTTACATGTACTTACATGAGTTTGTATGTAATGCAAGAATGGCAAAAGTGAAAGGGGGAAGCAGCTTGCGCCTTTTGCATTACAAGTTTGACGCCGATCCAAAAGTTATCTAGCTCGTCGAGAACTTGTCATGCGAAGCAGCTTGATGATGTAGATATCGATGGAGATTTTGCATGACAAATCAGGTAACAGGGGAGAATGTAACGCTTGAGAATCCCATATCGCAGCGGAGCATGTTGTTGTTCCTCGTCCAGCCTGCGTTGTTGTCCGGCCGGGCGTCAGCAAGCAGGTCCTTCCAGTTCGCGAGCTCCATGGATTTTCCCGGTATTGCAAGGAAAAATCCACCCTCCCCACATTGAAAGCGCATCCGTCTGAAAATTTGCGCCGCAGATTTCTGTCTTGCAAGAGGGCAAACGTAGAGAATCCGCCGCGTTATGCAGGCACTCTGTCATGCTGTAAGGCCTACAGGGCAGACGTCTGCCATGCGAGACACCTACACCAAAAGGCCCCTGCCTAGGCCTACGATCTGCGTGCAGTCCTGTACCGCAAGACAGGTTTGATTTCTGTACACAGATTGCGCATCACAGATTTCCGTTTTGATGTGGGGAGGGGAAGTTTTTCCTTTTGATACCCGGTAGCGAGTAGCCGTACCGGGTGTTCCAGCTGATGCCTCCCCCACTCTGCGTGGAGGACCGTATGGATTGCAAATATGTCCGGGTCTCGAAACTTGTAATGCTGAACGGTCATGATTGAGTGCGCCTGTAAGTGCAGTGAAGCATGACAAATTTTTCGAACGCTTTCTCATGCGCAGCACGCATTACAAACTGCGATTTTGCATGAAAAAAACGGGATGCGTTTGCTCTTGACTTGCTGCTTATGCAATACAGATTTTCCAGGAGTGCGAGACATGCAATACAGGATCAACCTTTCGTTCCAGACCAAGACAAATTTGCACTGGATAGACCACGGCGCGGAGCAACCCTTATCGCAACACGTGCTTACGTCGACACCGTATGAAAGCCTCAGAACGGAAATCCTCAAAGTGGAAATAATTTGTGATGCATGAAATGCAAGGCAAAAAAGAGTGTATTGCAGAGGACACAACGGAGACCGACTGTTGTCCTGCTAGGGGTGAAGAATTGGAATGCTGCTTAGCACGAGAGAAGGGCACCCCTTTGCCTTAATCTGCATGACAGACATGCTTTAAGGGCCCGGTAGATTTGTCATGCGCCGACTACACATGGCGTCTGAACTGGAATCGCTTTTTTGCATTACAAATTATTTCCACTTTGAGGATTTCCAACCTGAGGGCTTCATACACCGTTCGCGCCGGGTCCGTAGCCGCAGTTGAACCCCGCGCAAAGAACCTTATGGATTGTAAAAATGTCTGGGTCTGGAAGGTTGGAACTTGTAATGCTAACTTTCCACACCTAGAAAATCTGTATTGCATAACCGACAAAAGTCGCAGCCTCTTTTGTCATGCAAAAACGCAGTTTCTCATGCGGATTGCCTATGAGAAAGCGTTTTGGAAAGTTGTCATGCCGGACTGCATTCGGAAGTGTTTTCATCATGCACATTTTAGCATCACAAGTTTCCAGACCCAGACCTTTTTGCATTTCTTTGATAAATCTTTGCGTCGCCGTGTTTCAGGAAGTGCTGCCGCTCATTGGAACTCCCGAATTTTTGTTTGTTGCATATGCAATACAAATTTGCCGTACATGTTGTACAGGATGCATCACAAACTTGAACCTCCCCAATTTGATGAACGAGCGTTGCTAAACTAGGATCGAAGCCAAGTTTTGTCACGCAGAGACCGCATTGCTAGTACGTGTACGGGAAATTTACGTGTGGATATTGCACCAGGACATGGTACAGGTCTGTCGGCAACACGCGGCCGCATCCCCAGGCACCGTGCTCAAGTTGCAGTCGTCCCCGTTGCTCTCACATTCCGCCCCATCGTTCCCGGAACGCTGTACTCGGCCCGTGCCACATGTGGAATTATCAAACAGTACGTTGCTAGCTGTTGCGCGAATTCGTGATGCAAGGATAGCAAAAGCACAAGGGAGAGCTTGATCTTGATGCGCGTCTCGCATCACAAATTCGGCACATATTTTCATGCTGATTGGCCCCTCGAGGATTTTCCATGTGGAGTAGGTTGATCGTGTGGCGGCTCATGGTATTTTCGCACGACAAATAATCAACACGCAACAGCAAACAATGTAACGTTCAAGAGTAGTCCCATACCACAGGACCCGATGTTTGGAAACGTGCACTTTTTTTTGCAGCACCTCTTGTGGTCTTCCGTATTCTTGTTGCACTTGTTGGTCAAACAATAGTTCGATGGGTCTGTGCGAATCACGTACTGACTCTGGAGATTGGCGTATGCGAGTACACAATTTTTCCCCCTCACTAGTACTATAGCATGAACAGCAACACAAGCAGTGGCGCAAATGTCGTTTTGGCATGACAAATCTAGCGCGCGGACTGTGTGTACTAGTGCGCTTTATCGAGCGGCTCCGAGAACTTGTCATGCATGTGGTGCCATCATCATCATCATCATTTAGTGGACACCCGCACCCAGCGCCACAGGGCAAGGATCCCCTCCCCGGGGGGTGGGCGAGGAAGCACTTTCGGCGACCTCATCATACAAAAGCCGAGCGCTACCACAGCAAGTGCCAAAAGGCACGGAGTGGATTTGGTATTTTTCATGACAAATGAGGGGGAGAGGAAGTTGTGCCCTCTCATAGCTCGTCGTCCGTGCAGAATGCCGTGGTCATCTCGCTGCATTTCTCCCGGCAGTCCGTATTGCGAATTTCCAACCGGCCGCCGGGCGACGGGCACTTGTAGACCGGGGAGGTCATCTGCACGTGCGTGTCTGTGTTACATACCAGGTACTGAGAAGTCTTCCAATTATTGTCCCCGGGGAAAGCGCCGTCGCTTCCCTGCTATGAATTGCAAAAGCATCGTACTAGTAGTAATCGCATCACAAATTTGCTCAGCCTGACAAATGGAATTTGTCATGCTGATTTACCTTGAAAAAGAGATTTGTTCTGCATACATGCGATTACTACGAGCTGTACGATACTTTCTGCACAGCATACCTGCTCTCGCAGTTTACTTCCGTCAATCTCGTACCCATGCAAATCGCTTGGGTCGTGGGCGCACTTGCGAACACAGCAGGCGCATCAACTGCGAATGTGTCTGGGTCTGGAAGAGTGCCAGACTTGTCATGCAGGTTTTCCATGACCCATGAGGTCTGGTATGTAGGACATAGCATGACAGATTCTGTGAGAGCTCTATCATGCCTATCCTGCATGAGAACAAACTGCCTCTCGATTAGGTCAAAAGTGGACAGCTGCTTTTGGCAATCATGCAACACAGATTTTTACATGATTCAGATCTAGCATGACAAGATGCTTTGTTCCAGACCCAGACATTTTTGCATTTGATAAGGTGTCAAAATCTACATGCTTGAGGCACCGGTTATAGCTGCACACTGATGAAGCAGTCTTGGTCTCTATCCTGAGTAAAAATGTCCCCACACCTGAGTCAAGATGGGAAATCTGCTAGACAAATCAACCAGCTTTGGTTGCTTGGCATGACAAGTTTGTCCCCGTAGTGTCATCCTCTTTAGCTAGTTCCGAAGCATCACAGATCTAGCATATCATGCAGATTCTAGCATCACAAATTCCAAAACAAGATTAGAAAATGCTTCTCATATAATAGCTCCGCAAGCGAAACTTTTTTGGCATGCAGGTTTGCATGACAACTTTAGGGTGTTTTATGTACTGGAAAAGACCAAAATTAAAGCACAGAGAAGTGGGGACGTTTTTACTGAGAATAGTCGGAAAATCCGAATCCGTACCGCAGATCCCGGGGTCCCGCGCCGAACCCGCGCTACACTTCTCCACACACGTTTGCGGATCCAAAAGCAGCGGTTGCGGTTGGTTGCTCCCGCTGCATTTTACTTTCCTATTCGTGCCCTTGTTTTCGTGCGTGGCGGAATTGCACCAGAGCATGTTGGTCGGAACGTTTTGGTAAGTAGATACGCCTGGATAGCCCAGCGTGGCGTGCTGTCCTGAGTAAAAACGTCCCAACCCCGAAGTTCGAAGATGAGAAATCCGCAACACAAACCCCAGAGCTTTGGGAGTCGCGCATGACAGGTTCCTGTCTGCAGTCTAGCGGTGCTCAGCAAGGACAGCCGCATCACAAAGACGCAGAAGTCAAAGTCTTATCCTGTTATAGAGGATCACAAATGCCAGAACACTACTAGAAGAAATGCCTCTCACGGGGATGCGCATCTCAAGTGTTGCAGTAGTTGCAAATCTGCATCACAACTCTGGGGTGCGGATGCTTTTACACCGGACACGTGCTCCCGAAGAACCAGCCAGTTGTTGCCAGCGACTTGAAAACCGTAGCTGTTTGTAGACGACGGGTCACTGCAACCTATGAACTGCACAAGTATGGTATCGCATTCGTATAAATGCATTACAAATTTCCTCAGCATGAGAGAATGAATTTGTAATGCTGATTTGCCTTGACAACGAAATTTGTAATGCAAGATTTGCATTCATACGAGTACGATACTTTTGCACAGGATACATCCCTGCACGCAACAGTTCTCACGCTCCTTCATCTGCAAAGCCTGGTAGCTATCCAAGAAAAATAAATGTTGTTAGTGTAAATTTGTGATGCGCAACATTCAAGCTGATTGCGTCTGTCATGCTTGGCATGCATCGTAGGGCTCCTTAGAGGGCGTTTTCGCGTAGTATCTGCGCATGACAGGTTTTTGCTGCCATGCGAGAGATATTTGTCATGCTAATCCTCCAAGAAAGTTACACCTACAGTCGTGTTTTTTTCTTGCATAGTAGCCGCACGGCTCGTAGTAGCAACGGATCGAGGCCGCGGTGTCCTTCCGCACCCAACCAGTCCCCCAGATTATGCAGTGCAAATATGTCTGGGTCTGGAAGCTTGTGATGCTAAAGTATGGATGAGTCTGGTGCTTTCAAGTGCAACCAAGCATGACAAGTTTAGTTGACGTCGTCTGATGCGTAGCACGCATGACAAACAGCGCTTTTGCATGACAAAAAAAGTGGCGCTATTGCTGGCCATGCAATACTGATTTTTCAGGAATGTAAGACACGCAACACAAGTTCCACTTTTGCAGACCCAGACATATTTGCATTCGATACAGATCGCGGAGTTGCAATTGACGGTGTCGCAGAAACCGTGATTGTCTTCGCAGCAAAGCCGCTTGTTGCTGCGGTCCCACCAGTTAGTAATCGAGTTGTACCAATCTTTCACCGCATCGCTGGGAAACCTCGTCACGCCCTGCGGAGCATTGCCCGTCCCGAGGCAGCCCTGCGTGAGGCAGGTCAACTGGTTCGCATTCGGCTTTAAATGCTGTTTCGACGGCGTAAACAAGTCGCGCCCACACACCGCCTCGTCGTCCGAGCACTTGCCGCAGTTCGAAAAGTCGTCTCGCTTCTCCTCTACTGTGGTTGAGGCCTGGAGCACATCGATATTGTCCTTGTTACTTTCGCTCAGCACCCCCAACGACGAACCACAGTCCAGGTACCAGGTACCCCGATAAGGATCCTTCATGATCTGCTTGTACCGCGTCCGTGTACTGACCTGCACCCCGCACCCAGAGGTCCACCCCGTCCAGTATGGCGTTCTCAACTGTTACACTATCAACTGTTACATGAATGTGTGATGCAAGAATGGCAAAAGTCAAAGCAGGGAGGTTCTTGCACCTGTAGCATTACAAATTTGGCACAGGTTATTTAGGTGCTGTTTTTTTAGCCTTTCAAAAATTTGTCATGCGAAGTAGCTTCACCTTGTGGATGTTGATGTTCGTTTTGCATGACAAATCGTGTAACAGCTGAGGATGTAACGTTTGAGAGTCCCATATCCAGCTCGTCCATTTGCACACACAGGTCGGAAAACTGCAGGACGCCGTGGTATGAGCAAAATGGGCATACTCCCAGTATGGCGTTCTCAAATGTTACATTCTCAACTCGTACATGGTTTGTCATGTTGGAAGGCTAAGGGCTGGGCGTCCCCTCGTAAATTAATTCGACAAACAGTAGCCTTCGGTCCTTCGGTGTGGCACCGCGCAAGCACGAATACCGGCGGAATGGTGACGACCATAAGGGTCAGGCCTCATAACCGGTAAACTCTAGAAGAAATTATTGGACAACGCGATTTCTATCGAAAGACAAGCACAACAGCATCTGGGACGGCCGCGACGACAGCTGTGTGGATATCTGGATAGAAATAGCCCTGTGCAAAAACTTTTCCTAGCACCGAGGGATTAAAAGAAAAGTAAAAAAAAACGATGAAAAACAGCAACTAAGACACAGCCCCACCTACGTCGAAAAAATCACCCTAAAAGGTGGTAGCACCAGTAATATCAGTAAAGGTGTCCTGAACACGAGAGTGTGCGGGTGAAGACAATACCCTAGGACTAGCATGCAAAAGGCCAACGAAACCGGACGTGGAGACAGTCCGAACAACAGCACCAGGGCGGGCCTGGGCGGAAAATGCATGACAAACACCGGAAGCAGAAACAGATCATGACAAGGAAAGGCCATAATGATACTAAAGGTGGCACCAGGGTGGAAACATAAATGTTGGTCTTGTTCGTCTCCTTGGTCTCGTTCCCACAGCCCCAGTAAAAGCTGTTACATGGTTTGTCATGCAGAATAATTTCCATCATAATTAATCGACGCGATCAAGCTACTTCGCATGACAAACTGCCGAAATGCCAAACAGGCTTACAATCTGTGCCAAATCTGTCATGCAAGATGCGGAGGGTCACGGCTTTCATTGAGCTGGGCGCCTCAGATGAAAAAAGTCTTCCGAATTTCTTCCAATTTTTTGAGATTTTTTTTTACAAAAAAAATTTGCAATTTTTCGCTTTGCTTTGCATTAGGAGAAAGGTTGCGACTCACGTCGTCCGGTGAATTTCTAAGGCGGCTTCGCCTTCCCACCTCCTCTGTTGAGTCGAAGCTGTGTGGTATGCTGCATCGATGCCATTCCAAGTGGTATGGTGGACTCGTGAAACACTCACCAAAGCAAGCATCAACTTTTCCTCACAAAAAGTGCTCATTTTTGGAAGCCAAAAGTGACCACTTTTGAGCTTCCAAAAAAGTCTCTTGCTTTTCCTCCTCGATTTCGCCTTCCGACCTTGCATACCCAAAAAAAAAGTCTAGAAAAAAGTCTCCTCTCCCACTTATATTCTCAATTATTGCGGGTCTTTTTCGGTTTCACCTTTCAGAAAATCGAGAGACTTTTTTTTTGAGGTAAAAATGGGAAAAGATGACTTTTTTGGAGTTCACTTTTGGCCATCAAAAGTGAGCACTTTTTGTGAGGATACGTCACTACTTCTAAAGGATACCGAAAAAGGTCGCTAGAAGTAGACAAGAAAGCAGCAACTTGTAATGCGGACAGGCTGCAAATAAAAGCAGTACTAGAACGAGAGGGGTCTAGTAGAATAGTGCAGCCCAGCTTCGCGGCTGGCCAGCGAACGTTGTCACCCGGCGACGAGTGACCATCAAATTTTTTTTTTTGAAAAAAAAATCTAAAAAAATCAAGAGAAAATCGTGACGGGGGTGCCATCTGAGGTCGCCCAGCTTAACTTTCACTTTTGCCATTGTTGCGTCACAAATTCACGCAACAGCTGAGAGTGTAACAGTTGAGAACGCCATACCCAGTGTCGTGTCTCCCAAGCCGAAACGTCCCGCCGACGACCGTGGTGGTGCCCACCGCGGTATCAAAAGGAAAAATCCTCCCTCCCCATATCGAAATGGAAATCTGTGGCGCGGGATTTGTGTACACAAATCGGCTCTGTCTTGCAGTAGAAGACTGCAGGAAGATACAAAGCCGGAGTAGGGGCGTTTTGGTGTAGGCGCCTAGCAAGGCAAGCATGTCCTCCATAGGCCTTACAGCATTACAAACTGCCTGCAGAACGCGGCAGGGCTTTTGGATTTGCCTTCTTGCAATACAGAGACGATTTGTGGTCTCAAATCAGCATCACAAACTTTCAGAAGTATCCCGTTTTGGTATAATGGGGAGGGGGGCTTTTTCCTCGCAATACGCGGCGGCGGCCCCCCTGGCGACGACGCGAGCCGAGGTTCGACTCGTAGCGCCGCCGCATGGAGTATCAACTGCAAATATCATGCCTGGGTCGGGAAAGGTTGAACCTGTATTGCGTGTTTCGCATTTCTAAAAAATCTGTATTGCACAAGCAGCAAATAAAGCGCCAGCACACTTTCTTAATGCAAAAACGCAGTTTGTCATGCGTCCTGCGCATGGCAGAGCGTTTGAACAAATATTTGTCATGCTGCACTGCACTTAGAGGCACAATCAATCATGACCATTCAGCATTACAAGTTTATTCCAGACCCAGACATATTTGCAATCCGTATGGAGCAGTATCGCCGTCTCGATTCAGATCTGCCGACCCACGTTTGTCGCACCAGTTGCTGCGTGCGGGTGACGGTTATCCAGTGCAAAAGTTGTATCACACTCGTAGTATTAATTGCAGTCATGCATATACAAATCTCGTCCCCAAGGCAAATCAGCATGATAAATTCCATTTGTCATGCTGAGCGAACTTGTATTGCAATTACTACTAGTACGATACTTTTGCAGTTCATAACGGTCCCGAGGCTGCAGTAGCCGATATTGTGCTGGTACGTGTCCTTGTTATAGCGCTCGTACGACCTATGGGAGTGTCAGGATCGAAATCGTCAACGTAGTTGAAATCATGATTTGTCATGCATAAAATGGATGCCACTTGTAACCCAGTTTTCAAGTGGCACATGACAAATCTTGGTGGTGTCTAAATCCAGTTTGTAATGCTGTCTGGGTAAGGAAGACGCGTTTTGTCATGCTACTTTAGCAGCTCTATTTCTACCCCGAAACAGGCTCCTTACAATCTGCCTTCCTTGCCCACTCTGCAAGACAGGCATTCTGTGGGTTGCATTTTATGCATCGCAATCTAAATCTATTTCAACTCTGACGATTTCAAACCTGACGCTTCCATACGACCGCCGCCGCTTGTATTCTTTTCTTTCCAGGTCACCTCGCCACCCATGCCCATTGTCCTGGGAAAAGTGCTCATCTGCCGGGACTATGGATTGCAAAAGTGTCTGGGTATCGAAAGATGTGAATTTGTGATGCGCACTTCACATCACACAAAAATCTGTCATGCATGGAAGCCAAAAGCTGCACACTTCTCGCCACAGAAAGAAGGCCTGTGTCATGCGGATTACGCACGAAGAGACATTTATCAAAACCTGCGAAGCTAGTGCTTTTAGAGAGGGTGGATCCTGAAGTGTGATCACAGTATCTGATCTTCGCAACGGAAATCAGTGGCGAACAGCGGCGCCGGTGATGTTCATTTGAGAACTCAGGAACTCAGTTTCAGAGTTGGTTTTTGATTTTTTTGGTTTTATTGTTCGAAACAATATCAAACAGCTACGATAGTGGCGTCTATCGCCGTGGGAAAAATTCAGGGCTCATTTCGGTTTTTTCATGTGTTGACGTTTTGACAAAAAGAGGACTCATTTTTCGAAACAAAAAAGACTTGTGCTTGCGCTCTCGGTTGTGAAGAAAGAAACTCTCGGCGTTGTTGTTGTGATGAAGTTCTTCTACTGACGTAAAGAAATAAACACATAAACAAACGACCCGACGGCTTTCTTCCCTTCTCTCTGAGTCTCTCGATCCAAACAAAGTCAACCCACAGATACTGAAACGAGCACGACACTTCAGAATGTCAGATCGACAGTCAGTGCCCGGGGGGTGGAGAAAGACAATGTTGGAAAGAGCGCTCAGACTTCACCGCGTACTCGTCGGGATCCCCCGGCACACGCCTCTCCGTGTAGGATGACTCTTCTTCGGTGAAGAAAACCAGAGTGATCCGTTGTCAAATCCACCAGGGCGGTAGACGTCCAGCTGGAGCCGCAACTTCAGCTAGAGCGTGGGTCCGCATATCCCCATTTGTACTGGAGTCGGTTCCCGCTTTCGAAACAAGAAAACTAACACCAATTATTCACTGGCTCGGTTTTTTGAAGTGGCTGGCTGCTCGGTTTCACCCGCGTGGTTGTGCTAACTCTTCCCAGTTGCCAACAGACCCACCGCGAGACTCAAAACCCAACGGAAACTTCCGGAGGAAAAGGAGGTCAGGAAAAGGGCTGCGCACTCTTTACAGTTGGGCAAAAAGTCGGCTCTTTTCCGAACCCTGGGTGAAGCGTTTCACTTTTATGACACGAGACGCAACCGCGTGTAAATCGGCAGATTGCGAGTAAAATCATGGAAACAAATTCGGCAGTTCTTTTCCCATCATGACACTTGTTCTTTTTGATGTCGAACAGAAACGAGATCGCCACGCGTTGGACGAAACGGTCGAGCGAAACACTACTGACTGGATTTTTCACAAAAAGCTCGATAGTGGTGATTCTGCATGTAGTACTCGCATCAGGCGTCCGGGCCCGGGCCACCTAAAGCGCTAATAATCCGGCAACTTTTCGGCAATTTTGAAAAATGAAAGCGAGGGTGGCGATTGTGAAAAGTAGAAGATGGCAGTGAGGCAAGAAGAAATGAAAATCGCTCCCGGGCTACCCGTGCCGAAACCCCGACACAAAGGTGGGCCGCCCCCCCCTCGGTGAAGCAACCTGGAAATTGTAGGCCCGGCCCTCGTCGCGCCTCCTTGTGGCCGGGCCTTGCGCCTCGGGTGGAGGCTTCGCTTGCAGACAAACCCTGAAGACCGGCGGGGGGGCGGTCGGGGGCTGCGCGACATCACCACCCTGTGCGCACTGACTTCCCCAGCAAGCTATGGGCTGCACACTTTGAAAGCCCAGGAAGCAGGTGTGGGCGCGCCACGTGCGCCATTCATTTCGCCCCCCAGCTTTTGACAATATTCCCCGAGAGTGTGCAAAAAGTGTGCAATTCAGTGTGCAAAAAGTGTGCAATTCAGTGTGCAAAAAGTGTGCAACTCAGTGTGCAAAAACCATCCCGAACCATTTTCGAAAAGCTGCAATTGACGCTGCAATTGGGTGTGCAAAAAAGCTGCAATTTCATGTTCCGGGAGGGGGGGTAGGAAAACCCAGCCACTTCCTTTGCTTTCGAGTCCGGAGCTGAAATTGCACGAAAATTGCACGGTCAATTGCAGCGTCAATTGCACCTTTTCAAAAGTGGTCGGGACACTATTTGCACGAAAATTGCAGCATGAGTTGCAGCATGAATTGCAGCTCTTGCTGCAATTCATGCCGGTCATCAGCTGTGTTGAGTGAAACGAAGATGGCGACAATATCGTCTCGCCGTGCAATTCTTTCTGTCGGGCCTTTCACGAAAGGTCCGACAGAATAGCACGACGAGACGATACCAATATAGAGCGTGCGAGCCTGGGCTTGCGAGAATTCTCAGTCATAAAACACAAAACCCTAGCAGCCGCAACGTCATATCTCACAATACCAAGCCCCGAAATATATGAAGCCCAATATCGAACAACCCGAAAACAACTGGCCAAGGCCAAGGCGCCCACCAAGACGACCGGAAACTACGAAAGACACCGGCCGGGAGGGCCAAACAGGCACGATCAAAGGACCCGGCCCACCAGAAGACGGAAGACCGGCGACACCACTACACACCTCAAAAAATTGCCGGAATATTGCTAAAATTTTACCGGCTGAGATGGCCCGGGCCCGGACGCCTGACTCGCATGGCCGGCTCCGGCAGGAAGGACAAGTCGTCGCGTAGAGCATCAAAGTTTCCAGATACTTTTCCGTTCTCAAAACCATCTCCAAAACTCGACTGCACAAGGTAGCTCGTTCTCTTCCAGAAAATCTCACACAAAAAAAGTCGCTCGCTCTGTTCCTCGTGCATCTAGATCTCGTTGGTTCCAGGTGCAAGAGGTCGCTCCCAGGTGTGCCGGCGCTGGTACACGTACACCTGTCCCAAAGGAAGACTCCAAACCCCCTTCAGGATTCCCAGGAAGTCCGCCAGTTTAAAACCAGTCCCGGTTTTCGTCAGGATGTCCCCGGGATTGCTTTTGTCGGTTATCGACCCGAGCTCCCACGAACTGCGGAAGTAGGCACTTTTCCAGCGGGCCAGCCCCTTGCACGCTGGCGCATCAGCAGTCGATGTTACGGACTTACTGACGACGCGGCTGACGGCGGATTTGCTGTCGGAGAGAGTCACGGACTTGCACACTTCTCCCCATTCTAACATCTTTTGCAGAACCATGCCCAACACAGGGAAGGCTTCGCACCCTGCCTTTATCTCCGCGGCATAGGAGCTCACTTCCTCGGTGGAGCAGAAGATGGCATCACTGCCGATGTAACTGCAACGGAGTTGCTCTTTCTCCAGCAAATCGAACTCGCGAAGAGTGGCCACCCGCTTCACCTTCTGTTGCTTGTTCATGTAGCGCTCCCAGTCCTCCTGACACACAGACAACAGAATCCATCCCAACACCGGACGGAGTTTTTCTGCTTTTGCCTGCTCCGGATCCTCGATGTTCTCGGGCATGTGCACGGCGGCAAACCGCTTTCGCTCTCGTCGGGCGGATTCGTTCTCTTCGCTGCTGGCATGGACTTGCTCAAACTGAAGCTTCCCTGGCATGTACGATCCCGGCTGCAGAAAAGACTCAGACGCAGCAGTAGTTCGGCGTTGCTCGACCTCTTCCGTCGAAAGCACGAGCTCGGGTCTCGCATCGTAGCTACTGCACTCTTCTTCAGTAGCTGCCGCTTCTTCTCCGTGCACTGCCGGCCGCTGGTAGCTTGCGTCCGGCGCCATAGCGAGAATTTCGTTTTCGTACGACAGATCGATCTCGATGCCCGCGGTTTCTTTCCTTTTGAAGTCGCTCTATCAGCGCGTTATGCGCAGCGATCCACTTCTTTGTTTTCCGCGTGTCGCACCCGAGAGCAAGAGACCGCACCGGGAATTTTATTTCCGCGTGCCTTCTCGCGATAAACAGCAAAGAACCCCTGGCACCTTTCAGGCGGGTAATTTCTGCTTCGTCGAGAACGTCGTCTTCTGCTCCTTGGAAGGTAGTGGCTTTCAACTCCTCAATCTTCTGGAGCATGTGCGTGCGGATGCGGCGTTCTTCCGGAAAATGTTGGATGAAAATGCCGGTATATATTAATCCGCTAACGGCATCCGACCAGTTTTCTAATCCAAATCGCTTCTTTATCTGCTCTGCGAATTCGCCAAAGCCTGCCTCACTGCCGACGAATAACAAATCGTCGACATGCAGAGTCAGCTTGTCGCCGTTTTTGGTAAAAACGCATGGCGCGGATGCGGAAACTGCCCAGCCTGCCTCGATCAGCCATTGCGTTATGGTTCGGCACCAAAGCAATGCGGCTTCACGAAGTCCGTAGAGGCTGATGCTTAGCAACAAAATGGTGGAACGGTCAACGCCAAAAGTTGTCTTCAGCGCATCGAGCACTTCGTCCTGGCAGATGTTTTTCGGAAAAGTCATCCTCGGCCTATTTTCCGGCTTGAACTTGTGATTTTTCAAAAAGGCGCGAGGAACATCCCCTGACCTAATCACACGCTTGCCCTTCACGCGGCGCAACGACGACAGCACCAGGCTGAGGCCAATTTCGGAAACTGTTGGAGACTCGGCCGTGGCGGACACACTCGACTTATGCCCGCCTGGTACAACACGGACTGCGACCTTAAAGTGATGCGGGGTCATCATTTTTAAGTCGACTATCGCCCTGGACGGCCGAGTCTTCTCGTCACTGCACGGCTTCGACTGCTCCCAGATTTCGATGAGTTCCTCCTTTACCATCGAATTCCATTCTTTCGAATGCGCCTGCGCGAGCAGCTTGGGAACTCCTAACCCAGTTGCGCTGGCCACAAAAGAGTGATCGCAGTCTGCATACTTCAGTGCTCCAAGTAGTTTCCGAGCCACTTCCTCGTGCTTCTTTACGCGCGGATCATGAACAGAGAGGAGTCCTAAGTCTTCGCACGACTTGGTCGCTTTCAAATTCCACAGCACGACGCGGATCAGGCGACCACCTCCTGCTTCTTTCCACTCCTTCTCGCTGTTCACAAGCGTCAGGCTCTTGCGATTCCAGGTAAGCACGAAGTCCTTCTGAAACTCGGGCTTGCTCAACTTACTGCGGTCTTCCTCGGGAATGAAAGAATCCCACAGCTCGAGTTCCTCAGGCGTGATGCGCAAGCCATCCTGCTTCTGAAAGAGCGTGTGCGTCACGAGGTTGAAAAGCAGATCGGAGCCGTCGTTTTTCAGTTTACCGAGTTTGTGCCCGTCGATGACTTTGGTCACGGCCCTGCGTTGCGCGCGGTTAGGAAACTTGAGAAACTCGCGCATCTCCAGCAGTTCTTTTGGAGCCTCGTCGTGGTCGGATTCTTCGTTGTCGGTTTTATCTTCTTCTTCCTCCACAAGACGCATCCACTCCGAGTTCTCTAGAAGCGGATCCTCTTCAGCGGCACACACATTTTCGGTGACGTTCATCATTCCGCCGATGACAGACTGTTCGAAGGATTTGCGGTTTTCTCGTGCTCGTTTTCGCTTGGCAGCACCGGGTGGTCGCTTGTTCTCGGTAGTTTTTCCGATATTTTCCAGATCGGCATCGAGAAAGTTACGCGAGTTTTCTTCTTCAAGCTGCTGCGTCTCATCTTCTTCATTGTGAGTCACATCATCAGCCGGATTGATGTTTAGATCGCCATTGTCATCCAGCATCTCTTCGTCGTCGACTTCTTCGCTGAAGGTGACCGACTTTCGGGATTTCACATCCGTCCCCGCCCGGGGGGCCGAGAAGAACGGCTCGCCGCCGGCGTGACTTGAAGGCAAATTTGGCTGCAGCAACTCGCGCTCGTACTCAGATCGGGCGTTGCGGTTTCTTTCTTGCGCGGTGTGCATAAAACCTCCCACCTTGAAATCATCCGCGGACAGAGGAAGAAGACCGCCCGGTAGATCGAAGAAACGATCAAAATTTACCAGCGGAGATATCATGTTGGGGCTCACGTTGCTAACACCTCGTCCAGTCTGGACCTGGAAAATAAAACCGCGCACGCCGCGATTGGGAGCCTTATCCAGAATCTTGACCTTGTCATCGGCCTTATTCTTTGGATTATATTTGTTCACTTGCTCGCCGATCTCGTAGTTGTTGTCGTTCTCGATGCGTAACCGGGCTCGGCAATTCTGCAGGATCTTCTCAACCGCATCCACGAATGACTTCTCGCCCATCATGGCTAGTGCTTCGGCGTAGATCCGCAGACGAGCTTCCATCAGCCGGCTTATGTGCATGTCGCCGTCTTCTGGAAAGAAAGAAGCAACAGCAGCGCCATCTGGATGCGGCAAGAACTCCCGAGAAGCTTCTTCAATCCCCCAGAAGTTCTCTTTTGGTGTGCGGCCGTCCTTTCCCATGCTACTGAGATTTCCAGTCACCTCATGGATCTCATCGAGCAGGACTTGCAGCGGCATCTTCGCGAAGGTAGGAATTCTCCGCATGCGCTTGCAAAGCGTCAGGGCGACGATCGCCGCCGGACTTTTTTCGTAATTTGGTGCTGTTATAGTGCTAAAAAAAATCCGCACCATGCGAAATCCGGAGGGCCGCGATTGCGGGGGCGGCACGATACGAAGGCCCGGGGCCCCGGCAAAGGAAGAGGCGCGGCAAATGCCTTGCGGGCGCGCTTCTGCTCGCAGGTGGAATCTCCGACAATGTCCTTTGCCGGAGCCGGACAAAAAAACTTCCCGAGGGGAACCGGACGAACCCCCCAAAAACGCCCCCCCCGCTTTCCGGGATCCCCTGCTCGCGCATTCTTGGGATTCCCCCCGGGCTTCCGGTCCGCGAGGATCATGCTAATTATATGCTAGTAATATGCTAAAAGTCTGCTAAAAGTCTGCTAAACCTCTGCTAATTTGGTAAATTTGGGGCCCGGTTTTGGTGCTGAAAACATGCTAAAAAGTCTGCTAATGTGTCTGCTAATTCTCTGCTAATTTGGTGCTAAAATTTTTCCTAATGATTCCTGAGGGTTTTCGGACCCCCCCTGCCAATTTTCATCGGTTTTTGGGGTCTGCTAAAAATTTTAGCGTGTCCCTTTTTTGGCCATTTCTGGGGTTTTACCGGGTCGGCTTCCCCGGGTTTTTCCCGGCTTCCGGGTCCGGCCCGCGGACCTCCGGGGGCCCCCCGGCCGGTCTGGTAAAACAAACCCCCCGGCGCAAGAATGTGGGGCGCCAAGGGAGCCGGGCCGCCGCGCCGGCCAAATGCAACGCGGGGAAGAGGAGGGGCCGCCAAAACGCCGCCAAAGGGAAGCCAAGGGGCCTCGCGCGCCGAGGGGGCCTGCCGGGAAGCAAAGGCCGGGAAGGGGCGCGCCTCCGGACCGGCGGGCCCGCAGCCCCCTTCGAGCCGGCACCAACCCGGAAAAGCGTCGCTGCCTCGCGCGCGGCGCCGGGGCCGCTTTTTTTTCTTTTAGCATCTTTTCAGCCGCGTTTTAGCGGAAAAATCCGGCGGCGGTCCGTCCGCCTGAAAAGCGTCTTAAGGGTGAGACACCTTCGCTCCAAGCGGTACACCGGCGTTCCTGTTGGCATGATGGAAATTTCACGGCCACTGCGCGTGAAAGGCGCCCAGTCCTCAATTCCCAGGCTTTCCATTCCACCGCCAGCGTGCACTTTCTTGCGGATGAGCTTCTGTTGCAGAAAATGACACAGCGCTCGAGCCGCGTCCTGCTGCGACGGGGATGCACGGCCGTCGATCACGCGCTGCCCGACCCCATGACACATCTGCAGCATCACACCATCACGGAGCTCTTCCTGCTCCTCCTCGGTCAGGTTCATATTTTTCATCATGGCACTCAATTTCCATTTCGTGCCCGTGACGAAGGACCCCGACCTGGTGTCTGGAAGGGAAAGCACTCCAATACACACAAAAATCACATCAGATTCAGTGATGAAAGTTGTATCAAGGAGCGTCACACCTCCTTCCATCGCGGCCTGGCAGGGATCGTAGGCTTGCAGATCCTTTCGCCGTTTCTTCAACCCAAAATGAAGATGTGCCGCTGTTTCTCGCCTGACCAGCGTTGCCAGCTCTTTCAAGGTTTCCTCTGGAATATCTCGTAGCCGCTTTCGCACCTGTTCAAGGCACTTCTCTTCGCTGACGAGTTTTCCACTGTGGCAGAGGATTTCCTGAATAGCGCGGAGCTTGTTTCGCGTGGCTGGATCGACGTCCTTCAGCGGCGACAGCACGGCGCCAACGCGCATGCGCTCGTCCGGCGTGTATCGGACTGCCAATCCGTTCGCGCAAATGGACAGGCCGTGAGCGTACAGCTCTTTCGCAGCAGCAGCATGATAGACCTGATTTTTCGCCCCGGCTTTTCGCAGTCTCTCAGCGACAGCAACTGCCAGCCCCATGCCGCTTGCGTCCATCAAAACGACTTTTCGGCTTGGCCGCTGCCTCATCTCCTTGACCAATTCTTTGATCAAATCGCTCGGAATCGCATTGGTAATGTCGTCGCAGAAGCCCGCGAGCGTCCTCTTGGCCAACTTGTTCACCACCAGATGTGGACAGTCTGCAACGAGTTGCTGAATGCGTGGATCCTCATCTACGCGCACACGCTTCCCCAGAAGTCGCATCCCCACCGGTAGTTCCTCAACATCCCGACAAGTGAAAGCTCTAACTTTGTCGAGGCGATCTGGCTGGCGTAGTCGCTCCGTGATCACTTTGTTGGGGTTGTTCTTGACCGTGGGAGAAAGATTCTTCCCGCCAATCTGCCCGTACTCAGTCTTCCCCTCGATTGGTGCCGCGGTTGGGTCCGTGTCACTCGACAGTCGACCCCGCAGGCGGAAGGATCGTTCTTTTTGCTTACGCGTAAGCTGATTTGCTGCATCGTCTGCCACGTGGTAGTAGTAGTCTACCGTCGCGCACCTCCCTTTTGTGTCCGTGGTGGCAACTTTTCCATCATCGTCTCGGCTCCAGTCGTTACGCGAATCGGTTAGCAGCCTGCTTTGGCTTTCAACATCCACTACTCGACGCAATCTCACACGATCACGTAGCCACTCCGGAGTCTGCGGAATCTCCTTGGGAGGGACTGAAGAGCGCCATGCGGTAAACGGCATAACCACCACTATCGCCCGTTCGCCTTAGCTCTTCTTCCTGCACAGACCAAATATCTGCCCTGGAAACTCCTGCCGGAAGTGGTCGTCTCACTGGTGGCACTACTGGATTGTTGTTTTCTGCAGCAGCGGGCGGAACCGCGCTTGAACTGGAGCTGCCACCATAACTGGTGGGAAACGCCTCTTCATTACTCGTGATCGCGGCCCCGCCCGGGCCGAAGTTTCCGGACCTCCTCCTCAAGTGCGTGACCATGACAAGGAAGAGGATCGCACCAGCAGCCCAGGGTCTTACCTGGAAGCTCCTCAGCTGCTTCATGCACTAGACCGGTTCGATGGATGTAGCCTCGGCACAGATTCAGTACTTCTTCGCGGTCGCCGTGCAGTCCGATCCGATACGGATTTCCGTACTTCGTACCCCGACCGATGTGAAGACTCTTGTCGTGACGTTGTTCCCACAGCTGGATGGACTCTTTGTCGCTCCAGTGGCAGCCCTCTGCTTCCAGATTTTTCACACAAATCGGATCGTCACACAGCAGAGTCGGAAAGCACTGCTCTTCCTTGACTTCGGTGCAGCGAACACGCTCGCGCTCCAGAGAAGCCATCTCATGGCCGTAGTCATAGTCAGCAGCTGCAACGTAGTGCACGAACTCGCTGCGCGACTGCAGCACTTTGCTCCGCTTCATCAGCGCCACGCACTGTTTCACCATACGCGGGTCATGAATGTATCGGAGCGGCTCCGGCCCCTTCATCTTCACTCGATCAGCAAAAATGGGTCTCGTCCAGTCGGATTCCGGATTGTTCAACTGGACGGCGCGAAGAATGGCGTAGTCGTACGGCGTGAGAGAGAGTGCTTGCTTGTAAGTCGCGTTCTGCCCGTTGAAATTCACAACTGTTTTCCCGTTGTGACCTCGGACGATGCGTGGCATTCCTGGTTCATGGATGACACTGAGGAAACATTTGTCGCTCAGCGCCAGCCCTAGCAAATTCGGCCCGTCTTTCGTGGCCGTTGCTAGTTCCATTCCGAGGCAATAAAGATTGCCATCGATATCTTCGAGCTTGTACGGACAGACAACACGCTTCAAAGTGTTGCGCTTGCTGTTTCCGATGCCGTTAGCTCGTTCCCCGGTCGTGTCTTCTATGCGAAGGGTAAGTCCGTGCTTTTTCCCGTTCGCGTGCGACCGGTCTGCTGTTTCTAAAGTTAGATAATGCTTGCTGTTGTGCCCGTTATCCAGCTGGGTGCGGGTAGTCTCCACCGTAAATAGAACTTGTTCGGAATTTTGTGGAAGACTGGAAAATTTGTTGTCCGCGCTGGGACCGGAAAGCTCATCATCAGATTTCTCCGCCAAAATGGCACCAGGAGTATAAAACTCTGCGCGTTGTTCATCATGTGGATCAATATGTAGGCACGGGACTGCTGATTCTCCTTTCGTATGGTAGTCGTGATGAGTTCCCGCGCGGCAAAAGCAGTAAACCCTGCATCGAATTCCGCTTCGGAAGGAAAACAGGATCGTCGTAGTGCTTCATTTACAAAACTGCTCAGGTCTATTGTACACGTCGACTTTGGTAGTTCTTCTTGATGAGTTTTCTCCTCCTCCCCGTTGGTGAGAGCAACAAAAACTTTTTCATTTTCCAACTTCAAATTTTCGATTGTTGTACTCTTCTCCGGTCTGACTACAGCTGGCTGCTGCCGTGTCTGAAATCCGTCACCGCGAGACACGCGCCCTGCTCACCATCCTGCAAGAACAGTTCACAGTTGCAGAGGCACGTCTCCTGGTTGCGGGTCTTGGTTTTGTCCGGCAGCACAAAGCAGCGCTCCTTGTCTTGCTTGTCGATGAAACTCAACATGACGGCGTCGACACTGTTCGGCCCCACTGCTTCAGGGCGACGATCGCCGCCGGACTTTTTTCGTAATTTGGTGCTGTTATAGTGCTAAAAAAAATCCGCACCATGCGAAATCCGGAGGGCCGCGATTGCGGGGGCGGCACGATACGAAGGCCCGGGGCCCCGGCAAAGGAAGAGGCGCGGCAAATGCCTTGCGGGCGCGCTTCTGCTCGCAGGTGGAATCTCCGACAATGTCCTTTGCCGGAGCCGGACAAAAAAACTTCCCGAGGGGAACCGGACGAACCCCCCAAAAACGCCCCCCCCGCTTTCCGGGATCCCCTGCTCGCGCATTCTTGGGATTCCCCCCGGGCTTCCGGTCCGCGAGGATCATGCTAATTATATGCTAGTAATATGCTAAAAGTCTGCTAAAAGTCTGCTAAACCTCTGCTAATTTGGTAAATTTGGGGCCCGGTTTTGGTGCTGAAAACATGCTAAAAAGTCTGCTAATGTGTCTGCTAATTCTCTGCTAATTTGGTGCTAAAATTTTTCCTAATGATTCCTGAGGGTTTTCGGACCCCCCCTGCCAATTTTCATCGGTTTTTGGGGTCTGCTAAAAATTTTAGCGTGTCCCTTTTTTGGCCATTTCTGGGGTTTTACCGGGTCGGCTTCCCCGGGTTTTTCCCGGCTTCCGGGTCCGGCCCGCGGACCTCCGGGGGCCCCCCGGCCGGTCTGGTAAAACAAACCCCCCGGCGCAAGAATGTGGGGCGCCAAGGGAGCCGGGCCGCCGCGCCGGCCAAATGCAACGCGGGGAAGAGGAGGGGCCGCCAAAACGCCGCCAAAGGGAAGCCAAGGGGCCTCGCGCGCCGAGGGGGCCTGCCGGGAAGCAAAGGCCGGGAAGGGGCGCGCCTCCGGACCGGCGGGCCCGCAGCCCCCTTCGAGCCGGCACCAACCCGGAAAAGCGTCGCTGCCTCGCGCGCGGCGCCGGGGCCGCTTTTTTTTCTTTTAGCATCTTTTCAGCCGCGTTTTAGCGGAAAAATCCGGCGGCGGTCCGTCCGCCTGAACTGCTTCCAGCAATGCCGCCACTTTCTCTTCCATGGACTTATCTTCGAATCCTGCTCCAATCACAAGCTTGGTAGCCTTGTCGTTGGATCCGATCAACAGCGGGCACTTGTTCTGGAAGTGATCCGAGGAGAAGCATTTTCCGCACACAGCCGCGTCGTATTCACAGTCGGCAGTCTTGTGCTGGTCGCTGTAGCACTTCCTGCACCGCGTACGCTCTTCACCCTTGATCTGGAGCTCGCTGTTGCGTGGACGACCGCTGCGATTCTTGTCGTTTCCCTTCCGGACAAGCGGGCGCTTCCCACCAGAATCTCCTCCAAAGTTTCCGGCGCGCTTGGCAGGATTGTACTTGTACTTGGAAGACGGACTGCACTTGTACTTGGAAGACGGAGCTGGTTAGCAGCAGCAACCAGCTCACCAATGGTTCCGGGCTCCTTTTCCGAATTACTACCGTCCTCACTTCCCGACTCATCATCGCCTCCGCCAGCGAGCTGCTGTCGCAGAGCAGCTACTTCTTCTTGCAGCGCGGCAACATCAGACCCCAGTCCGACTTCCCCCTTGTCGTCTTTTCCGGGCTGAAACCCATCAAGTCCTTCATCCCAGTCGAGGTAGCGCACGAGGCTTTCGAAGTACGGGACATCGGGCGTGGCGAACTGCGGACTCGACGTGAGTGCCTTGGTCACGCTCTTCTGCCAGGTATCCTGCGCCTTGTGCTGAAAAGCCTCCCAGATGTTTTTCCGCTCGAAGTGGTTCTTGGGAAACATATTCTTTCAGCTGAATCCGGTTGGCCAATCCGAGATACCGCATCACACACAATTTGCGCGATTCGTTCTTCTTCATTTTGAAGTCGTGGAGTTGGTTGATCTCGCTGCGGTTCTGGGTGAAGGCTCGGGGGTACTGGATGTAGTACGCCTGCACCAGGTTGCTGAAGGTCAGTGTAGAAGCATCATCACGGTTGAAAATGCCCGCGGCCTTCAGCGTCGCCTTCTGCCCTTCCGCGATGCAGTGATTGAACCGCGACACCTTCTGGGACTTGGCGTTGATGTTGTACAAAAGGCCCTCACGTAGTCGCTTTCGTAGCAGAAGGGAAACAAAAACCTTTCATCCTCCCGCTCGTGACAGTACTTGAGCAACTTGCTCTCCATTTCGGAAAAGAAGGCATTGAGCGCGGAGTGCTCCTCGACCGTAGGCGTGATCATTTCGGGTAACCGGTCCTTGATTTTCAGCAACAGCCGCGGATGTGCACCACTTCGCAGCAAGTCGACGCCCTGCTGTTTGCAGTAATCGGACTCGAAAATCAACCGCGAGAACTGGAACTTCTTGCGTTCCACCCCGAAACTACCACTGCCATCTGGTGATCCTGGTGGTCCACCTCCTGGCGGCCCGCCCCCGTGTCCGGGAATAAACGGTGGCTCCTGACGATAGCCACCGAGTCCTCCCGAGCTTGGGTTGGAGTCCGGTGATCCTGGTGGTCCACCAGGGAATCCACCTCCGGGATTTCCTCCTGGGTTTCCACTAGGTGGCCCTCCCCCGTAGTTGCCGCCGGGGTTTCCACCGGGATTTCCACCGCCGGGTCCTCCGCCGTAGTTTCCTCCGGGATTTCCACCGCCGGGTCCTCCGCCGTAGTTTCCACCGGGATTTCCACCGCCAGGTCCTCCGCCGTAGTTTCCACCGTGGTTTCCACCGTTGGGTCCTCCACCGTAGTTTCCGCCGTAGTTTCCACCGTTAGGCCCTCCGCCGTAATTTCCACCCGGATTTCCGCCGCCTGGTCCCCCTCCGTAGTTGCCGTGCGGATTGTTGTTGGAAGTTCCGCCATAGTTTCCGCCGGAGAAACCATTTCCGCCATAGAAGAAGTTTCCGCTGTAGTTGGGTGCTCCATTAAAACCCTTCCAGTTTCCCGAGTAGTTTCCTCCCTTGCCGGAGTAATTCATGCCGAAACCACTGCTCAGCTGGTTCTGGTTCTCCTGTGCTTTTCCTCCAGCAAAAGCAGCAACACCCGCACCCACAGGCTGTCCACCTTTTGCATTGTTGTCAACAAACTGCAGCCCCTGCTGTTTTCCCGTGGCAGAGTTTCAGCTTGCGCCTTGTTCCCCAGAGGTCCGCTCTTGTTACCAAGCGCACTGGAAAAAGGGTTAGTACTGTTGGACTTTCCCGTGGTGTCAGCAGCGCGGTTGTGACTGGGTCGGCGCAAACCACCGTCGCGGCACGTGGCGTAATCCGAGACGAAAGAATTCTCGATGGCGACGCTAATACTCGTTGCGGTGCTGTTCTTTCTTTCGATCAGCGGAGAGGAAGGAACTCCAAAGCCTGGCGCTTGAGCTTGGGCAAAACTTTTTCCCTCACTGGTGGACGGATTTCGTCCCAGGTTCCACAGCAGCGCCTGGCTGCTCTGCATCTCAGCCGGTAACAGGTCACTGAACTCCTTGATGAGCTCCACTGCTCGTTCTCTCCGGTCCTGATGCGGATCCTGGTATACTTTCTTTGTCGGATCCAGCGGGGAAATGACGACAAACTTGCTGTCAGTATCTTCTCCCGAAGTGGGATGCAGCCCGAGAGAATGAATGCTGGACCCTGCGTCTGAAGCGGGCTTGGACCCGATGAAGTGCTCCCGCACGCTCTGCGGCGTTCCCATCAGCACAGACGGCGTGTTTTGCTGAAGATTTATCTCGTTCTTCCCGCTCAACTGCTCAACTCGCTTGTGCTGGGAGCCGATGATCTTGCTCTGCGCCTGAATCATTCCTGCGAGTTGATTAGTTTTCAGATCCTGTTTCGCATGCACGTCCGCTTGATCATTCGTCCACTGGTGTACTCCACCGCTGAGACTCTTCAGGACGTTGATCTCATCTCGCGCGCGCGACAGGGCATCCTCCTGCGCTTGATACTCAATCTGCAGGCTCGTGAAATTTTGACTCACGAGGGCAAATTCGCTCTGGATCTTCTGTCCGTCACTTTGCAGCTGCTGAGAAAGTTCACTCTCGCGGATCGCCTTCTGCGTGTTCAGCTGCTGAGTCTGCAACTCCTGTTCCAGTCGCTGCTGATGCAGTTCCTGGGCTAGCTTCGTCATTTCCTCCATGCCGCGACGCTGTGCCTCTGACTGCTGGCCCAGCGTCAAAGCTGCACTGGCAACTTGCTCCAGCTCCTGCTGACGGGCAAGGTTCTCCTGTTGCAGAGTCTTGGTCTCCTGCTGACGGAAGTCATTTTGCTCATACAGGTTTGCAGCTTCTTGCGCAAGAGCTCCAGTTTCTCCTCGCAAGTAGTTGGCCCGCTGGATCATGGCCGCGCGTGTTTGTTCGCCGCGTTGTAGAGTCGCCTGATCATACACCGACGGACCGGCAAAGCTGTTTTGGTTTCCAGCTGCTGTATTTCCGCGCGGGGTTGCGACTCCGATTCCGATACTCGGCTCTCCTGTCGGAGCAGTTAGCTGGTTCAGGTTGACCATTCCCATCTGCTGGCTCTGAGCAGCAACGTGGAGCGGTACGACAGCTCCTCCTTGGTTCAGCGGTGCACCATGCGGAACAATAGGAGGAAGTGCGGGAAGCGGTGGCGGATTCGCTGGCCCACCTAGTCCCGGCGGGCGCATCTGCATGTCGTCGCTCGGCGTGGGTCCGACAGATGGCAGACCGTCACTGCCTGCAGCCACATTTTCACCTCCTGCATCGGGCATCGTGGCGTCGGATGGACTGATGGCATCCGACATCGCGCAAGCCGTTGCTCACCCTCGGATGTTGGGCCCGTACTCAAAGGTCTCGCTTCAGGCGTCCGGGCCCGGGCCACCTAAAGCGCTAAATATCCGACAAATTTTCGGCAATTTTGAAGAATGAAAGTCGGGGCGGGAATTGTAAAAAGCACAAGGAGAGAGCGGGGAAGGGAGAAAGGAAAAACGGCCCCCATGCCGCCCTTGATGAAAACTCGGCGCGAAGCTTCGTCGCCCCCGCCGGTGCAGGAGCTAGGAATTTGGGGACCCGGCCTCCGCAGCACCGCCTTGCGGCCGGGCCTTGCGCCTGGGGCGGAGACATCTCTTGCAGACACCCCGGAGACCGGTGGGGGGCAATCGGGGGTATGCGCGACATTACCACCCTCCGCGCATTTTCCCAACCACCTATGGGCGACACGCTTTTGAAAGAAACCCCAGGAAACAGGCGCGAGCGCGCCACATGCAGCATCACTCTCGCCCCCCAACTTTTGACAATATCCTCCGAGAGTGTGCAACTTGTGTGCAAAAGTGTGTGCAAAAAGTGTGCAAAAAGTGTCCCGTGCACTGTCTCGAACCACTTTCGGAAAGCTGCAATTGACGCTGCAATTGGGTGTGCAAAAAAGCTGCAATTTCAGGGGGGTACGAAAACCAAGCCATTTGCTTTGTTTTCGGACCCGGACCTGAAATTGCACGGCCAATTGCAGCGTCAATTGCAGCTTTTCAAAAATGGTCGGGACGGTGTTCGGACGAAAATTGCACGATGAATTGCAGCATGAATTGCAGCTTTTGCTGCAATTCATGCCGGTTTTGGGCTGTTTACAATAAAACGAAGACGGCGACCATTTCGTCCCGGCATGCAATTCAGTCGGACCTTTCAGGACAGGTCCGACGGAATTACATGACGAGGCGACACGAATGCAGGGCTTGCGGGTCCGAATATGAGAAGGGTTTTCAATCACAAAACAAAAACGACGGGCAGGCGAACCATCACGCCTCACACCACCAGACCCCGAAACACACGAAGCCCAACTTCGAACAGCCCCGAAAATAACTGGCCATGGCCAAGGCGCCCACGAACACGACCAGAAACTGGGAAAGGCCCCGGCCGGGGGGGCAAAACCGGCACGGCCAAAGGACCCGGCGCACATAACGACGGAAAACCGGCCAAGCCCCTAGACATTTGAAAAAATTGCCGGAATATTGCGAAAATTTTCCCGGTTGAGATGGCCCGGGCCCGGACGCCTGGCTCGCTGGTAGGAAGAAGGTTCAGCAGGAGCCTCTCGCTCCGCTGCCACTGTTTTTAGAGAGGGTGGGTCCTGAAGTGTGATCACAGTATCTGATCTTCGCAACGGAAATCAGTGGCGAACAGCGGCGCCGGTGATGTTCATTTGAATTCAGGAATTCAGTTTCAGAGTTGGTTTTTGATTTTTTTGGTTTTATTGTTCGAAACAATAGCAAACAGCTACGATAGTGGCGTCTATCGCCGTGGGAAAAATTCAGGGCTCATTTCGGTTTTTTCATGTGTTGACGTTTTGACAAAATGATGACTCATTTTCCGAAACAAAAAAGACTTGTGCTCGCGCTCTCGGTTGTGAAGAAAGAAACTCTCGGTGTTGTTGTTGTGATGAAGTTCTTCTACTGACGTAAAGAAGTAAACACATAAACAAACGACCCGACGGCTTTCTTCCCTTCTCTCTGAATCTCTCGATCCAAACAAAGTCAACCCACAGATACTGAAACGAACACGACACTTCAGAATGTCAGATCGACACTAGGGCGTGCATGGTAGACCCTCTGGGCCATGCCAAAGCTGCATCACAAACCTCTGCATCCTTCCAGACCCAGACATTTTTGCAATGCATAGCGTACTCCCTATCACGAAAAAAAAGTGCTACAGTTACAACACACTGTGTTGCAGGCCCGGCATGACAGACATCCTCTGTCATGCCATAAATGCTTTCGAGCCTCGTTTCATACGTGTTTTGTTCCCTTTCCCTTATGATCTTTGCACTACAAGTTTTCTCTCTCATGCGGAGAAAATTTGTGTTGCTGAATTGAGCACAGCAATAAATGTGTATACTGTAAAGACTTTTTTCTCACGATACTCCCTATCGCACGAAAAAACTTTTTCACTGTGATGATTTTGCAAGATTATATCATGTGTAACAAACTTGTGATGCAGATGATCGGAACACTCATGCCAAGTTTTCTTTATCTAAGATAAAGAAAACTTGGCATGAGTGCTTCCTAAGGAAAAACACAGCTAAAAATCCAATGTGTTGCATGTGTGCTAGCAAGACAAACACATTTGCGTTCCGTTCTATGCATCACAGTTTTACAGTGAAACACTTTTTTCTCACGATACTCCCAGCCGTGGTAAAAGTGGTCTTGCCATAATTATGAACTGCAAAAGTATCGTAGTACTCGTATAAATGCATTACAAATTTCCTCAGCATGAGACAGAAAATTTGTAATGCGGATTTACCTTAAGATAAAGATTTGTAATGCATGATTGCAAAAATACTATACGAGTACGATACTTTTGCACAGGATAATAATTCACGCCGCCGACCGTTGCTTCCGGGGACGACGTCACGCCGCCGACGGTCACCACGCCGCCGACCGTTGACTGCGGTGTGCATGTGTCCCCTATGGAACTGTCAGGATCGAAATCGACAAAGTTGAAATGATTTGTCATGCATAAAATGGATGCCAGTTGGAACCCATTTGCCAAGTGGCGCATGACAAATTTTGGCGGTGCCTAAATCCAGTCTGTAATGCTGTTTGGGTAAGGAGGACGCCTTTTGTCATGCTACTTTAGCGGCTCTCTTTCTCCCCCTCAACAGGCTTACAATCTGCCTCCCTTGCGTACTCTGCAAGACAGACACTTTGTGGGTTGCATTTTATGCATCACAAACTATTTCAACTTTGACGATTTCAATTCTGACACTTCCATATCCCCACTTGACGCCGTAACAGCCTCCGCACCCGTGTCCTCCGCCACGACAGTCCGTGGCTGCATCCTCCTATCAAATGTAAAAATGTCTGGGTCTGGAAGAATGCAACTTGTCATGCTAAATCTGAAGCATGCAAAAATCTGTGTTGCATGATTGCCAAAAGTCGTCCAGTTTTGACCAAGTCGCGAGGGGGTTTCTCATGCAGGATAGGCATGAGAGAGATCGCACAGAATCTGTCATGCTAGGTCCTGCATTCCAGGCTTCATGGGTCATGGAAAAACTGCATGAGAAATCGCGCATTCTTCTCGACCCAGACATTTTTACATTTAGTACCTCCTCCTGTATGGCTATCAGAAGGAAAAATCCCCCCTGCCTATATTGAATTGTGAACACAAATCAGCTCCGTCTTGCAATTTATTATGAGGCACTGCCGGCAAAGCCTCAGCCTGCGTAGGGGTGCTGTAGCTGTTTTTGTGTAGGTGCTTAGCATAGCAGAGGCCTTCGATGTAGTTGTAGGCGCAACAACGATTACAAATCGCCGGCATATTATTTAAAGCGGCGGACTCTTCGGATTTGCCCCCTTGCAAGAGGGACAGGATTTGTGGTCTTCACAAATCAGCATCACACATTTTTAGCAGCATGCATTTTCAGTATGTTGGGGAAGGGGAATTTTTCCTCTCAATAATGGCAGACTCGTATCCACAGACAGGCTCGGCGTAATTCCAGCCCCTGCGTCGGGCGCCGAGCGACGACCGCATCAGTACGGATGACGCCTGACGCAGCGCGTCTGTATTGTTCAACACCCTATGGATTGTAAAAGTGTCTGGGTCTGGAAGATTGCAACTTGTCATGCTAAATCTGAAGCATGTATAGAATCTGTGTTGCATGATTACCAAAAGCTGTCCACTTTTGACCTAATCAGTAGTAGTAGTAGTAGTACCATTTAACTCCTGGCGGGTTGGCGTTAGAACAGATTTAGCCTCTGCCAATACCTGGGCGTTAGAACAGATTTAGCCTCTGCCGATACCCCCGACTTTTGCCCTAATCAAGAAGCAGTTTCTCATGCAGGATAGGCATGATAGAACCCGCAAAGAATCTGTCATGCTACATCCTACATACCAGACCTCACGGGTCATGGAAAACCTGCATGACAAGTCTGGCATTTTTCCAGACCCAGACATTTTTACATTTGATACACCCGAGAAGTTGTTGATGTCCTCGCGCTACTTCCTACACTCTGGCGCGCTCAACTGTTACATTCTCAACTGTTACGTGAATTTGTGATGCTAAAACAACCGCGCCGACATTGCCATAGTCCGGCGTCGCTTGGCTGTTACGTGACCGACTGTTACGTGAATTTGTGATGCAAGAATGGGAAAAGTGAAAGGGGGAAGGTTGCACCTGTAGCATTGCAAATTCCGCACAGATTTAGGTGCGGTTTAGCTCTTCGCAAATTTGTCATGCGCAGCAGCTTGGTCGTGAGGATGATGATGGTGTTTTTGCATGACGCATTCGTGTAACAGTTGAGAATGTAACGTTTGAGAACCCCATACGCACGACCCTCTACTTCGAGGAGACCCGCCGCCCAGCGCCGCAGCCGCCGGTCCACGACCGTGGCAGTGCTGTTTGTACTGCTTGTTCTGCTGCTTCGGGATACCATATGCTGAACAAGCGAAGGTCGTGATGTGCTTGATTGATTCATCTTGCTCATCATTGTAGCTGTAGCTCCCTCCGCTGCTATTAGGTCGTGTGTAGAAGTAGTTCCAGTCCCTCGCGGCCTTCGTCGAAGTTCATCTGTTCTTCCCACGGTGGAGTTGTAAGACATCTTACTCACGACGAAGCCAGCCAGCTTTGCGAGCGTTTCGTGCCGTGCGAGCTCCGGGTCCGCGAACTGCTTCAGCGGAAGCAGCAGAATCTCCGCAAGTGCGGGCGGCACTTTGGCGGCCTCGACCAGGCTTTTTTCGATTAGCGATGGAATGCTGTAGGTGGTCGCGTTTAGGGAAGCTGTACTTCTAGGCGGAGATGAAATAGAACTAGAAGTAGTGGTCCTAGATGAAGTGGAAGTCGAAGTCGCGCTGGCGTCTATGAAATTTTTTTCGGGCTGTAGATCTTCACGCATTTTTGCCGTCGCGCGGGGGTCAGAGGAGGGTTCTTTGCTCTCCTGCTGTGTCTGTCGTCGCTCCTGTGCATCAAGATCAACTTCTTCGTGTCCCGCTGTAAATGAAAAATCGTCCTTTTTCATCATGTATCAAATGTAAAAATGTCTGGGTCTGGAAGATTCTGAGATTTGTCATGCAGTTTTTCCAAGCTCCGCCAAGTCTCGAATGCAGGGCCTAGCGTCACAGGTTCTGCAGCCCCTTGGTGATGCCTTTTCTGCATGAGAAATGCCCCCTCGGCATGGCTAGAAGTGGGGACCTTTTGCCAGTCATGCAACACAGATTTTTGTATGATCCGCAACACGCATCACAAGTTTGCATCCTTCCAGACCCAGACATTTTTACATTTGATATCATGATTCCGGCTGCATGTTCGTCGGGAACTCGTGGTAGAAAAACCGTCGCTTCGTTGATTTTTTGTGTGCAACCGTGACGCGCGTTGAACATCCCAAACCTTTCCACATCTCGGTTCAGCATGCTAGACCAGGAAGCTGATGTTGGTGTACTAGCACTTCTTGCGGTCGTACTAGAAGTTGTGTTCATGATCCTGATCCTCCCACTAACGTTGGAAGACAAGTCTACTTCTTCCGGAATGTTAAAACTAGCAACACGTGGTCCCGGGTCTAAAAACGAAATCAGTGCCAGTGCGCCCCCGTACCAATCGAATGCCGGGCCGTAACGGAGATGATCTTGTTCCTCTTCCTCTTGCTCTTGTTCCCGACCTTCATCTAGTAACGCACTTCTATTTACAACCCCGCTTGTTGTTGTTCCTCGTCCCCCTCCGCCTCCGCCAAGCACATTGCACCCCTCTGTAGTTTCGAGCTGCATCAATTCCGTCCGCTGCGGTTGGTCCAATCTGTTGCTCACATCGAGCAGAACCACGACGGTGCTGCACACCAGCGGGTTACAACTGTCCACGCCCCCAATTTGTGGTAACACGACTCCTTTTTCATCGACCACTTTCTTTCCGAACACGATTTTTCCGGTGGAGGTGGCGGGGGGTAATAGATTTACATCTAGGTGTTGTGAAAACAGATGATGAAAAGCACGATCAGGCGAGCGCCTTGTAGCCGGTACAGGAAGTACTTCTAGGGGAGTCGCGTTCGTGCTGTTCGTGTTCATCTTCATTGCGTTATCCGCATGCTGTCCGTCTTGTTGGACGACATCGTCGAGATGAATAGAGCTGCCTTTCTTCAAGTTCAAACCCACAAAGGAGGACTCGCTGAAGTCAATAAACTTCAGGTCCGTTCTGGGTAGTAGTTGCCCACCAGTGGTGCCCGTCGCAAGTAGAACATCCTTGTCGACGCCGTCGTAAACTTGTTGTACTTGAGCATCTACATCTTCTGAGATTTTCACACTATTTTGCGGCAACACGCGTCCGATGTGCTCGACCATCACGTCGTTGTGCACGAACCCAATGTCCGCGAACAGGTCCAGGCACTGAAGCTATGCATGGCAAATATGTCTGGGTCTGGAAAGATTCGAATTTGTCATGCGCATTTCGCAACACACACAAATCTCTCACGCATGGACAGCAAAAGTTGCCCATTTCCTGTCATCGAAATAGAGGATTTGTCATGCGCATTAGGCATTGCGTAACCTTCTCTAAACCTGTGATGCTAGGGCTTCCATGTCAGACCTTCCGTGTCATGCAAAAACAGCATGACAAAAATGCGCAATCTTCCAGACCCAAGCATATCTATTGCATTTGGATAGAAACAAGCTGCTTGCCAAACGTTCTACCACTGGCTCCACTCCGTGCCGGCGGAACAAGTTTTCCGCAACCTCCCGCGCTGGGGTGCCGCCGTTCGGGTCGAAAAGCTCAAGCTTCTCGAGGAACAAGGCGAAAATTAAGTGAGGATGGTCCGTATAATCGTCGTAGGTGTCATTGTCATGACCATGATCTTCATCTAAACCTGGATTTGTAGTGGTTGCGGTGCTGGTACTCTCATCATCATCACGCTCGGATAAAAAAGAAGAGGAAGAGGAGTTGTTCTTCTGCTCCGGTAATGGTACACCAGCAGCAGCATTATGATTATCACCCCACTCTTTATTTCCGAGAAAAAACACAGCCCGCGTCATCTGGGCGACGCAAGGCTTCGCTGCGTGGGTTAGAAATAGGTTGATCAGGATTTTATGGAACTGTCAGGATTGAAATCGTCAAAGTTGAAATAGTTTGTGACGCATAAAATGGATGCGAGTTGGAACCCAGTTTCTAAGTGGCGCATGACAAATTTTGGTGATGCCTAAATCCAGTTTGTCATGCTGTTTAGGCAAAGATGGCTGATTTTCTCATGCTACTTTAGCAGCTCGAGTTCTAACCCCGAACAGGCTTGCAATCGGCCTCCCTTGCCTGCTCTGCAACACACGTATTTCGCGCTATGCATTTTATGCATCACAAATTATTTCAACAACTTTGGCGATTTCAAACCTGACACTTCCATAGATTTCCTCGGCAATGTAGTCGCACCAGGTGGCTGGTACTTCGTCCTGTTGTTCTTTTGGAGATTCTTTCTCGTCCTCTGTGAAGTGCTGGTTGTTGCTGTCGATTATGGTCGTGTGCTTTTTTATCATCCGCTCCAAATCTTCGCCCGAACAGGCGACCCTTTTCACGATCTGCCCACCAGTGGGAGGTTCACCCGGAACGCCAAATATACCCGTGTTGTGGTGCATGTTGAACCTGACAAAACCACTGTCGTTGTCTTTACTCGTTGTCGTTTCCCCATGATCTCCATGAACGTTTACCGTTGCAAAAGTGCTGGTTAACGCGAACCGGGAATTCGAAGCGGGCCCTGCATTATTTCCAACAAGGTTGCCGCTGTGGAAAACGATGCCTTGTGCCGTGAAGGAAGAAGAATTTTTAGAGGAACTGCCAGCTAAAGAGCTTTTGTCGGCATCAAGATGTGCTAGAACAGAAGTATTTGAATCATTCATCGCTGTTGCTGCTCCTTGTTCGGCTTCTTCTTTCCTGGTAAGCCGCGCGGTCATAGTATCTTTCGTCGCGGCAGTGTGATATTCGTCCAGTAGAAGCTTACCATGCGGAGGCTCTTGTTGGGTAGTACTCTTCAATGATCTGCGGAAAAACGCCGGTCGCAATTCCTCCGCGCCGTCATTTTGCTTCGCGGGGATGACGACCCAGGTAGAAGTTGACGTCCTGTTAATACTAGTGTCACTTGTAGTTGTTCCCCCTGCGATATGATGATCAGATACCTGCAGCTCTCGTCGCCCGGTCGCGGTCGTGAAGGAAGCTGCAGGAGAGTTTGAGTTGTCTGCTCCTACCACATCTTCTCCATCAGCACGGCCCTTCACCAGTTCGCCAGCATGCAGGGTGGCTTTGATTTTGTCACACCAGAAGTGGTACAAGAATTCATCCTCTGTTTTATCCTGAGTAAAAACGTACCCACACCATAGCTGTCATGCAAATCGGCATGCTTCAAATGTTTCTCATGCGGAGCCCCATGAGAAGCATTTTCTAATGGTGTTTTGAAATTTGTCATGCTCCAATCAGCATGAGAGACTAGTTCTGTAATGCTGCTGAACTAGCTCAAACAGTACTACGCTACGCGTCCAAATTTGTCATGCGAAACAGCCAAAGCTTGTGGATTTGTCTAGCCGATTCCCCATCTTGACTATGGGGTGGGTACGTTTTTACATAGGATATGTTTGCCCATCCGGAACTATCTTTTGAAACACATCGTCATCAGGAGAACCCAAAAAATCGTGGTTGTGCGGCTGGTGATCCGGAGCAGTAGGGGCAGCATCTGCATCAGCATTCGGGGATGTTGATGAAGTCGAAATCATACTTTTGTCAACATCAGCAAGAAGCCCCGCCAGAGTTATCCTTTTCAGCGTTGTTTTCCCCGCCTCCCCGCCTTTGATCAAAAACTGGTCGCGCACCATGTTGCACAGGAGGGTGTGCACGATGGACTGGTCGACTTCATTTGTTCTTCCCGCTCCTGCAGAAAGTAGTACAGAAGGTTTCGCTGCTTCAACGGAAACAGGAGAGGACTGCTCATCGCCAACAGAAGTTGTGAGGTTGGATTCTGATTGTTCATCTTGACGATGACGATCTTCTGGTGCCTTGTCCGCATGATAAGAAGCATCTTCATCAGCACGACCCTCCTCGTCAGACTCTTCGCTTTCATCGTGGTCCTCGGCATACGCGATGTCGTGGTCAGTTTCAGCAGCTTCGCCATCGGAAGTTGTAGAGCGCCCTGTTCTTTCCTTTTTTATCATCTTCCGATGCTGTTTCTGATCATGATCTTCTCGTGGTTGTTGGCTCAGAACTTGTCCTCTCGAGGTCTTCACGATGACTTTTGCGCTCACGAAAAACAAGTTGGTGGAAAATACCAGAACCATGGCCGATAGAGATAGTGCCAGAACTATTAAGGCCGCGATTGTAGTGCACCGGAAAGGTTGGAAAGGAGCAAGGACATCAGCATGGCCTCGTCTACAAAAAAAACAGTCCGGAAAATTTTGGTGCTGGTCAAGTAGATCATCAACAGGTCCTCGATCCCGCTTGGACGACAGAGAGATTTTCCTTCTCGGTTTGAAAAACCAGTGCTTTCCGAATAGCAAACCAAGAAATCGGGGTCGTCCGAGAGGCCGGCCGCGACCGCGTTCTTGCCCGAGATGAAATCGGCCCAGGCTGCGCGGTCCCCGCTGCTGGTCCGTCTCCATTCGGCTCATTGCAGCAGTAAATGGTTGTTGCACCACCAGGCAGAGATGATACGATATTAGGTTCTGCTTCTATGCGAAGATCTTCACACTAGCGCGCCGGCACGGACGAATCCGCCAGTCGTCGCAGCAGTAGATCCTGAGAGTTTTCAATTTCATCGCATTTGCCGGGCCACCATGAAGATAGCATTTCCTCACGGAATAAAACTCAAGAACAAGCAGTTCAAGTTCAGAGGGACATTTTCACCGAAGGAAGTGAAAGCAACAATAAAGCAAACACGTGATACCAAGTTCTCCATATATTGTCGTCCGTCGCCAATCGGATTCGACACCGATCTACGCATGCGCACAGGCACAACCGCAAAAGGGATGCACACCAAGGAACAGCAAGTGCAAAGAACCCAATTTGGTTCAAGAAAGTACTAGACACGAATGAACAAGCACCATACGCTCCAATTGTGTAAATTTGCAATGCAAAATCCAATCAATAGAGAAGTACATCCTCGCCTTTCATCTTCTTCCCTATTAAACGGATAAGGCTAAGTAATTTTTTCTTCGGAGCTTTCAACCGTAGAATGTGAACTTGCGTTCCGTCAATGCATTTGCAGAACTGCGCAAGCATGCGCTTCCAAAACATCATACCCGACTGCGAGTTCGTTCACGACGAAGACATCATGATCTTTCGCTGTAGCAGTCGTGCAAACCAGCAACCATTCGACGCTCCCTGGCTGAGAACAGCAACAGCTCCCGTTCCGTGCCGTCAATGAAAAAAGGCGCACGACCTCCAGATGAAACAGAACAACGCCACCTCGCACCTACTTTCATGATCTTCATGACATAGACAGAACAACAGGCATTGGTGCAAGAAGGCCGCGACTAAGACGATGCTACGCAATCCAGTTCCAGTCAGCCCGTATGTAAAGCGTGACGGCAGTGGCGCACATGTTTCAGTAAAATGAATGATCCCTACCAGAATAGCCACTATTGCTATGGCAGATTGCTGACATTTTCCAAAACACGAGAAGCCCGAGTAGACGGCCCCCGGGCCAGAATCAGCCAGGCCAGGCTCCGCGGCTGGCCAGCTAGCTGCCAAAAAACCAAATCCGAAACCGCGAAACGGATGCGCTATTTTGATGTCCGTTTCCCAAGCCGGTTCCAGATCCCCTGTTCAGGTCCTCTGTTCTGATTCTCTGTTGTGATCCCCTGTTCTGATCCAATTTCAACTAGATTAGGGATCAGAACCGGGGATCCGAACAGGGGATCGGAGCGGAGATGAGAACTCAGACAGCTAAGATTTGCGATCCGGCGTCAGCGGAGATTTGCAACCCGGCGTCGGGTATACCATCGGGCGGCGAAGTAGTTGTAGACCCAGACGGAACAAAAAAGAGGAACCAACAATCTACAACACACGAAAAACAGCTCCTGCCCCCCCCCCGCGGGGCGTAGGCAATTTCGCTGCGCTAGTCCCAAACTGAGACCGCGAGTGAGGGCTGGCGCGGACGGAAAGCCGGCGGCCATGTCGCGTGGCACAGTCGCAGCGTTTTTTTCATGCAGACGCACAGCAGATAAATCTGACACAAAAACTCCACTGGCGCGCCTTGTAGTATGGCGCGGCTTGGAAACACAGCGCAACGCAGACAATAGCCAAACTCCGGGCCGTTTCAAGCCAGGCCCGGCGGCTTCGCCCGGCGAGGCTGGTGTTGTTTTGTAGTGGCCAGGCTCAAGCCCTGAACAGTGTGCCGGCTTTTCTCCTGTTGCAGTCTCTTTGCGCCGGCTGCGAGGCAGTAGCCCCAACCTCACTCTCGAAGACCAATCCGCCCCCACTCCAAACCATATACCACGGCACTCCCGACCGTCGGCTCCCAACTTCCTCGGACGGCCACTGCTCCGGGTATGGAATCATTGGAAAATTTTTTTTTAATTCAAAAAAAATCCAGTCGATTTTTAGTACTTTTGAACCTAGGTCATGCGCTAGTAGGTTGCCCAGCCTGATAAGACGATGCTACGCCATCCAGTTCCAGTCAGTCTCCCGGTACGTTCTTCACATGCAAATGAATCGCGTGAGCGTGCTCTGGTCGCACGCCTTTTTTCAATCCATACTACCAACGCAAACGAAGCGGTTCTATTCGGCGGGAAACCGTTAACGACAAAACGAGAACCAGGCCTCCAGGTAAACAATATCTTCTTTTCTTCTTTATCCCATGCAAAAACGGCGCAAAAGCAGAGACAACCGACGGGCCTTTTGACGTTTCTTTTTCTTCCACCATATGCAGAAGTAAGAAACTGCGTCGGTCAAGAAACAGAGAGACCACATCAAGACGGAACTACAAAATGATGAAGCACAACCGCGCGCACTTCTGCCTCCTAAGAATGCCAATCGGTGCTTTGCTTTTACGATGTGTGTCCTTCATAACATTTCAGAATTCTTTTATTTTTGCGTTTGCGTGTTACAGACACACACATTATGATAGAAAATTTCTTCGGTTTGCGCGTAGCGGTGAGACTTCGAGTTCGAAGGCGATGCGTTTTAAGCAGGACCTGGACATTCATTTTGAACAAGCACGAGCCTTCTACTTTTTGTGGCGGGTGCTTCTTCTGAATTTGATGTATAACATTTTGAATAAAAAATGAAGAAAATTTTCTCGAATACGGCGAGTCACATGTTTGCATCAGAAAGGCCGAAGAGTCTGCAAAAAACTTTGTTTGCGATGGTAGTGTAGATGAGGACTTTTTATCAATCTATAGCGTTTTTGAAAAAAAGTTGTGTCTGCTTTCAGGATAGGACTAGGTCACGATTTTCGACGAAAACCATAACCGATACAAGTTGGATATGAAGCACTTCGACTAGATATTTGACCGGAATAGATGACAAATAGATGGTTTTTGTAACTTTTGTGTTTTTTTTTTTGATCTTTCGTTGGAGTTTAAAGACATTCAGATTTCTCACATTGATTCCGTGCATCTGGTACCTGCGACGATCAACACTGCACAACGAAGCTTCACTAAAGCGCACAACGAAGCTTCTCCAAGCCTGCTGCTTGGGCAATGTCATGAAAAATCAAAACGCAAAACATTTTTTGCATGACACATCAGAACGGCATGCGTTATGCTTTGCGCTACACTCCAGTAGCATGGTCGCGTTGCAAATTCCAAACACGTCTTTATTTTTGCACTCCATAGACTGGACTTGGGGCACACGCGCAAGAAATGAAGTAGGTCGGCAAAATCGTGCATCGACTGCCAGGCGAGCTGTATTAAATAAAGTGCCATCATATCATGATGAGTAGCCGTGACCGGCGGTACTGCAAAGTAGTTGTAAGTAAAAGAAAATGGAACCCACAAAATAAAAGCCTGAGCAGCACTACCTAGTATCAAACTATTCGAATCTCGTAAGAAGATCTCCAACTCGTCCGCGGACGGTGGCAGCTAAAGAAAAAAGAAAAAAGAAGAAAACTGTACCAAATCCCCCAACTTGTCCAAACTCTCTTCCGCCCCGTGCCGGCAAGCGTGGAGGTGCTTCTCCAATTCTCAAACAGAAAACCTGCGCAACCTGCGAAACAGCATGATTGCTATTCACGATTGATAGCCGTTTTGAAGGGTTTCATGCTGTACATTCCCTTTTTCTGACATTAGGTCGGTGCAAAAACACAAAATTGATACATGATGACGATCGCAATCACCAGGCTGCGTAGTGCCAAAAGTTTCTTTTGGTACTACGCAGCGCCATGCTGTTTGAGCGCCATGCGTGTTGTTCATTTCATATCAATGCCTTCAACGTGTGCAGTTTGAAGACATTGTTTTCAACATTTTTTAAGTCCACCTTCGGTTCAACAAGGTTCTTGGAAGAACCACCTCGTTGATTTTGAAAAAAAGTTGTGTCTGCTTTCAGGATAGGACTAGGTCACGATTTTCGACGAAAACCATAACCACATTACATTAACTAGCAAAATTTCGACACTTTGAGCAATATGCATTATGACAATATGACAATATGACATTATGACTGCTGGATTTTGAGCAAAATGACCGGAAGGTGTCGAGTGTCGGAACCCGGAAGCGGACCTGTGTTGTTTTTTGGAATGAAGATAAAAAATGTTCCTACAAAACGGCTCACGATACGAGCGCACTTCATGCATGTTTCCTGTGCTCTATGAACTTTTGTGTCGCCCCCGCGTGGTCCCCCTGCAGACCGGTAAGCATCACGCCGAGCGGGTGCCATTATGCGTCGAAAGTTAATATGTCCGAGCCTGGAAGAGTGTATTTGTGCACTTGGTGCGGATTCTGGAATGACTGAAATCTGTGATGCGTTGTCAGCTCTGCATGTGCTGTTTTTGTCTCCAGGAGAGGTCATTTCCCGCCCACGCTAGGCACTAGGAAACACCAACCGAGTCTCTTCAATGCTTTTCATGCATGAAAGAGGACCTGTGTGCACATGCAGCATCAGAAATCACATGGCGAACGTTTGCTCTCTTCCAGGAGACCCAGACATATTAATTTGCACTTGATACCTCCCTCCCTCCCGTTGCAAAAATATCGCGCCCATTCCAAACAAAATAAAAGGAAGACCACAATCCAACACCGCAGCGCAAATCTTCATGTTGCTTTCTCATCGCGCAAATCTTCACTCATATTGTTAGTTTGACTTCTCATCGTTTTTGGCCTGGAATTCTGAAAGCGCCCAAGCATCCGATGCGCTCGAGAAAATTCTGCTTCTTTCAGCAAAGTGGGTTCGCTTGTTGTTTAGAAACGTAGAGACCTACAAACCAAGGGCTTTGCCTGGTTTGCACACTGAGACTTTCAGAACTAGCGCCTCGACTACAAATTGTTTGTTGATTTTCAAAAAATGCTTGTGCTAGAACCTTGAAAAAATAGTGCGTGGAGTCATGTTGACTCTGGGCCCTATATAAATCTCAACAAGACGAAGATAGGAAAAGGCCCAGAAAATAAAAACTCACTATGGGATCGGCATTCAGACCAGATTTAGTTTTGCTTCCAACTACGTTTATTTATATTTATAAAATCCCCTCGAAGCGGAGCGGCCTTCTCACAACCTCTCACCCTTCAGCCGAACTTCTTTCCATCAGCATCCCGGTCGCCCTCTTCGGATTCGGACTCCTCGACCCGCCGAATCTTATTCCCGTCGACCTGCACGTTCCTTACGACCCTAACCCTTTTTTTTGAACCGCCGCCAGCTGTGGCGCCGCCAGTGGGTCCTCCGGTCACGTGGCCGGCGGCTGCAACCTCCGCGCCGCGACCTGATTCAGAGGGTTATGTATCTTGCTGCACGTATCTGACTGCAACACTACCCGCAGAGGATAGGACTAGGTCACGATTTTCGACGAAAACCATAACCGATACAAGGACGATTTCAACTATTGGTAGCTTGTTTCACCGTCGACAAGAATCTATTTGTGCTCATCATGGCCATTCAAAAAAAAACAACTGCTCCTAGCATTTCTTGATCAATTATCTTTACTCTGGATGCAATCAAAGGACCGTCTCCTACGCCGCCTTGCTTCCGGCTCCGAACGCCGATTTGCTCCCACCACCAAACGCCGCCTTTCCCCCTCCAAAAGCCGACTTACTCCCGCCGCCAAACGCCGCACTGCCGCCGCCAAACGCCGACTTACTGCCCGCCCCACCGCCGAACGCCGCACTGCCGCCGCCAAACGCCGACTTACTGCCCGCCCCACCGCCGAACGCCGCACTGCCGCCGCCAAAGCCCGCTTTGCTGCCGCCTTGAAACGCGGAGGAGCCACCGCCGAATATTGTGACGAAAAATTTCCCCTCCCCATATTGAAAGCGCCTCCGTCCGAAAATTTGTGATGCAGATTTGTGGCCACAAATCCTGTCTGTCTTGCAAGGAGGCAAAGGCAGAGAGTCCGCCGCATTATGCAGGCGGTTTGTGATGCTGTTGGGCTTACAGCATAGACATTCGTCATGCTAGTCGCCTACAGCAAAACCTCTCGCCTCAGGCTTGGCATATGCCGGCAGTACTCTCCAGCAAGACAGACCTGATTTGTGTACGCAAATCCAGCATGGGAAACCTCGTTTCGATATGGGGAGGGAGGATTTTTCCCTTTGATACCGAACGCGGGTGCTCCGCCTCTGTCCGACCTTGCACTGTTCGGCGGCTCGGGCGCTGCTTTCGCCTCAAACCCGCCGGCGCCCTCGCCTTCTTGCGCTTCCACCGCTTCTTGGGCAGCCTTAATTTGCGCGATCCGCTTCGCTATGCATTGCAAATATCATCTCTGGGTCTGGAAGAGTTCGAATTTGTGATGCGCAGGCTACATCATGGCAAAATCTGTCATGCATGGCTAGCAAAAGGCCGCAGTTTCTTGTTACCGAAAGAAGGGATTTGTAATGCGGATTAGGCATTGGGGTACTACCTGCTCAGAATCTGTGATGCTAGAGCTTGCATGCCAGACGATCTGGGTCGGGCAAAAACTGCATGACAGATCTCGCATTCTTACAGACCCCAAGAACATATTTGCATTCGATATCCGCCTCCTCCCGTTTCCGTTCGAGTTCCTCCTTTCTCAACGCTCTCCTGTGCAAAAGCATCGTCTTTAACTTGTATTGCAAACATGCATCACATCAGAAAAAAAAATTCCAATTTTGTTAAGGTAAAAACGCACGCCGTTCGTGCTAATTCGAGTCATTTTAGTGCAAAACTGGTCTTGTTAAGTCAAAAACAACAAAAACGACGGAAAAGCGCACGGCGGGGCCACTTAGTTAAGCGCTAAAATTGCCCCCATGTGCGAAAATGCGACAAAAAAACGAAAAAAGTCGCGAACTGATGAAAGTAACGACGTAAGTGCGCATAAGGGCACATTCGCAAAGAGCTGCGAAATTCGAAAAAAAGTGCCAACTTTCTTAAGGTACAAACGCACCTTTTTGGTGCTAATTCGACTCATTTCACTGCAGAACAGGCCTTGTTAAGTCAAAAAGAACGAAATAAACGGAAAAGCGCACGGCGGGGCCACCTAGTTAAGCCTAAAAATTGCGCAAATTTGCCAAAATGCAAAAACTAAGGCGGAAAGGGCGCAAATTTCTTAAAATAAGCACAAAAGTGCGCCACTTTGCGCATTCTCCAAAAATGCGCAAAATCGCAACAAGGCGCGCGCCTATGATTTTGCAGCGGTTCGCAGCGCGTTGGCGCTGTCGCACCCGTAGAGCTAACTCCCGACAGTTTGGTCGTACTTAGGACCACAATGCGCCAAAAGAGCTCCCATCAGCTCAAAAAGGTGCGCAAATGCACCAACAGACGCAAACTAAAGCAAAAACGGTCGCAAAGCCATCGAAATAGGCGCAAAAGTGCAACGCTTTGCAAATTCTCCAAAAAGGCGCAGAAGCGCGACAAGGCGCGCGCCGATGATTTTGCAGGAGCAAGTCCGCAGAGCGGTGGCGCTATCGCATCCGCCAGGTCGATTCCAGATAGTTTGGCCGTTCTGAGGACCAAAATGCGCCAAAAAAATTCCTCCAGCTTAAAAAGGCACAAAAACGCGACGAAGTGAACAAAATACGGCAAGCAGGCGGCGAAAATAACCAGCCCCAGGCAGTTTGTTCGTTTTTAGGCCCAAAATGCGCCGGAAAAGCTCCGCATAGCTCGAAAAGGCGCAAAAACGCAACAAAATGAACGAAGTACGGCAAAAAAGCAGCGGAAAGACACCCAAAAAGGAAGACGAAGGCAAAACATGGACAGCGTTGCCACTTTTAGCGTAAAACCTTAGCAACCGCGGCGCCTCTCATGGATGCTTGGTAAGTCGGCGCTGGCACTGCAGCGCAGCAAGGATAGTAAGTCCACAAATGCAGACAAGGAGCGAAAAACGCCGCCGCGTCACTGTTCTGCGCCCTGAAGTGAAGATAAACGCCACACGACCAACGCGCGAAACGAAAAACGCCAGAAAATAAAATGCCCGCAACAAGAAGCAGGCCGCTGGCTGACACGCCGAACCGGCCTCCGGGGTTGCATTACATGGAAAACCAACGAAGAGCCTCACTTGGTGCTAATTCAGGGCGCTTACGCGAAGCAGTCGCGCCACTAGCTCTGGAAGCAAAGTGCGAAAGACACAGCCGGCGCCGCGTGGTTTGCCCCGCGAAAATTTCGACACGAAAAAGAGGAACGGGGCGCCAACTGCAGAGGCGGGCTGCTCTTCATGTTCCTACTGCCATAAAATAGCAAAAATGCAAAAAAAGCCCCGGCAAAATAAAGCACAAAGCGCCACGGAGCCGCGCGCCTTAGCTCCGACATGGAGACCCGCGCCGCGCGGGCAACATAAAAAACGCACAACACCCCAAAGGCGCCCACGTCAGCACGCGAGCCGGTGGCGGGGAAAACGAATCGCCTGCCGAGGCTACACTACACGCAAAGAAAGAAAACGCCGAAGGGGCAGGGCAAAGTCAAGCCTTTCGCGAACATGGGGAGGGCGAAGCCCCCCGGCAGCGCAAGCTTGCGCGCGCTGCAAAAATTAAAAGTGTTTCTCTTTTCATTTTTTCAAATATTCATCACCTAAAATCTCGGGCGGTGCTCGACTCAAATCTCTTGGGGAGTACTCGTAGTAATTGCAATAATGCATTACAAATCTCCATCCCAAGGTAAAACAGCATGACAAATTCCATTTGTCATGCTGAGGTAATTTGTAATGCAATTACTACTAGTACGTTGCTTTTGCAGTTCATAAACGCTTCCAGCTCCCGAATTTCCTCCCACTTCGGGTGCTCGCGTATGGATCTGTCAGGATTGAAATCGTCAAAGTTGAAATGATTTGCCATGCATAAAATGCAAGACATGAAGCGCCTGTCTTGCCGGGATGACAAGTGAGGCAGATTGTGAGCCTATTTAGGGCTTGGAATAGAGCTTCTAAAGGAGCATGACAAAAGCAGTCTTCTGTGCCCAAACAGCATGACAAATTGGATTCCGGTGCTCCAAAAATTTGTCATGCGCCGCATGGAAATTGGGCTTTCAACTGGTATCCATTTTATGCATGACAAATCATTTCAACTTTGTCGATTTCAAACCTGACGCTTCCATATCGCGCAGCTCGCCGGTAAATTTGTGCCGGTTGATGTAGAGGAGGGTGAGAATCAGCCAGAAAATCTGAAAACCGAGCAAATACCGCACGCCCGCTTTCCAGTGGTAGCCGGGTCCGTCGCTCCAGACCGCCAGGGCGTCACACCAAGTGCGATTGTGGAGGAAGGATTGTCCGAGCTTGTAGGTGATCTCGATGTCTTCATAGTCGTAGTCAAATGAATCCCCTTTCCCAGCGAGCGTGTCGAAAACGGTGTTTGACGACGAGTCGCTTGAAGATTCTGTTGCTCCGCCAGCGTCATCTTCAGTGTTGCTTTCTACAGCCTCCCCGACATCCTCATCAGCAGCAGCAGCGTCCTCTGCGTCTCCTATGGGAGTGTCAGGTTTGAAATCGTCAAAGTTGAAATAGTTTGTGATGCAAAAAATGCAAGCCACAAAGTGCTTGTCTTGCTGAGTAGGCAAGGGAGGCAGATTGTAAGCCTGTTGAGGGGTAGCAATAGAGCTGCTAAAGTAGCATGACAAAAGGCGTCTTCCTTACCCAAACAGCATGACAAACTGGGTCTCGGCTCTTCCCAAATTTGTCATGCGCCACTTAGAAACTGGGTTGCAACTGGCCTCCATTTTATGCATCACAAATTATTTCAACTTAGACGATTTCAAACCTGACACCTCCATATCTCCCGTTGCAGAAGTATTATTTCCGTCGTCTTTCTCTGTTTGTAGGAGGGCCGCGGCCCGAGCGTATCCTGTGCAAAAGTATCGCACTCGTTCGTATAAATGCAAGTCTTGCATTACAAATTTTTTTCTTATCGTAAATCCGCATTACAAATTTTATTTCTCATGCGGAGGAAACTTGTAATGCATTTATACGAGTACAATACTTTTGCAGTTCATAGAGCGTGGTCTTCTACAACTTTCGTGGCTTTTGTCGACGAGTCGTCGGCTCCGCTACTTGGTGATGAAGATGATGCAGTTGGTCGTGACTTCTTCGACGTTTCGCCTCCGCGTTTTCTTTTTCTGTTGCTGGTTTCCTTTGTCTATGGAAGCGTCAGGATCGAAATTGACAAAATCGAAAAATTTGCGATGCATAAAATGCATGACGCGAAATACGTGTGTTGCAGAGCAGGCAAGTGAGGCCGATTGTAAGGAGCCTGTTTGGGGTTATAGCTCGAGCTGCTAAAGCAGCAGGAGAGAATCAGTCTTCTTTGCCTAGACAGCATTGCAAGCTGGATTTAGGCACCGCCAGAATTTGTCATGCGCCACTTAGAAACTGGGTTCGAACTGGAATCCATTTTATGCATGGCAAATCATTTCGATTTTGTCAATTTCGATTCTGACATTTCCATATTCTCCTGTCGCTCCTTCGTATTCTTGTTTCTTGCTTCAATCTCGCTTTTCGCCCGTTGTTCACGATTTCTACGAAGGACGAGCTACTGCTGAAATTAGTTGCACCCGCGCTCGCTGCAGCATCGGTGTTATTACTCGACCCGCTTGAAGATGATTCTTGCAAATTCGTTGTCGTGAAAACAGGGAGGAGAGTAATTTTCAAACTGTCGTTGTTCATGGTTTTGAGCCCTTTGTCCTTCTGCTCCTGTAAAATGTGCTTTCTCATGTACCGTTCCACTATGTCCTCCACCACCGCTGCTTTCCCCGTCGCCTGCAACACCTTGCTAATCGTTTCATCTAGATTCTTCACGTCCACATAGCTCACGTTCTGCAGCATGTTGGCCCGCTGCAGAACCTCGTCGGGTGAGTTCGACGCAAGATGGATTTGCAGCGCGAACCCGCCCTTGGGGGGGTCGGGTGGCGTTTCCTGGACCACGGGGGCTTGTTGTTCATCGGCGTCGCTACTGCTGGTAGTTGCGGCTGCTGCACTCCTAGCCGCCAATGAGGAGATGGAGCGTGATCTACTCCTGCTTGATGTTGCACTTCGCTCTACGAAGCTACTGCTTGTTCCGCTCCCGTTCTCTGCGCCGCCTGACGCTTGTTGATCATCACCACTGGCGTGGGTAACAGCGGACGGCGCCCCAGTTCCCTTGAAGTGGCCTTCCAGCACGGTGATGTAATTCCCCTCCGAGCTTTTATTTCTGGTATTCTGCCTCCTTTGCTGCAGCCTACTTGAAGTTCTTGTTCCGCCGGCGGCTTTTGTCTTTCTACTTCTGTCTCTTCGCCCAACGCTATGATGTTTCTTGTCCGCAAAATGATGAAGCAGCGAGTCCGCTCGGGAAAGCTCACTGCGGATCAGCTTGTCCACTCTACCGTCTCCTCTACTTTCATCGGAGCCTATCGTAGTCTTTGCGTGTTCATTCCTTTCCCGGAAAGACGACGCGAAGGCTGCCGCAGATGAAGTACTGCTCAGAGATGAAGTAGCAGTACTATCCTGTGCAAAAGTATCGCACTCGTAGTAATTGCGATCATGCATGACAAATATCCCTTTTTAGGTAAATCAGCATTACAAATTCCATTTTTCTTCTTGAAAAAATTTTTTGTGATGCAATTTATACTAGTACGATAACGATACTTTTGCAATGCATAAGTACTAGACAATGACAAGGACAAGCTGCTGCTGCTGGAATTACTCGCTCCTACCGCGTCCGAGCCGTCCTCTCCAGCAGCCGCCTCTTCGCTGGCAGCACCTGTACCTGAACTTTCCCCACCCCCTCCAGCTAGCCTACCATTCAAACTGGCTTCCATGGGCCGCATCATGGTAGTCTGGTTGGTGTTTGTCGCTGTGCTTAAGCTTACCGCCTGCAACTCCGTTATCGCGTCTTCGGCGACCACCATCCGCATGCTGAAGCTGCTCGCGTGCGCGGGAAGTACTTTCGCCTGGATCACCTTCGGCTCCGGGAAAAGAATTTCCAGGTCCTGGGCGGTTTTGTTCTGAATAATCCGGTTCTTCTTCAAGTACACACTCAGCGGGGACGCAAGCGGCAACGGTGTGCTTTCTGCGCGGGCGGTCTGTCTGGACGAAAAGGAAAAACTGCTTCGCATCCGCTGGTTTTGCTTTGCAGTACTGCGTCGGCTTTTGTTCGTAGAAGTAGTTTCTTCGAAGAATGAGAGAGACGTGTCGTTCGTACTACTAGCACTTCTACCGGGTAGTTCTCCTTCGTAGACTAGACTAGCACTACCGGCTTCTACTCCGCTCGTAGTGCTAGACGTAGTTGTAGAAGTAGTTCCTCCTTCCCAATTTTGAAAATCGATATGCATTGCAAAAGTATCGCACTCGTATAAATGCATTACAAATTTTCTCAGCATGAGAAATAAAAGTTGTAATGCGGATTTACCTTGAGAACGAGATTTGTAATGCATGACTGCAATTACTACGAGTACGATACTTTTGCACAGGATAATCGACCTCCCCCTGCAAAATCGATTCGTAGGGGACCGTGCTCTATCACGTGCAAAAGTGTCTGGGTCTGGAAGAGTTGGAACTTGTGATGCGAATTCTGGAATAGGCAAAAATTTGTATTGCATAAGCACCAAAAGCTTCCCATTTCTTGCTACGCAAATAGGGAATGTATTAAGGTCGCGCCCGGAGGGCGATATTGGTAACCAAATGCGTGCGCGAAAATCTAAGCAGCGCGAAGGCCCACCAACCTTTTTCTAACATCGCCGCGGCCCGCGCCGCGAAAGCGCGGCCTCCTGGCCAGCAAGCCAGGAAGCCGCGTGGCCAGGAAGCTATGTGGCAACAACTACTGTCGCCCGCGGCGGCGCGGACAACTACTGTCGCCCGCGGCGGCCCGCAGGCTCCTGCGATAAGCATTGAAGGCGAAATCCGGTCTGCTATTTCGCAGCGGGGCATCCTTTCTAGCCCCCTGCATGACAAACTGGCCTCCTGGCCAGGAAGCTATGTGGCCGGGGGGGGGCAAGCCCCCCCCGGACCCCCCCCATCCACTTTCGCAGCGGGGCACTCTTTCTAGCCCCCTGCAT